ATACTTCGTCGGTAATGATATTTCAATTAGTGCTATATGATATAGATTAAGATATTCAACAAGGTTTTAGATTATTTTCTGTGTAATAACCCATCTGTTTTGTGTCTCTTCTATTGTCCTTGTTAATAATCTTCGCCAACTAGATAAATAGATGAAAATATACTTTTGTATCGTATTTAACGTAGAGAGATGATTAATTTCGTTTCGAATCTTTCGAAAATCAATCATTGTCGAATGCCATTATGTCCAGCACTAATGAAGTTTCATTGAAATTTCTTATTTCGCCAGATGTGAAGTATCCATCAATGAACAGACGTAAGTGATCGTAAGGAAAATCATCTAGACCATTCAATATTAATGTTTATTAACTAACACCGCCTATGGCATTTAATGGTTATGTGTATTTGATTCGGTAAAACAAATAAACATTCGCACTAAATCAAATATTGAAGGGAAATCTCGGATTTTTTTCTACTATGATATTGAAACTTGACGCATAAAGCACATTCCTTAATATCATATGACTTCCGTCAACAGAATATTTCTTATTTTTCAACACACCGGGAAAACAAAGCTTCAAAAGTGTTCGTACAGGTACGATTAACTCTTCAAAAAGTCTCTTTTTTATCAACGGATATGAGATTCGCTGCGTTATTGTAATAGATTAATTGGTTTCGTTTGCACTGTGTCATAACACGATGATCGATGAGAATTCTCTTTGAAGTTGAACAAAAAAGCTTCCGCTAATTCCAGACAGAGAAGAAAAGTATAGAGATTTACAAGGAGGGTCCTTCGTCTTCTTTTTTTTGTGAAAGTGTCAGACAAAGTTTTCTCGACTTATCGTATCTCACGCTTAGAATATCTAAACTAATAAATTGTTGATTCATAGCCTCATCATAATTGTGTAAAATGTCAGCTGCCAGAAATATGTTCTATTATCACATAACAGAAATATTCTCTTTGGAGATGAGCACGGATCATTACTTGTTCGCGAAACAAATGACGATACTTTCATATAAATTTATGCACTGATTCATTCATTTCTTTTCAGCGAGAAAAACTGCGAGATTTATTATTGCAAATGACCAGCCATTTTATTCGAATCAAAACTTATAATCATATTCTCGGTCAACGAAAAAATTCTTATTAATTGATTTTGAAATCAATTAAATGTATTCCGATGTCCTATTGGAGGTCAGAATATTTCCTTTCTTTATGATTTAATGTTTGATGCTACGCATATCAAATCATCAATGTCCTTAAACACGTAAAGCGCTACTAATATTAGCATGTACCGATGGATAATGCCAAAAGCTCTCAAAGATACCGAGATGAGGTCTCGTGTACTATGATGCACAGTGCCAACACACCGGTGAATCTTTCTAGGGAAAGAGTAAACATGCTGAGAAGAGTAGACATATAAGTGAGCTAGAAATACCTAAGGATACAAAACATTAATAGGAATGAAAGTGTTAATACGTTCTTCTATTATGTGTAATGAGTCCATAGATGTCGCTAGTAGATAATGTGCCATAAGTTGAATTATGAAAACATTAAGCAGTTGTAATTTAATCGTAACATATGATTATCTTTTTCCAGCAAGATACACTTTGTAATCAATGATTTTAACGATCATTTCGACGATTACGATTTTGAATATATCTACAAAGTAAATAAATGGAACGCAAGACTGGGAATGACTCATATTTGTATTTTTTTTTTCTTTTTCCTTGCAGTAGTAACGTAATAAACAGGCATCGCTATGAATTGAATAATACACGTTCATGACGCGTGACGTCATTGAGGCTTTAGATGATCAAAAGAGAGAAAAATCTCGAAGGTTACAGTATATGCGAACAACATATATTTTCCTATAACAAAGAATTAATAATTATCGGTCGTTTCATTGAGTGCAACTATTTTTGACAACATTGATTAATGAATACGAAGTTTTTTCCCTCCTATGTGATCAGCTCAATAATCGTATCGTCTGTATACAGAAGGTAAAAACACGAGAGTGTGTACGTCGGTTTTACATATTTTAACTAATTCGAGATCATATTTTGTTTTTATATGCTGATAAGAGAGTATAAGTTTGATAAGCGTCCTTCAAATACATGTCGGCATGTTGTCTTCAGTCTGGAAATTGATAATCAGCCAAATAATTACTCAAAATTTCTGATTTCTCTTCTTCTGATAGTCAGATTTCTGATCGAAAGTATGCAAAAATGTATTCTTTTTTTTGTTACCAAAGCGAAGACTATCAAACTTCTTTTGTAATTATTTCTAGCACCTAAACTTGCATAAGCGCTATTGAAAGAAAAACCCTGGTTGTCCCTAATTTCCACTCTTTATTTTTCTTTGCGGTTGATCGAATACGTATATATTCTATATTCTTTCATCTCCGCGCAAGATGGCATTTTACACAGATCTTGCTCAATTACATCAAAATAACCTGACCACTTTTTCTTTTTTTTTTCTCCATTCTTCGTATTTATTATTATTTTCTTTTCCACATTGACATTAACTAAAGAATCCCTTCTCGTTTAGATGTGTGTTCTATAAACTACCGACGTATTCGTTTACGAGCCGTTATCGACAAACAAATCTACTTCTATCATGCTGTATGTCATTTGTCGGGCAAACGGACTCACTGTTTGGAAAGAGAATATTTAATCGAGAGCTTTTTAATTATTTTCCTTTTCAATGCTTATTTTACTTATTGATCCTTTTTATTAGCGGTAGACGAGCCGTTAGTGCCATCGTTGGTATTATATCTGCATGCAGTCTTCTCATGCTGCTGATTGCCTGTTGTATTGTTTATTACCGTCGCTATTTAACACGAAAAGGTTAGAATTCTAATAGACAGAAGGGAACATCTTGAATACGGCGACTCGGAGCCGAAAGCTAGAAGTTGTTTTTACCTGGAAAATAAAATTAAAAGACTATTTATTTTTCATCGTCACCACTGTACTCTCTCACATTTTATTTGTCTTACCTCTTACCTCTTCACTTTTCCATTTAGCTCATACTTACGTCGCTGCTGCTCAAGCAGATAATGAACGTATGTATGATATCTACTAGATTTTACTAATAATGAATCTACTTGCTAAAACTGATTCTCATATTCATATAGTTGAATATATGTTTGAATTGTGCTTTAGGTTTAGACGAAGCAACTGATATCGAACAAACACGAACGACCAATCGTGCAGCTCATAATCAAATTCCAGATTGTAAGTGTTTTTGTTTATACTGCACTGGAGACACTTTGTTTTTTCTTTCTATTCTCATTTTCAGCTCCTCCAACATACTCCGAAGCTGTAGGACAGCTAAGTGGTGTGTAAATATATAAATTAGCATCTGATCTCGCATTCACCAACGTGCGACTAGGTGAATTCGAGTAAGAACGCCGACATGTGAAATAAACTGAAGTTTTCTGTGTGTTGTTTTCTTACTTATATATATATACTATATTTCTACGCTCAGGTTTAATTAATATAAATCAAATTATGCTTTTATTTCAGATACTATTTTTCTTTTATCGAGAATATTATGTTGGAAAATAATCTATGTCGATGGTTTTGTGTTTTGTTCATAGTTTCATGTAAGTAAACCACGATAGATGCTTACTGTCATATATTATCATTAATTTGCTACGTGTTTTCTTCTGATAAATAGTTCTGTTTACAACATGCACTGACGGGAAAGGATTCGCGCGTGGAGGTTTTCGAGGAGGCTCCAAAGGCGGATCACTTGGCGGTTCATCGAGTTTCAGTCGAGGAAACAGCTATGGAAGTTACAACAAAATGAATAAACCGTAGGTGTCATCAGTGATTGTTGGTTTGAATGTTGTTCAGTGATTTCTTTTTAGATCTTCGGGAAGTAGTTTTCGAAAGAATGCAATGAGTTTTGGTGCTGGAGCGTTAGGTGGCGTAGCAGCATATTCACTAATGAGCTCAATGTCACGTTCATATGTTCCTGGACGTTATGCATCAGGTTATGGAAGTAAGTTGCACCTTTAATCGTTGATAAATCAATGCATTGTACCGGCTGTGATTAATTTAGCTGGAGCGATATGTACAAATAATGAAGATTATAATGGTACAAGATTCGGACAGTTTCGTTGTCCTTTGGAAGGTTTTCCGTATGATGCGAAATATTGCTGTGGTGAATATGGAAAACACTATTGCTGTGCTCCTGAAGGGTATGATCCTAAAATAATACTCACGATATATCTCAAGTAGATCTCGAAATGTTTTAGTCGTTCAAACCGCGGTGGTTTTAATTTACTTTGGTTATGCATTATTATCGCAATTGTTATCATTGCTATTGTTGTCTTCGCTAAACGTCGTCGACAAAGTACGACAAAATCTATTTTCATCGATTGAAAAGTTATATCTTCGATAATATTCTCTCTTTTTTCTTCTAGAAGACATCATAATGGTTCCAGTAGAACCTCCAATGGATGAACAACAACGCGGATTTTTTCCACCACCGCCGCCGATGAGTTACCCACCAAACGTTAATCCTTATGCAGTTCCACCACAAAACTTCAATGGAACTTATACACCTTATCCTCCGCAACAAATGCCCTATCCACCTAATCAACAACCGTATAATCCATATCAAGTTAAAGAGGGTAAAATTAATTTTACAAACAGAACATTTTAGCAAAATATTCTCATTTTGCTGTTTCTAGCTGCTCCACCAGCTTATAACGATGCCATGCAATATAATCAAGGAATGCCCGGCAACAAACCTATGTGAAGAGATTTTGTCGAACAATGATGACTAAGACGTCATATGCCCATTATATGTCGCAATCGATTTTATAAGTGTGTGGCCTTTCATTTCTGTTTCTCCAAACCTATTTTCTCGTGAACATGTCTCGTTTTGTATGATCAATACCCATTGTGTGCGCATACTTTTTGTTTATCTTCAAACTCTGTTTTCTTTATAAAAATAAAACTATATATGTATATATACATTCATCAAAACTAAACTCGAATTGCATAATTTTGAGCAGCAGTTGAAGTGTCACTGACTGACATTGGTGTTTTCGTAACTGATAATTGATGACAATTGGATCGGTCTGACGTCGGTTGCGGACGACTCGGCAACGATGTTGTAGTTACGAGTGTACTAGGCGGTTGCATCACGGATGCGTGTGGTACATGTCCTCGATATGTCATGTACAGATTCATATGTCTCCACACACGAGAAACTTTGTCTAGTTCGCGTTCATAATCATCTTTGTCTGTTTTATTGGGCAGAATCACCGCAGCTTTCCAATTAATCGTCAAGAATGATTTCAAGTCATGTAAAATAGGTGAACCAATTTTGATACGCAGGACTGTATGACCGTAGTTCTTGTAAGCTTGGATATAATCATTGATTAGTGTCGATAAACGATCGTATTTAGTATTCAATGGTCTGTACGCAAGATCACTACGACGACTTAAGCCTAATGCACCGTAAATTTGATTGTATCTTATTCCGAGAACAACATGTCGATAAGTAATTGAATTGAAGCGCGTTTTAAATGAAATATTGAATCGGTCGACACCTATCATACCAGTTGTTAAATAAACAGCGATTAAAAATGCTTCGAGGCATTTTATTGGTAGCGCTTCCGTCATCCTAGAAACGTAAAGAAGAATGATTGTATGTTTATTAATTGAGTACTTTTACATATGTCGAGCAGCATCCATTAGACCAGATATCGGCCGATTCGTATTAATTTCGAAGAACTGCATGCCTGTGTAGTTATATTCTAGGCGTTGAATATATGTTTGAATTTGACGTAGTTTTTCGGCAACATTCAAGCGATTGTTTGTTGCTAAATGGTAAGGTGGTTCAATGTATGTTACTTTCGGGTAATTCAATTTTTGATCACGAAGTGCTTTGATTTCAGTTGTATCTAAACCGGAAATATTATAGTAGCTTATGCATTCAGAATAATTTTCATTTTTCTTGATTAATAATAGTATTCATTCCTGCAGAAATCTACATGGAATACTTGTCATTCATACAAAATAACTATCAATGAACTGCGAATTCTCATACATTCTTTCCCTTGAAATGTACTGATAGCATACCAAAGGTCGCAAATATGTTCTAAGTACCTTATGTGATAAACGATGGAAAAGAAAGAAAGCTGAACTTACGTTTAGGATACTGCTCCATACAAAATGTCCACATGCGTTCACTGCATCGATCTGACAGAGGTAGTCCATCGCGATTAACATAAAATAGAAGAACTTTTCCACTTCTCATCGCTTCATAACCAGCTGTGCTAGTCATTGTTGAGTATGTCTGAATTTGTCTTCACACTCGAGCAACACCGTACAGAACAACAAGCAAAAGCGATCGTCGATGTTTTTCTATGTTCGAGTTCTTTTAACCGAAAAACAAACAAACATATTCATAACAAGCATTCAATTGTAATCAGATACTTGTGATAGTCAAATAAGTTTTCATTCTCAAACACATATCCTTGGTGATGTCTTCCAAATGGTCTTTTCCAACAAACAGATGGCAGCATTGAAAGAATAAACTCTCTCAGCCACATTCATATCTATATCAAATCAAATTTCGGTATTTCGATTGAGGTTACAACACTGTTTTTATTTATAAATCTTCTTGCTTCTGCATGTTTGGATATATACAGAAACAAGAAATTTTAACAACAATAATAACCATCGAATACAAGAACTAAAAAGATATGTGACGCACAGTTTTGACTTTCATATGTAAAAAAAAAGAAGACATTACGGTAAGTCTACGTAGACAAATGCGCAAAAGACAAGAAAATCGATTTATCAGAATCAAATACAAGATGAAGTTTAATCGGTGTGTTCATCATGTACGACATGAAATACCTTTTGTAACATCAACGCAAATGCATTGTATTTACGATTGAATTCTTTGGGTTTGTTTTTCCACATAACACCGAAAATATACGCGGGTACAGCTGTTGTTAATAACATTATAGACGTAGTGATATTCTGACGATCAGTCAATGCGCTTGCAACAATTAAAACGACTAAAATTGCGATGAACATAATTGGAATGGGTAATGGTACTTTCAATGGACGCTCCCGATCAGGATGTTTACAACGGAGAACAATCAAAGCAACAGCAGCCATTAGGATACCTTTTTTGAGAAAAGAGAACAAGGCATAGTTGATAATTGTGATCTTGTTCGAATACTTACATATCCAATTGATCATACCGACACAGATAATCAAACTTCCAATATTGGACATGAAGAAGAGAAAAACAAAACTGAGAATGATTTCGCACAGGATCGCAATCATAGGTACATTGGATTCATAGTGTTTCATAGAGAAAATATGTGGCATCAGACCATCTCGACCGGCCACTAGAAAACAAGATGCTTATTTGAAAAGGAAAGTCATATCGATTGTATAGAAGTTACCGTTAAACATCTGTCCAATGGTGAAAATATTTCCCGAAGCAGCTGAAAAGAAATAATTTCCTGATAAATGATTTATTCATGAATCAAAAAGATCGATTACCGCCGACGCAAGATAGAGTCACACCAATAGGTATGATATATAATAATGGTTGAAAAACACGTTCGGCAAAAGTAACAGCTGTTGCATCCGACATGAGAATCTCGTATGCCGACAAAGCAGTAAAATAAGAGCTGAATGTTAGAAAGTAAATAAATATGCACAATAATAATGATATGACAATGGAACGTGGTAAAATTCGTTTAGGATCTTTAAGATCATCAATTGCATTATTTAAATAATTCCTTAAGATATCAAACATAATTAGACGCTCAGTTTCACTATGAAAATATATTTTACCATCCGGAATAAGGAAAGAGGCCAGCGTAGAGTGCGCTAGTAATCTTCCCGTAAGTTGAACCTTCGAATGGTTCGGAGAAGTTCTCCACGCGACCGAGATACATTCGATAAATACCAGCAAGTATGACAATTAGAAGAGAACCTAGAATTTTCATTTGCGCGAAATGACAAAGAAAGACTGAATGCTTACCGATTTTGAAATAGTTGCATATTTGGTGAAGATATTTTGTCCAATTTGCTGATGTTAAATTAATAAAACCTACAATCAGTAGGAGAAATGAAGCTAAGCATTTAACTAGGACGTCAGGTGGTGTGCACGTTGAAAAGAACCAATAAACAAGATAATTCGATGCGGTTAGGACACTTAAGACCACAATCATCGGTCGCGATAAGGCAACTTCGACCCAAACACGAAGAAAACCAATGAAATCACCAAATGCTACACGAAGATAAGTGTAGTCACCACCTGATGAAACATATGCGCAACCTAATTCAGCATAACACAATGCTCCCTGAAAATCAATTAGAAATAAAAGATATTTTCCTGATGAACTTTATCTTTACCATGATACAGAGTAAACCGCAACTGATCCAAACCACAATTGACAAACCATAAGAGCCCGATGCTTCCAGTACAGCTTTTGCACTGATAAATATACCTGAGCCAATGATACACGCTAGGAGAAGATTAATAGCATCCATAAGACCCATCGTTGGTTGATGAGTCGTCATTCGCGTTGATAACGAAGGAACGTTGGATGCACGATCACCTTTCGACGGAGCCATCTGAATCCGAAAGAAAAATGAAACCAAATATGAAAGTATAATAGGTGTCGAATTATATATATATATATATATATATATATATATTCTTCTTATCTCCATCGCAATTTTAATCATGTCTTCACGCGTATACGTTTTGATATGTAATCGAATGATACGATCGAGAGGTATCGAATAGTTTTACTGCTGAAGAACAACCTTACTGAGGAAGCATTTTTCGAGAAAACAAATCTTCTACGACCACACTCGATAAAGTTTCGATTGAACGGAATTGAGAAAAGATCGCTATCATATTCAGTTACAATCTAACACGCAGAACATGGCAGAGAAAAGAAACAGAGATAAACTGAAAGAATAAAAAAAAAATGGACCCCTATAACCAACAACACGCGTGCACACTCCAACTCTTCTCTTTTTCTTCCTGCGCTAATATAGAATCGAGTTACGTGGTATAGTCAGTAACAGTACAGACAAACACAAGGAAAAAACGCACTGGAAGGAGAAGACAACGATTGTAGAAAAAAAAAACTAACTTGAAGGCGGACATGAATAGGAAGGAGGAAAAAATTGATGCATTATGTTCAACGACACAGCACTTCCATTATCTATCTCGTGCTCCGTTCCCACGCACATATATACGTGCATGAGAGTCATACGTTGATCCTTCTGCCTTTTTCTTTGGGTAATATTCTTTGAAAATGTTTCTAAGATAAAAGAAACGACATGGTGAAGAAAGAAGAAGAGAAAGTTAATCAACTTTAGTAGGAGAAGATCGTTCTCTTTCTTGTCTCGGTTTATTTCTTTTCACATAAGATGAAATTGACTTGAAAAAGCAGATAGACATCAGTCTGTTCCTAACGAATCGAGCACCACACAATTCTCCTGAGCATTTCAATCAATTGAGCTTACACATAATGATTAGTTCGTAACAAACTCACATTTTTCTAAACTAAATTTTACATGCAAACATGAGAAAAAGTTCAAGCATGCATGCAAACGACACCTGTCATTATCATAAATGTTCCAAGAGGAAATTATTTTCGTGTACATAAAAAAAGGATGTTCTTTTGAGAATAGTGAAAAGTTTATCGAAATAGCCTTTAACAATGAAATGTAAACGGTGTTGCGTATATGTCAAACAGAATCGATAATTTATCAGAAGTCAATCAATGCTTTGATCAGCTGTGGAAACAGTTGAGTTCGAAATTGTATTTATGGTATCGAACCAAAGGCGAAATTGACCTCGATGATGAAACGTATAGAACTGAATCAGGAAGAAAACGTCATGGTTATTGAAGGAAGCCAAAGCTTGTTTGACCAATATCGTTGATAAGTCGATGAAGAAAATAAATTTCTATAGAGAAACCGCTGTAGCGATGATTTTAGCTTGGAAAATTGACTTAGAAATTTGCTTGTGAATCAACAAAGATGTGTCCTTCCAATCGGTATCAATTCATTCTTTTAGATTTCATTATTAATCGTTATTACATATGACAAGTAGAGTTCGTTTAGATATGATTTTAATGATCATTCGGGCAAAACAGTATTTCATCGAATAGGAAATAATTGATTAATATAAATAAAGTTGTCTTCACTCAAATGTGTTCGTTATTATGCACTAATTCTAGACAAGTTTCTCATTTACGTTTCGATTTTTCTGGTGGATTGTTTGCGTTTGATTGTTGAGCTAGTTGAGTCTTTCCTTGTGGTTGTTGTTGACCGTTCTTGCCTTGAGATTGTGGCTGTGGTGCTGGTTGACTTTTCCCTTGGTTTTGTTGTGGCACATTCTTTCCTTGTTGTTGCTGAGCACTTTTTCCTTGTTGTTGTGACTGTGGTACTGGTTGGTTCTTACCCTGTTGTTGTTGTTGAGCGCTCCTGCCTTGTGGTTGAGATTGTGGCTGTGGTACTGGTTGGTTCTTTCCTTGGTTTTGTTGCTGAGCACTCTTGCTTTGAGATTGTGGCTGTGGTGGTGGTTGGTTCTTTCCTTGGTTTTGTTGTTGAGCATTCTTGCTTTGAGATTGTGGCTGTGGTGGTGGTGGCTGGTTCTTTCCTTGGTTTTGTTGCTGAGCACTCTTGCTTCGGGATTGTGGTGGTGGTTGATTCTTTCCTTGATTTTGTTGTGAAGTATTCTTGCCCTGTGTTTGCTGTTGAGATTGGGAGCTTTTTTGTTGATTATTGGACAATGATCCTCTTGGTACAGCAAGTTCAACAAGGCGTTGAGAACATTCTACTTTCAATGCAGCAGGTGGCACACCGCTGTATGCATAGTTCCCAATATTATCGAAGAATTCTAGAAGATTCATTCGGAAAAGTGATATTTCAATCAGATTGTTGATCCGCATTACCTTGTCGAATATGATTTTCACGACGAATCCGTGGTCTTGCTATTTCATCATGACGAGGTGAACACGGTGTATCGGCTATAGCTGGAAATGGAATACCAGAATTTCGTGAGCACGGTCGACGTAACCATGGATGTTTGGAAATCATGTCATCATAATATTCCGATCTTGCAAAAACAGAATGTCCGATATCTAGTGCATTAAAATATCGACTTGAACCACTCTCGAAAGATGAACGACTCGTTGAGCTTTCTTGTCTTGTGCCAGTTCGTTCGTTTCTATAGCAAATGGAGAACAGAACTATTTAACTTGATCAATCTGAAGTTACTTCATTTTTCTTCAATAACAACTGCAGTCAGAATGTGTCCAGATTGTTTAATGTGAAAAAGAATCACTAGCTGTAATCTTTCAATGTGTTTATAGGCGACTAATGCAGCCAACGCACAACAACGAGAAAAACATATGAAAAGTAAAGTAAGCATAGTTGAAGTGTGCACATATGATGTTTTGTTGCTGTGAGTTTTTTTGTTTTTTAATCATTCTACTTAATTTTCATGTGCCTGCGAAAAGCAAACATTATAATATTGTCCATTGATGAGTCAAACTCGATATTGACCAAATCGATTCGAACGGAAATTTCTATCTTGAAGTTCTATCCATCTCTGCATGTCATTTCCGTCTGTTATCGATGATGATTATTTTTCTCTTTTTACTCTCTCTCTCTCTCTCTCTCTCTCTCTGGAGAGCAACTTTTTATTGTCGATGTAACTGATCATCGTTGGATTTATCTCGATTTGAAAGCTGAAGTATAGGGCCAACCACGGATGCACGTATTCCTGAAACATTTTTCTTCTTTGTTGATATTTTTTGTCATTTCTCTCTTGAATTAATCGTCTTATGTCGATCCGTTCATCTGTTTCTTGTTCTTTCGGTTTTTTTTGCCTTCACTGCCGATCAATATGCAATGTAAGTACTAACCGATGAATAGTAAATCTAATCCAATTTCTTCTCATCGATTGGACTCTGCTTATTATAGTGAAGGAAAAGAAGAGAAGATAAAAACTCTTTCTGACATGTTTATTTGTTCGGAATGTTGTCTCATCATGTTTTGTATCTTGTTTTGTCAATTGTATGTTTTACTGTTTGTCAATCAACAATTCGCATCGGAATTATTGATGACAATATCAACTCGAAGGAGACAATTAAAATAAAAGTGCCTAATCGAACATTCTGTAGTCAAACGAACTTCTACTTACAATTGTATTGGATCAACACGTCGAATTCGCTGCCAAATCTTTTTAATAAACTCGAAGCAGAAAGAACTCTGACGAATATTTACATCACGCGCACGACGAAATTATCTACACAATTAATCCAAGATTTTTGTGAAATAAATCGTATTCCATTCATTAACATGAAGTCATTTGGAACTAAATCAATGCTGTGCTCATTGACGAGGTCGGTGTTCGAAGTGATGATGAGTCTTCTCTTCGAATTTGAATTCTTTTGTGCATTTCAGATCGTTTGTTCAAGAATTTTTCTTTATGCCGAACATCCTTCACGTTTTGTTCAATTATTTGAAATCCAGTCAAGTCCATCGTGCAATTTATATTTACGATAATGAAGAATCAACACATCGGATCTATGAATTATTGAAACTTATGAACGATGATGAATATTTCGATGATTTCATCTTCGATATTCGCACGACAGTATATGAAGATGTCTATTCATTGTTATACAGCATTGAATCGCATTCATTGCATAAAGATCAAATACCACGATATATCCTACTTGATCTTCATTCATATGACAACTATGAAAGGATGTTTGACCAAATCTCGCATATGGGTTTGTACTCGATTGTATTGTCTTTCAATTGAGAAATATTTTCTAGTAGAGAACCAAACGTATTTCGAGTACGATCACTTCGAAACATATGTTCGATACTCGTGTAGAATCATTGTCAAGTGGAGCTAATCTGATTTCGATAGAAGATCGAAGAACAAAAGATTTGATCTACTTGTTCTATTTTCTACTGACGAATCAGACGAATTCTTCTCTTCTAGTTAATATTCATCACGTTGCCTAGCGCGTTTATCATGGAATAATCTTGTTTATGAAAAGAATTTCGGCCATGATGATCAGAAAACAACATAATACTGATAACAAAGAATAATATCCATTTTCCTTAGAGAATTAAAACATTTGCTTGATGTCAGACGAGTTTAGATTAGTGAACTAGATCCGACTATGAATTTTTATCAGATGTTTTGTTGATAGGTCATATAGGAATTGTTAACATCATCTATTTTCTTCTAGGACTTACAAGTAACTTTTATCAATATATAATTGTATCAACATTCGATGCGTGTTTATGGATGAACAGATTGAATTTTACAGGTTTATTAATTTATTTTGATTATCAACAACGTGATTGCAATCTGGACTATCCTCCAATACCGACAACGACCACAACGTATTCTTCGCCAGTTCCATCAATGAAACGTTCGTCGTCATATTATCGATCGAATTTATCTTTTCGTCATGATTCTGACGGCGAGCGAATCTCAAACCCAAGCACAAATCTCTCGTTGCACATGTCATTTACGTCGAATCAAACGAAATCTATGTTAAATCTATGTGATAGTAAACTAAATACAAACAAAGAATACTTTACATATTCATATTTCACATCCTATCTTCCGAAATCCACTCAGCTTTACTCACGTCCATTGTTCGATTCAATCAATTTAGCTATACAAATCTTAACGTCACCGTTATTTGACTGTCGAACGTATCGCTTAAAAGATGTACCTATTCGACCGATGAATTGCAATTTCGCTGATGTGAATGTATTCTCCACACGCAAATCTTCAGTAAATCGATTTCGGAAACAGATTGAACTTGTTGGACGGTATTCGACATTAACGAATGTTTATCAGTCGTGTCAACTCAATGAACATAAGGATTCTACTACGAAAAAGAAGCCATTATCGTCGAAGATTTATTATATTACCAGTCTATTCGATGAGCCGTTTCTTATGCTACGCCGGCAAGCGTACTCTAATGGAAATTATAATCGAACTCAGCCGAATTTAATCGAATTGCATGGTCAGATATTCAGTTTCGATGAACTAGAGGGCTATTGTGTTGATCTAGCACGTGAAGTTTGTTCCGTTTTAAATATCACGTGTCTATTTCGTATTGTGCAAGATGGAAGTTTCGGAAGTAAGAATGTCACGACGGGAATGTGGAATGGTGAGTGTGATGTCAACGTGAAAAATGTGATAAAGCTAGTTTATTGTAGGAATGGTTGGCGAAATTGTTGCTCGAAAAGCTGATATGGCTATTGCACCGTTAACTATCAGTCAGAGGCGAATGGAAGTTGTTGATTTTAGTAAACCCTTCATGAATTTAGGTAAGTAAATTGAAAGCAAAAAAGACTGTTTTTCTCTCAATTACTTCGATTTTCTCCTCTAGGCATTTCTGTTATGGTATGAACGAAATTCCAGCTTATTCCCTGATTTTGATCGAGTTTTTACTTTAGATTCGTAAACCTGATGCTCAGAAGCCAGGTGTTTTCTCTTTTATGAATCCAGTTTCAATGGAGATTTGGTTATGCTTTTCCCTCTCTTATTTTGCCGTTAGTGTTGTTCTTTTCTTAACATCATGTCTGGTGCATACCGGCTGGCGACGACGTATCGTTCGGCAGCCATCGTACCGATCATATTCGTATCCGAAGAGTGTTAATGATCGGCGTAAAAGTGAAATTCAGTTGCAACGTCAAAAACGCGATTCCAGCTTTTCGGAACAATCAGCTGAGTTAAATATATCGGCTCGAGCATCGATACGACGTCGATCACGGCATCGAACACGCTTTCCGTCACAACAGACACCAACTTTCAATTCGAACAAGAATCGCAAGAGAAAGAAAGCAAATGAAGAAAACAATGCCGATGCCGTTCATCTCTTTGGTATTTCAAATGCACTTTTCTTCTCGTTTGCATCGTTTATGAGACAATCAATTAATCTTGTGCCCAAATCGTTATCGGGTCGTGTTGCAGCAATATCGTGGTGGTATTTTTCGTTAATCTTCGTTTCATCGTACACAGCCAATCTTGTTGCTTTTCTTACTGTTGAAAAACTAGTCACACCCATTGAGAGCGTTGAAGATCTTGGTAACTAGATTTGTTTTCTAAGAAAATCGATCTATTGTGTTTGTTTTTGTAGCGAAACAACACGAAATTAAGTATGGTTCGTTGAGAAACGGAACAACTGCAGCATTTTTTGAAAAATCGAATATTACTGCCTATCAAGATATGTGGGCAATGATGCAGAGAAGTTCGTCTGAGGTGTTCGTGGCCAGCAATGATGAAGGTGTTGCAAAAGTACGAAGTTCCAAAGGGAAATATGCCTTTTTCATCGAGTATGTCGGATAAATAATCAATCAGTCAATCGTTTATCAAATCATTCATTTTAGATCAACTAAAAATGAATATGTGAATGAGAGATTGCCATGCGACACAATGAAAGTCGGATCTGAACTTGATTCGAAAGGTTATGGTATTGCAACACGATTAGGTTCAGATCTAACCGAAGCCATCGACATTATCATCACCAATCTTCGAGAATCTGGCTTTTTAGACAAACTAAAACAACGCTGGTGGTAAGTTTTCATTGGAGTGTCCATCTCGTTGCAATGCAATATTTATTCCTTTCAAGGTACGATCGTTCGGAATGTTCGAAAAACACAAAGGATAAGCGTTTCAGTGAATTGAGCCTTTCAAGTGTGACAGGGCTTTTTTATATATTTCTCTTTGGTATTATTCTGTCATGTTTCATTGCATTCACGGAATTTCTCATCACTGCAAAAACGGAATCGGAAACATTAAATATTGGCTTTCGAGAAATTCTCCGTATAAAAATGATTGAGTATGTAATCGAATTCATCTACGAGCATTCTCTCATTTGTGTCGTTTGAACATAGAAATATGATTGGCATAACAATTAACACACAACGACAATTAGAATTTGGACAAATTCATCAAGAATGTAATTACGAATATCATCACGAGGAAGAAGAGGTGGCCCGACATTATCCGGATAGTCCAATGCTATCATCACAAACTGATGTGTAATGAGATTCACATATGAACTCTGTTTTGAATATAGAGATTTCCTGTACATGTTACATTTATAATTTCGGAGAGATTGGAAAAATAAATCTTGTAAATGTATTCTCGTTCATCAATGCGAAATTCAATTGATTAATCAAGTTAAGGATCGTTGATAAACAATGACAAACATTTCCTAGAACCAAATATGTTATTCAGTGCATCTTTGAATCCAATGTATTAAGTTGATTATATTTATTTGCATAAAGCAAAAGATTTGAAGATTCTTCAATAGATGGCAGCAACGGTCTTCTGCCGTAGACCTTTACGAATGTTACTATGTGAAACATTCAATTAATGGTGTGATTCACTTGATGAGCATTTCTTTCTTCAAACCATGTTAAGAAAGTTTCGTCCCGGAAATGAATATCAAGCAGAATCGACTGAATTAGATTTGAAACGAACATATATGTATGTAAATAAGCAAGATGATGCGTTCTTCTATATTGACTTTGTAATCTAGTAAACATGAACGACAATCTTTACTTGATTCTTCGATGATTCAATTACCGCAATCGTTACAACAGAATAACGAGACATTATTTTTGTCAACAGTGGAAAAAGCTCGACTACGAAATGAAAATTTGTTGAAAGTATGAACCATTCGCGCTTTGATTCTGTCAATGAATTTTGCGTTCTAGTCAATAAAAAAGTTAAATCACGAAATCGATGCACATTTACAACAACCAGATGATAACAAGTTTACTACATTGAAAGTAAGATCTTTCATTTCGAAGAAGCGAGTTGGACGATTCTTTTCTATAGAGTAATTATTGGGATATGGTGAACAAGTTATTACCAGTATGGGAACGTGAATTGGCAGATTATGAAAAACGAAAACGACAGGAACACGGAGATAATATTCAAGATGTTTGAAACGTTTGTGTACTACTTTTCGAAATTGGTTTTGATAGATGTGTGAAAAGTAGATAGTTTTCTTTCCAGTGGAATTGATTTATTCGAGAAAATAGATACATCGAAATAAAACACAAGACACATATAAAAATGACCATAACAAAACTTAGGACAACATAGCATCAGTTGTTGTTGTTGATGTAGTTTCAACTTGTACAGTTGAAGAATCAACAGGGGTTTTATCTAATAGAGAATTGATTGCTTGTTGATATGCGAGATAATGTTCTTTATTGATAAATTCATATCGTTGAACTGGCTCAATCTAATAACAATACAGAAAATAATTTATGGTCTGAAAAGTTGTCTGGTGTGCTTACGGATCTAGTGAAGAGTTTGTGTCTCATTTCAATCATGTCTTTTGCACATGAACCAAACCGTCGATGACAAGAATTGACAATGTTCGGTGTGGATTTCAATTGCAATTGCTTCATGAAATGAGTCAATGGTAATGAGTGAATGTCGACTCCTTGAAGTTTTTCTTTTTGTTCAGTTGTTAACAAGCGATCTGAAACATTTAAGACATCATTGCTGTTTGTTGTACGAGCGATACGGGATGTGACTTGAGAATTTGATGGAATACGTTTATCGCGAGATAATGATGACCAATCCATAGCCATGTAAGCTTCGATTGCCGCTGAAAAAGCAATTGCATGATTAGATTCCAATAAGAAGTATCAAATAAGAATAAGATTTACTTTGTTTGGGAACAGTGGATTCATCGAGATGTCCTTCAGAATCGGTAATATTTTCTAAATCTTAAAAGACATGACTAGCATTGGTATTCCCCTGTTGACATTCTCTTAACTCTTACCTTTTTCTTTCCCATGCCGATGACTCGATCGTCTACGTGAAAGGTTTATATATAAATCAAGAAAGAATTGAAAAGGACTGATTACTTTTTTTCTGATGAGGATCTGGTTGTATCGTGCCGAGTACTATTACTTCGTGATTTTGTTGAAGTATGCTCTTTTGCATCGCTACTTCGACTAGACTTGGCCTCTAATTTATCTTTATGTTTCCGACTGGATGATTCATCTCTTAAAGCAGTATTCGTAGCACTACGGCGTGGATCCGATCTAAATTCGTAGTTAGCAGAACGTAAGAGTAATCATTGATTTGTTTACTAACCGACTGCTCGTCGAACGAGTTTCATCTCGACTTTTATTGCTAGACGTAACTTTCTTTGAGCTACCTAGAAGGAGATCATTGCTTGTATGATGAAGACAAACTGGCAAATAACTGTACCGTCGTTTAATCGTTTGCGCTTTGATTCACTGCTTTCACTACTTTTGTCTTTGGTATGTGTTTTCTCAACATCTCGAGATCGTTTACTTGACTTAGAACTGGTCTTTTCTGGTTCGCTACTCTTTTTAACTGGTTTTGTTAATACTTGTCGCGCATCTTTCTTGTCAATGGACGGGGCAGGACTTGAGTCGTCATCGAGAATGACACATACGGGTGATGACGGTTGATTAGCATGAGATTTTTCAGCTTCAGCTGAATGTTCCACAGATCCTTTATCAGACATTTCCGATGTTACTTGAATCGGAGGTGTGGGTGAGAGTTGAACAAGTACAGGAGGCGTCAATTCGGTCGCATCTATGACAAAAACACGTTGACGGTGAAGAAAAGAAATCAAGAATTCAATGACATACTACGATCAGACCGTTCCGATGAGTTTCTAGAAGTTAAACAGAGATAACTATTGGCAATGACAAACTGTACAACTTACTGCGTTTTACTGCTCGAAGATTTCGCGTCGTCCGTTTTGACTTGGATACTTCTTTCATATATACTCGTGCTACTGGTATTTGTTGACGAAGAATGACGTCTTTGTTGCTCAGATGTCGATCGACTGGGTGATTTCTTCTCTCGTTTGATCTCGTTAGACTTTTTGTTACTTTCGGTTTGCTGATGTATGGTTTCAACTGGCTTCTTTTCAGGTTTGATTTTCTTCGAGCCGAGAAATTCGATTTCTGGCACGGATTTGCTTTTCGAATCTTTGCTCGTAGATTTCGTCGCCTCATCTTTATTTCGTCTGGCGATGGTAATTGTCCGTTTAGGAGATCGATTGCACGAGCTCGTTTGTCGTAGCAATTGATCATTAAGTGTTTCCTCTTCGTCATAATTCATTGGAGAAATCGAGTCGCGTTTTTTATGTTTCGATGAGCTAGATTTCTTCTTTTGTTTACGTGATGAATGAGTGTATTCGGAATCTGACGCCGAACTTACCGATGATTCACTGGACAAGAATGAACATTCAATAAAGTTACAATTTCAAATGTCAAGTTTACCTTTCGACTGCACGCTGCTTTTTACTGGATGAATGGCGGATTTCGTGTGATGATGAATATGACTTTTTCTTCGACGATTCAGTAGAATTCGAAGAAGATCTTATTTTTGAAGTCGAATGATGACTGTCCGACTAGGAGATGGTCAATTCAATAGAGGTTTATATAGTCGACTGAGAAAATAGTCTACCTGCTTACGATCATTGCCACTCGAACGACGATCTGCTAAAACATATGGGACTTATTGACTTTAGGAGAAAAGAAAATGTTTACCAGAATGATCAGTTGATGGAGCGATACTTTCAATAACAGTTCGATTCGATTGAATAGAATTTGAAACAACTACTGGCCGTTGTTCGTTCGATACTGTCACTGTGCTTTTCATCGACGAAGACGACATATCGACCACCCTGGTTATTGTCTACATGAAAACAAGCATAAACCATCTGTGGAAGAAGAAGAAGAACATTAGCTTTTAAACTACTTTTGTAATACGAAATTCGTCGTTCGATCCTGATTGTTTATCGAAACTTTATGAGAAAAAAAAAACAAGAGATGAAAATAAACAAAATGATGATTTATACTTCGGCTGTTCGTGAATATATTTACATGTATCACCTAGTGGACATGAGCCAGTTTTAATAAAAGTATTACAGAATCCGTGTGTCTAAAATTGACAACGAAAAGCGAGACATATTCATGGGAAATCAATGAGAAATTTTACACTAACACTTTTGTTCGTTGAATTCGTCACTGCAGAAGGTGAAGATGAATTTCCTCCAATACGATCGAAAACACTCTTTTTTATTGGTGCATGCGACATATCGAATGTAGTGTTAATTATACATCTAAATTAAGAGGAAAACTGCAAATCATACCAAGAGGTAAAGGCCGCAAGATGGAACTGATGGAAAAGAGAAAAAATTCTATTCAAGAAAATAACACCTCAGTGGCCTAAATGTTCTTACGAATAAAAATTCTTCATATGTGGCGCCACATTTGTTTTCTCATGATAAGTCGTGACTCATTCTTTTTTATTCTTGTTCATTCGATATGATCGATAAAACATTGTTCTGTTTTTTCGTGTCTTATCGATTACCGTATTCGACCATAAGCTCTTGATTTTGAAACATTAAATTCTTACAAGTCTCGAGAAATTTGACGATCGACCGGATTAGTGTTTTTCTTCGCTGAGTATTTCAATGTCAAATGCGTTATTGATGATTCAGCGAGACGATTTTTATACAAAACAGTGAATCTATCGAACAGAACACTTTGTTCTTTTGACTCTAGATGAACGAATCATACGACATACCGAGTGAGCCGCGTCTCTCCAGTACGCTTCATCTGACTCGACCAACACCACGATCCCGAACAAAAATGACATTAAGAAAGCGATTACCGCCAACACCACCTGATTCCACACCTATCTCTCTTGGTCTAGATGATACCGTTCCCCTCGATGGTAAATGCTCATTGGTATACTTTTTTAGTTGATCATGCGTATTTTTCTCTTCTCTAGAACCGCCTAATATCACGAGTGCTAACACATATTCGACTTGCCAATCAACCGATCAACATTCCGCTTCATATGTGAATCAATTGACTCCATCCAATCATTCGGATAATGATGATTTCTATGTGATACCACGTGAAGAACATCTTCCAATGTGTGATACTTCGAATGCTACCATCACAGACGCCAATTCATCGACTCCACCAAACGGCTCAGACTCTGCCCAATTCTACGCCAGTCCGCCAACGTTCGCTAAAAATTTCACACTCGAGTCCAATTTGTCATTTGACGACAGTGAAGATATTCCGAACGTTTCACTTGATGCTGTACCTGATGTTTTAAATGACAACACGTCAGCTAACAATGAAATCTATTACTCATATCCAACGCAACAAACTACTACAGTAAGTTATTTCGTTATCGTTTGTTCTTTCTTCTAGTACGAACTTCCTCGATTAAATATCACAAAAGAAATGTACGCAGGAGTAATGCATATACTTTTCTATGATAGGAATGAAAGGAGAAAAAAAAAGAAAGTCCATGAGTCAAATGATCGTATTGCGTTGATGAGTAGGTTTCTTTTTTTTGCTAATCGCTATTTTCGGTTGCTGAAAAGCTATGAATAATTATCGATCTGAGGTAGATTCATTTTTTATTTCGATTTGGCGAATTCTAAGATGTTATATAATTCTTTAGCAACGTGAAAAACTTGTAAATACGACTGAAGAAAAAGATCTGTTCCTTTCTAAATTGAATCGTGTCATTCAACAGCAAATCACTACTCAACAACAATCGTCGAGAACACTTAAAAAGGACGACGGCAAAAACTAGTAAGTAGTCCGCCAGAATCAGCCCAAAGGATTACTCAAATCTATCTTTAGTTATTCAATCGAACCAGTAGAAGATAAACAACCACTTGTTTCTTCACTAGCTGACGATTATTCGAATCTATCGCTCGAGAATGGTCACGTTCCAATTCGACGAAGTAAATATCAAATCTAAACAAGACCTTTCATGCTTCATTTTGATGATTAATGTTTAGATAAAACGTCCGACTGTCTCGATATTGTTCGACAGAATCTGACTAACACGCGATGTGCAGATTGCGACGAAGATCATCCAACTATTGCTATCGCCTCATGGCTATTAGTCATATGTGACAAATGTGCCGGTAACTATTCTTCGTCTTAGAAACTATTGATTCAAACTTGTTTTGCTTCTAGCTGTTCATCGCTTGTTGACATCCGATTTTCTCTCTTTGCAATCTCTCTTGAGTACAACATGCGATTCTGATTTGATTGATCTGCTACACGATTACGGCAATCATTATTTCAACAAATTGTTGGAAAATCAGCTGTTAGGAGTATTGAAACCAACGTGTTTAGCCACACAGTCCGAACGCGAACAGTACATACGAAAAAAGTACATCGATAGACTTTATCTCCAACCATTACAAATCAACAATCGAAATGCATTCACTCAAGATGAACTGAATGCAATGCTTTATGAAAATGTTGAAACACCCGATTGCGGGAAAACGGTGCATTTGATCATGCTAGGAGCAAATCCAAATTTCTCACAGAAAATGTTCGCGGTAGCCGATCATGCAAAACGACATCAGCAGACGAAACAAATGAAAATTATTCTTGCCAACGGAGGTAAAGGAGAAACATATCGATATAACATATAGGATGATTTCTATTTTAGGTTTATCTGAATTTGATTTGATGAAAAATGATGTTGATGATGCAAACCTTCCACCCTACGAAGCAAATGTTCATTTAGTAACCAAACATGGTATTCTAAAGGAAATTCTCACCCGATGCGAGACCGACCGTGTGAAAATCTATTCGCTTCCAAATACGATGGACAAGCCTCATCATCATCAACCAGTAGTCGCTCGGTATTTATTTGAAATCGATCTCAATAATGTTCTCGCCATTTGTAATGATTCCGTCAATTCCATTTCACTAAAATCTCGTTCAACAAATCTGCCGACGTTGAACATCAATAGTCAATGTATCTTGATTGTCGACGAACAGGCGTCATTTAATGAATATTTCTGGATATTTCCTAATGAACTCGAACGCGCATTGTGGATCCGAGAATTATTAAAACGACAATATTCTTACCATCAGTTAATTTATTCCGACTTCATTCTTCTGACGAAGCTGAATGTTCAAGAGGGCATCAATGCGGAAAAACAACAAGCCATCGCTGTCGTTTATCCAGGGCGATTTGTTATCTGTTCAGACACAATTTTCGACGAAGTTGACTTGAGAAAATACTGCAGTTTAAGTACGTTGATTTCGATTCATTAGTATTTCATCTTCTGTTTCTCGTTTAGCTTATCAAAAGAGTCAAGAATTCGTTGGTGTGGTTCTTTGTCTTGTCTCCAATCGTTTTCTATACTTATCCTCGCCGATATCCAAGCTAACTGATATGTTATATTCATGTCTACGCGAGGCAACTAAAGTGAAAACTATAACAGACTTGAATCGTCAAATTTTAACCTCGCAAAATGTACCCGTTCTTGTAGAAAGGTTTATTAATTTCATTTTTGAACATGGGTTAGAGAGTAAAGGTAAGAGAACTTGCCCTAAGACCATTTATTTGCGTCAGAGACAAATCTTTTTAAGATACTTATCCTCAAAAAGATGAACTTGAGACTCTACAAAACATAAAGTATGACTTTTCTAGGTATCTATCGTCAAGCAGGCCAGGAAACAAAAATAAAACAATTGCTTAATGAATTTCTTGAAGATCCCTTTAATACGTCGTTGACACGAGAAAATTATACAGAACATGACGTTGCTAATGGTTTGAAACGTTTCCTTCGTCAATTAGAAACTCCGCTGTTGGGTACGCGCCAAAATTATGACGCATGGCTACGTTCAACAGTCGATCCAAGTATCACGCCTGAACAACTCATTCAATACTATCGCGGTCTCCTTGTCGATTTGAAACAACATCATCCGGTTCATTATGCAACGTTAAGAAAAATGTTGGTACATATCCAGACTGTCTCAATGCTCTCCGATAAGAATTCGATGATTTTATCGAATCTTGTGTCGACGTTCGCACCATGTATTATCTCGCAACCACTCGCACCACCACAAGCGTCGACACAAGCAACTAATTCATATGCAAACGATCCACGCGATCAACATGGAATGTCACTGGATGATATGGACATGAGGTATCCAAAAACTCAAGACGATAACGGCTTTTTGCTTGATAGTGAAGCTCAAGATTCAGTTGGACAATTGATAAACACATCATCACCGGCTAAACTGAAACGAAATCAATCACTGCAATGTAAGATCTAGTTTCCTTGAATTAATTACTGGTCTCAGTAGAATTAGGAGTACTACCGACATAGCTCAATGTCTTAAATAAATAGTTTAAACTGATAGAGTTAAGAGCACACTTTCCAGTTCTAGACTCAAGTGTATCTTTATTTAGCTCATCGTCTTTCCATGATATCGACATCTCCTCCATCACGATTTCCATTGTCGTCATCTTATGCACGTGTAACTCCATCGATTCAAGCTGATCTCGAAATTATGAATAATCTCTGTCAATACTATCGTGAGTTGTTCAATATCAGTCCTGAAGAAATCGAACACGAAAAAAAATGTGTGGAAACCCTAATTTCACTTCGCAACAATCAATGTCAACCACGTAAACTAAATGGCACAATGGTTTCTGTTTATTTTGAGTCTCGTGCGGACGAATTAAATGGTTATGCAATTAACATCCTCGAACAAGAAACAACAGCGGAGATTGTTATTGACAAAATCTTAAAACAAATACATAAACACGATTGTTTCTTTTGGGCACTGTTTGAAGTGATTATCGATCAAAATCTTGAACGACCGATGTATTCATCGGAAAACGTCTCCAATGTTTTACATCGTTATCGAACGTACTTACCACAAGAACTGAATCGCCAAGCGACATTTGTTGTGAAATTGAACTATGTACAATTTGAAAAAGAACGGTTGCAACAAACACTATCAAATGATTTATCGGCTACTGAATGTGAATATTTCGATTCTGTTAGTAAACGCTGGTTACCATGTATCTGGGCATGTGAGAAACGAAATGTAAGCTACTTTTGAGAGCGAATTAAACATTCCATAGGAGATCTCTTTGTTTTTAGCTCCAAATTCATCGATTACCGAATGAAAAGTCCGCGAAATGGAAATCCCGTTTTACGAATTCATCCACACAAAACAGTCTCCAACGAAAAGATTCCTTATTTACTTCGAATACACTCTTATCCGATCAGCAAATGCCTATCTTCTCCTGGTTTGTCGAGGATCTATACGCATACATTGGTGCTGATCGTCGTTTCGTTACTCCATTTGACATGAACGAATATCGAACGTTAACACTCTTACACATCGATTCCATCAATGAATCAACATTTGGCATAGCTTTTCGTTTTGTCGATCGTCATCAAATGTTTACTAGATATCTGGAATTGGTTTGTCATAACGGACACAGTCAATGGACAAGAGACGCATCTCATACGATTCCAGACGGTGTCAATTATTTACCATTGCAAAATTACCATACGCCATCGACATTGTTGACATCATCGAGAAAAAAGTCCGAACAAATCAAAACGAAATTGATGGCAAAAGCAAGTCATGGAACTCCGAGTTTAGGAAAACAAATAAAAAAATGAATAACCTGTGAATATACGGTGCTGTTTAAACTAACGAACAATTCTCCCTTTCTATTCAATAGTTTGTGTGTAAATCAATACCGTTGTGGTAAATGTTCTCATTTGTTGAATTCGCCTTGTTTTTCTCTCTATGTACAGTAGTAAAAAAGAATGTGTGCTCTGTTTTCGTCTCCATTTATTCAACAGAACTTTTTTTGTTAGATAAGCTTACAGCTGATCGTCCTCTTTTTTTCAGATATGAAACTACGCTATTTTCATTCCAAATAACAAATCTAATATCTTATGTAAATACAATCGATATTCATTGTTCCTACCAATATTTAAAGTAAGTTTTTTAAAATATCGATTAAATGATGCATCACGACGAAAAAAATATTTATAAATAGAAGAATTCTCATCAATATTTTACCTATATATGAGTAATGCTTTTTTTCTCTTTCTCTCAAGGTGGAAAGTCCAAAATATTAAATGAGTCGAGAGTATTTGCTGTTATGTAACGCCTTAGAGTCAACGTTTGAGCCATTTGAAAGTACGTTCTGGTTATTAAACAAACACTTCAACATGTTGTTTTTTGCACTATTGATTATGTAATGGAAATGTTTCCCTTCGCTAAGAGTTCATTTATCTGAGCACTTGGATACTAGCGGGCTTCTTTTTTTATTATTAAATACTGAGAACCGAGGGAGGATTGAGATTATGCTGTTTCGTAAGAGCGTCTATCAGCATAAATGTTCGGCGTGCCCTTAACGCCATTGAGAACCCGCCGTTTACAAGACATGCAAGCTGAAACGAGACTGAAAGTATTCAGTGAACTCAGTTACATAAGTCTCTGTTTCGCATTACACTCGTGATGTTGTAATCAGTCGGAGAAAAACAAGAAGAAGAAGAAAAGCAAACAGAACAGAACAAAATAAAAACGAGACAGACGAGAAGAAAAATCCGAATCGGAGAACGAGAATAGGGATGGTATTCACGTAATCGGTTGCCCCAACATGAAAGTTGGGCAAAAGAATATCAAGAACATTTTATAGTACAACGTAGAGAAAAACATTTTCTTTGTGTCAACTTTATACATGAAAAGTTTCCTTATTGAATGTCTTGTCTATATCAATGTAGTCAACTATGTTTCCTGCACATAACTATTCCACAATACGAAAGACTCGATCGAGACATCGAACATCGAAACGAAAGCAACGTCAATACGCAAGTAGGCCAACTCATTGCATAATAAGTAAAGCGTCATCACTCGATTCTATTCATCAAATACTAAATGATCTAAAACGACCCGGCTCGCGTTTCTCATCATATACAATCACCGAACTTGAACCGATTTGCCAACAAATAGCTATGCAGCAAATGTCAACAGTATCTTCTTCAAGTGAATTTTGTCCATTAACTTGTACATTTTGTCAACATGTGATTTATGATCCAATAACCCTCTACTGTGGCCACACCTTTTGTGATCGTTGTTTACAAGACGAACAGTTCTCCTCGGCCATCAATTGTCCGCGATGTCCACACGATCTTCAAGGACAAGTTCAATCATCTATTCTATACGCACGAGAACAGTCCTACAAGAAGAATCGCTTTCTCCAACAATTATTTGATCGATCGGAATCATTCAAAAGCAAATACGATCTGATCCGTCTATGTTACAAAGGGCAGATCGAATATTCCAACGATAACTATCAAAAAGCGATAGACATTTACACACATATTATTGATGAATGTAGGAGAGCAAAATTGTTGTTGTTTTTCTCCCATGTTTTATTTGTTTTTCAGGTAATGATCATCATTTAGCCTTATACTATCGTGCAAAAGCATACGTAGCCTTGAAAGAGTTTCACCAGGCGCTTTCAGATGCTAACCGTGTTGTGGCATTAAAACCTCAATGGACCAAAGTAAGAATTCGTTCCCAACTGCTCATCGAGCTATAATTTCTATTATTAGGGATATTTATGTCAAGGAGAGATATTGTTTCAAATGAAGTATTTCACTGCCGCTCTGCGCTCGTCGCTGAAAGCACTAGTCATAGATCCGGAAGATTCAACAGGAAAACGACTCATGGCACAAGTAAATGTTCTCAAATTTTTTTCACATTTTTCACTCATTAATTCGTTTTTTAAGCATCTGCATGCTGCATTACATAATGACGATGATGAAGATGCTGTATCAATGATGGAAGAAGAACAAGTACAAATTAATGCATCGTCATCCTCGCCATATGGTGAGCAGAGTGAAGCGCTTTCTTCTGGTAAGGAATGATAGCTGTCGCAAATTGACGATGGAGTGTTGTATTTTTCGATAAAGCGCATAGCACGCTACAAGTTCGAAAAAAGGCGACGCGATCTAATAGGTTCTAGCAGAGAGAAACAACGAAAAAAGGAAATATTCTTTTCAACCTATCTCTTGCATGCTAAGATATAATCGAGGTCAGCCCGGAAATGTTTAATAGATGGCAGACGTCTGTGCCTCAACCGGAAAACGCATGTAGATTAACGATGAAATTAATTCGAATGAACGGCAAAATATTTACTTGAAGTAAAGTTCACCAAAATAATCATTTCATTGCTTGATTTTCTTTAATTCACAACTATGATCTGATGACGCACCCTTGACTAACAATTATGTCGACGAATGATACTTAATGCCAAACAACTGACTTAGTCTCAGCCATGCTTTTCGTATTTCTCACGACATCAAATCTTTTAGCTAATCTTTTCCTTTTGCCGGCAGACTATTAGTTAGAAAATTCATCAGAAAACGAATAAATATAACTGAGTAAAATCGACCATTTAATACAAAAAATAACTAATTGTAACCGAAATCGTTCACTCGAAATTTGATTTCAGAATCCAGTTGCTCGCAAGTGATAATGTGTAAATCCAAACGTAAGTTAACTAATTTCTGTATGTCCTTTTAAGATTATATCTACTTTTTAGAACCATCAAATCTGTGTTTCTGTTCCCAATTCGACTATAAAAATTTCTCTCCAAGAGATTTTGAATGTTCGATCTGTGTTAAGTAAGATGTGCAGTTCAATTCACGTTCCATACCTAACCGATGTTCCATTCGATTTAGTTTACTATGGACATCGATTACTACTCCTTGTGGACATGTATTCTGTCGTGAATGTCTCATTCGCTCCGTTGATAACACACAAGCCCAATGTCCGATCTGCAAAAGTTCATTGGAGGAAGTGAGTCTTGTTGAATGAAAGGATGTTTCATTAAGGATGAGCGTGTTATCGTTTTAGTTCTTTCCCATGTTGATACGTTCACATGTAAATCAAACTGAATTAATTTCTAAAATAATTCAGACGTATTTCCCAGCTGAATACAATGAACGACAACAAATCTACGAACAAGAAAATATTCGAGGGTAAAATATTGAACATAAAAAGATAACTCCGATGTTTATCGAACCTTTGTAATTCAGTGTTGCGATTCCACGATCAGTAATTACCCAAACTGAATCAATTATCACTGAGATACCTATATTTGTTTGCGTGTTAACACTACCTTGTTGTACATGTCCATTACATGTATTCGAACCACGTTATCGTTTGATGATGCGACGAACTATCGAAACAGAATCGCGTACATTTGGAATGTGCGGATATGATGAACAAACAGAGTAGGAGGAAAAGCAGCACTCAATTCAGATAAAAGTTTTCACTCTGTCATTTTTAGTACATTTACTGAATATGGAACTTTGTTATATATTCGAGGACTTATTTACACAGCTGATGGTCGTTCAATAGTTGATACGATTGGTCAACGTCGATTTCGTGTACTTGAACGTGGGATGAGAGATGGTTATCATACAGCTAAAGTTGAACTGATACATGATGATCGTATCGAACAACAAGAGTTCAATGGTATGCTGATTGTTCGTTTTCAATAGGATTAAATTGAAAATTTTCTTTAACTCTTAGAATTATTCCAACTCAATCAAGATACATATAATCGCGTTCGACAATGGTTCGACCAACTCGATGAAGATATGCAACATAAGATATCACGACAATTTGAAGAATATCCGTCATGTGATGATGTAGTACAAGATTCAGGTAATAATTTCGAACACTTCTGAGAAAAGTCGACAGGATGTTTATCGCTTTAGTTGATGGACCGAGCTGGACTTGGGTTATATTAAACATATTACCGATTGACTCAACTCTTCAGCATACTGCATTGACTTCCCGTTCGCTACGCGTGCGTTTACAGATGATCAATGATACGATTAGTTTTCAACTTCATCAACAACAATCATTACAAATAACTGAGCAATAGACTTCTGCTTTTATAGCGATTTGGATAATGAATAAGCCGGTGTTCGATCTTTTTTTATTTCTATGAAAACAAAAGAAAAGCCTAAGAAAATGTCTTTGTGCTTTTTTTTTCATATTATTTTTACTACTCAATTATTGTGATGTGTGCTTATATTTCGATAAAATCATAATAAAATGAACCCGATATGTTCTCAAAGATTGATGGCTACGAACTGCATAAAAAGAAGGATGACAAGGATTATAGTTGCGATGAGTGATAAATATGTTCGCCATTCGATGGAGAACATCGACGAAGAATGAATGTGATGGTGATGAATGTGGTGAACTTCGCTGTTTGTTTGGGTTTGTTTGTTCGTTTTATTGATAGCGGAAGGAGATGATGAGAATTCGTCAGAGGATGATTTTGGTTGCTGAAAATCGAGTTCTTGGTTATGCATAGCTTGTTTAAGTAGTTCAATGCGATGAGCAATTGAAGATGAGATGAGCGGGTTTTTATTCAGATTTGAATTTGAACGTATTTTTGGTTTACTGTGCAAACGTCGAAGACGTGTGCCTTGTTGCGAACGAGTACACGGACCATTTGTGAGAGAATTCTTTCGAGAGGCGTACTGAAATCCAATGCAATTTTCAATCGATGAAGAGGTGGACGATATCGTTGCACATGTGATTGCTCTATTTGAAGAATGCCGAGGTTCAACCTGAACAAAGAAAAAGAAGAAGAATACTGAGTACGGACAAATACATTGACTTTTATATGTCTTACTGAGTTGCGACGTTTCGTTTGTTCGGTATCTCTTTCTGAACTGTTACATTGTCTGCGATAAACAGACAGTTCCGTACGAAGAGATTTATCATCTTTTAATAGCATTGAAGTATATGGTTCTGTGAATGGCACACGTTCCTCAGGCTCAATAAACGAGCGTATTGAATTAGTAGATTCTTGTTGCGCGTTTGTTTTATGTTCACTGTTATTATTATTAGGATTTCCTTTGCCTTCAGTTTGAGACACAGGAGAAGTATTCTCAGACAAATGAATGTGTTCTTCGAGTGGTGCTCTACTAGAATGATCATTATAAAGCCATCTTTGTAATATACGGCTCAACCGAAACCGAACATTCGTTGCATATCTAATCGAGTGCTGACTTTTCGACAGTTTCAAATCTGGTGGCTGTGTAGCTAATGCTGAATAGTGAACAGCCGGAGCGGTGAATACCATATTTAATCACCGATATTTGCCAAGAATAAAAAGAACAGATTCATCAATATACTATTGATAATTCATGCAAAGATATTCAAAAGTCAATCGGAAATAAGTGAAATAAACATGACTGAATTACAATCAAATTCGAATATTAAGCGCGCACACGGATCCAAATCTGCCCTTAATTCACAAGACACATGCCAGTATCTGACATCTATTGAATATGATGATATATTTATCGATTGTGCGATTAGTAGTCCAATCAAATGTCGAAGATTTTTTCCATTCTTTCTGTACTTTTCATTCCTAGTGGTTATTGTTTTTTCCTTCTCTTTTCTTTTGCTTCTGTCTCTCTGTCTCTCTCGCTCGCCATTCGTCTGTCTTGTTTCATTTTATTTCCATCGATCAAACTTAACTCGTCTTGTCTAGCTCAACGAAAAACAGAAGTAAATTGCTTTACAAACTAAACATTCGCTGTTCATTCTCTAGTCTATTTATGGATGTAATCGAACATTTACAAGATATCTTCTTCCTTTTGCAGATTTGATTCTATCTGAATGCACGGAGAAAGAGACGGACGAACCTTATCGTCACCGCCTCCATCCATGCTTACCGATGAGACAGCTAAGAATGATATTAATACGAATTCATCCTCAACGCACACTCCACCAACTGAACTAGCTTATCTACCAATTGGATGTTCGGTTAGTGCGAAATATCGTGGAGCATTTTGTTCAGGTAAAAGTTATTTTTCGCGGAAACTCAGTGATCTGAAGTTTATCTTTGTTTTCATTTCAGCACAAGTCAAAGCATTTGAAAAACAAGTTAAATTAAAAGTCACACTAGTGGATAGTGGTGATACAATCACAATTTCCGAAGAACAGATTGTTCATCCAACTACATTACGCATTGGCAATACGGTTACAATTCGTTTAAATCCATCAAATCGTCGTCAATCGAATGATTCGAATTCTCATCAACATTATTCACGAAGTGGTTTAGCTGCATTTATCAATCCTACAAATCCCGATGAAAAACAGGCAACTATCAAACAAATCATCGACAATAGTCTCTATACTGTCGTTTTCAATGATGGAGATGAAAAATCGCTGAGACGTTCATCATTATGTTTACAAGGTGTTCGTCTTTATCAGAATCAATATGGTCAACAGAAAATTCTCGAAGAAATTCCTACTACCACACCGACAGCATCAATCTCCCCGCCGCCACCGCCGCCATCATCATCATCGACAGTAACACCGTCAACGGACACAACGAATGCCAATCCAAGTGATGTTTCGACGGTCGTGGCTATTAAACGACAAGGAAATAACGATCAAAACGTTTTCCCAGCAATAGTACTCAAACGAAAAGCGTTGGCTGATTACATGTGGGTACGAAGTTTCGTTGATGGAAGAGAATATATTGTTCACACACGTGATGATGTACAACCTTATCATAATAATCAAGACATTCAAGCACTATGTCGTGCGTCGTCGAAGCAAGCGACACAAGCTTGTGAGAAATTCATAAAATACAATCAAATTCCAGCTGTTTGGCAAAAGAAGAAACGACAACAGCAGAAATCGGATAATAAAAATACTCAGAGCGATGAAGAAAATAGTAGTGAAAGTGAATCCAGTTCAAGTGAATCTGATGATGATGACGACGACGAGATCGATGAAGAAACTGCCGAAGAAAAAGATTCGTTCGTGGCTCAACTATTTGCATTCATGGACGATAGAGGTATCTATATATATAAAGAAGAAAGTTTGTCTGTCTGTCTGTCTGTCTGTCTGTTCGCTATGCATTCAGTCCCTGTAGCAGCTATCGGCGTGGAACTTTCCACAATGCTTCCTGAGACCCAGAGGAAGGTCGACATCTACTTTTCCCCGAGAACAAAGGAGCCAGCCGTTTGCTGCAGGCAATATATGAAACGGACCAATAGGATTGCGAGATTTCCCAAATTGAGGAAATTAATAGCGAAGGCGGCCGAAGGCCGTCTGAGCGCTCATAGACAACAATCCACGTGTTCTACGTGCGCATGGGAGTCCTATACATGCTACAAGCAACCTGCGAAGCTGACCAATAGGATTGCGAGATGTGAAAAATTGCAGCGGGTCGGTAGCGAAGGCGGCCGAAGGCCGTCTGAGCGCACATAGACATCAATCCACGTGTTCTGCCTGTGCATGCTACAAGCAACCTTGGACGCTAACCAATTGGATTGCGAGATGTGAAAAATTGCAGCGGGTCGGTAGCGAAGACCGTCTGAGTGCTCAAAGACAACAATCCACGTGATCTCTACGCCTATAATAGTTCGGTGAATGCTACAGATAATCTGCGAAACTCACCAATAGCGTTACAGGATCTCAAAAAATGAAGATAAATGTCGAGGGTGGGCGAATTCGAAGGATATAAGGTATGAAGTGACGTGATAGTGAGAAAGAGGTCGATGAATGAATAGCTGGAGTGTAGAATGAATATTAGAGAGAGAGAGAGAGAGAGAGAGAGGAAATTTGAATAAGTTCTGAGGCAGAAATCAGCTTCGGTAACTCTTTTGCATAAAGAGCTATAATTGAAGTTGTCGTTTTGTGCGATGCACGGCGGGAAAAATTAGGACCGCCAGCATACAATCTTGGAGTCTATTGATTTTTCTATTTGCTGCAGCTTTTCAACACGTCAGGCATTCGACATAGATATTTCTTATTTTGCAGCGGGTACGCCCGCTAGTAGTATATAATTTACGAAAGAAATCATCGAAAATATTTCCTTCTCAGAAGATCCTAACCAAGATATGTACCAAACATTTAGTTACATAATTTAGCAACCTATCGTAGTTAGTATTTGTTCGTTTCCGACAGATTGTTTGAATAATATTGATGAGCATGTTGCAATCCGTTCGAAATTACTTAACATCGTTGACTAATCATTTAACGGATCAGATTCAACTAATACACTATGTTCAACATTTCGATCACCTGCGGAGTGATATTTTGTGCTTTTTTTTCTTTGCTAGGAACACCAATAAACAATATTCCTAAAGTTCAAAACTACGATCTTGACCTTCATCGTCTATTCAAGCTTGTTCGACTGTACGGTGGTTTCAATAAGGTTTGAATTCGAGTTTATGTCTGTTGAACGAGTGACAAATTTCTTTTAGGTGACTAAAAATGACCAATGGGAAACCATTCATATCAAAATGGGTTTGCCCGATGAAGTTTCAACGGAAAATGGTCGATCAATCGAGCAAGCCTATCGAAAGTAAAGAACGAATTGTTTCCGAAGTGAATTCTTTCATTTCGTGCCTTCTTTTAGATACTTGTTTGCGTACGAAGATCTCTCGAAGAAATTGGGTTCAATGAACGCACCGAGTGCTTATTTCGGTGGCCGAACCAGTATGGGTAGTGATTCGAGGCGAAGTTTAATACGTGCACGACAACAGCAGCAACATGAAGAAGAAAAGAATCAAAAGAAGACAGCCAAATCGAAACAATCTCCTGCATCGGTGAAACAAAGAGTATGATGAATCTATCGATATTCTTCTTCGTCATGCGTTTCTTGTTTAGTCTCGCAAAAGCAATGAATCTCAAGCATCTGTTGATTCAAAAGCAACTTCTACAGCAAAGAAATCTATACCTAAATCACCGATAACGCCCAATCGCAAAGGTCCAAATAAAAGTAAACCATCGAATGTTATCTCATCCAGCTCATCAGAGTCGGAAAGTGAATCGGAAACTGAAACATCCGACGATGAATCGAGTCGTTCATCATCATCACATTGTACGAAATCAAAAGCTAAGCCAGCACCTTCACAAACACCATCGAAAAAGTCTACCGTTTCATCATCGGCTATTCCGAAAAAGACCAATCCACCGTCAACTTCCTCGACTTCGACATCAACGAAAACCGATGCGAAGAAAGCTTCAGGCAGTACCAAACCCGTTTCATCGTCTTCATCAGCATCCAATGTCGATAGCAAACAATCGAAATTAACAATAACAATACCTATTGCTAAACCGAAAGCACAATCAAGCAGTTCGTCATCAGGTCAGCCTGTTAAAAAAGTCACTGTCACATCGTCGAACAAAGATGACAAGAAAAAAGTTCCCGATATCAAATCCGTTCCAATTAAAAGCGAACCGAAATCAATTTCGTCATCGTTAACTAAGAAACCAGTGATTTCGCCAGCGAAATCATCTCAAATTACGAAAACATCTCAGCAGCAGAAAAATTCATCGAATGAACTGAGTAAATCAAGTACGACGGTGCCAAGCAATAAAACACCTTCATCTCTATTACCATTCAAACCCAAAACAACTCATTCACAAACATCAACGAATAATAATAATAATAATAATAATAACAGCAAAGATCGAACAGGACTTTCAAAACCATCGTCGTCGTCATCATCATCTTCGTCAACAACAGCAAAAGATCTTTCTCGTCACGTTAAATCAACAAAGTTCAGTGCTTCTTCGACGAAAACTACTTCACAAGAACGATCGGCTTCCACACCTGTCAAAAAGACGAAACCAACTGGCCAAGAGGATAGTATCACGAAACCCATATCAGCTGCACCAACAATGAAAATTCCAAAAATCTCTTCAAATACGGATCCAACGTAAGTTAATATGAAACCAAAGAAAACAGTACTTATCAATCATTTTCCCTATTTTTTTAGAAAGAAACCAACAACTCCCATCGATAAAATACCTAAAAAACAGGTACTAAAAGAAGGTACCAGTAAAATACCTAAAATTCAAGACAGCTCGTCAACCAATAAATGTACGTACATGTATTAGATCAAATCTGTACTTATTGACTTAATTTCCTTTAGCACATACCGCCGGTACACAAACAAAACCTTCCTTGCCGTCTCCAACTCGTCCAGCAGTTTCTGAATCTACGAAAAAGACTACTATACGTGATGTGTCCCCAGTATCTATCCCTCCTGTATCACCATCACCACCGCCACCACCAGCAACAGCTGTTCCGTCCAACACAGATGCAGCAACGGCTGACCCAACACCAGCTAGTAGCATACAAAACACTAGTACTCCAACTGATCCAACTCCAGGTAAATCTGTCATACTCGAATCTGTCAATCGATCATGAATATTTTCTTTGTTAGAAGTGAAATTACCCGAAGCTCCGTTAGCACTGCCAGTCTCATCCACAACTATGAAAGAATCGAATGAGAATGATACTCCTGCAACAACTTCAAACAAACGTTCGCATTCGGACGAAAATTCTGAACCTGTCTTTACATCATCGTCAGTTTCGGAAGCCGAAGAACAACTATCTCCGTCGAAACGAGCTCGCCGATCGATATCATCGCAAGAAAGCACCGAGACTTTCAGGTAAGTCCAATTGTCCTCATTTTACGACGCTAATCAATCGTTGTGTTCTCCTCGTCTAGCAGTAATAATGATCAACCAACGACAACAGACACAATCTCAGCCAATCGCAATACTCAACTAACGTACGATGACATATTTATAAACGATATCCTGTTAGTAACATGGGGCAATCATGGAACAAAACAATATCCAGCCCGATGTATCGAGAAAAATGATGATAAAAAGGAGCTATTTGTACACTACACCGGATGGAATTCTCGGTTAGTCGAATGACTGTCATTTCAGTAAACATTCATAGTTTTGAATTTGTTTAGTCATGACGAATGGGTTAAATTAGACCGTGTTATCGAACGTAAAGATACAACAAATACGAATACACTATTCCAACAACGGCCACGTCGCACTAGTCAAATTAATACATTACGACAACAACACCTTGATTCAACAACTTCATCAAACTCGAATGAACAGAATAATCCACAGCAAGTCACTAGTTCAACGTCGGCCGATCTTACTTCATCGTCAACACTGATTGACGATGATCTACTACACAAAAATTCAAAACCCATATCTGTTGAAAAGGCCAAAACCGAAGAATCGGACACTGACGATAATAGTCAAAGTCAACATGAAAGTACGTTTACCTTTTTCGGTGTATTCAACCTCGAAATATCTGCGTTTCGTTTGTTAGATTGGCCTAATGTTGAAACAATATCCTCGACGGATGATGATGCATTGTCGTCTGCATCTACCGTTCGTACAAGTCAATCTGATACCAATCGATTACCAACGGATGAACCAACAAACATCCGACGAAGTATATCCGTGACTAAGAACGAAAATATCCTTTCTACTCCTGGTGAATTTGAAGCAACTGATGACAATGATATTGGATCTAGTTCAGTACGAGACGATGATCATGTTCATGCTACCATTCCCAAACGAAGGCAATCAAGAGCAGCATCATCAAACAATAAAGTAATGAATCACCAAATGATTATTAATTTTCACCAAAGAAATGACTGTTATTCCTTTAGGTGGATTCTACATCAACTGTAAAGACAGAACAAGTCGAAGAACCGTTTCTTGCAATATCAGATATGTCAGCATTCATTGTAACACATATTTCCTTTAGTTCTATATTTCTATCTGTGTAGACATGAACATCCTCATCAATACCCGTTTTATGTAAAAGAAGAAACAATCGATAGTTCTTCAATTTCTCAGCAAACCATCCGAACGCCATTCATAGCACCAACAACATCTCTTCTAGCCGATACTATCTCACCTCTATCGAACATACTGTCTTCACCACCGTTAACAGCAACTGGTAATCGCCGTGCATCAGTACGACAACAGAAACGACGTACACTACGTGAACCGAATAGTACGAAGGATACATCGGCATCCGCAAAGAAGAGAACGAAATTGGATCATGGTGCTGCTCTCAGCATTGATCTTGGTGGGGACAATAACTCCAATGGTGATCAAACTCCAACAAGGTCAAATTCAACTGAACAACAAGCATCAGATAATGCCACAAGTAAAACCAATTCATGCGATGGAAACGATCTTTTGAAAAAGAAAACATTGTTTGATTTGCTAGATAAACGTCATCGAACAGCAGGACGACGTGGTGGAAAACGATCGGCGAATCAACCAGGTAAATACTTCAAGCTAGAGAGAACAATAGGATGACTTGCATATGTGCAATTTAGAATATGAAAACGAAGATTATCGATCCAGTTCACCATCGAATATGACTATGCGTCAACAATTGAAGGACATGTTCAAACATCGACCGAGTCGTTACAATTTTCTTGATCTGAGTAAGTTTCGAAGAAGCAAAACGCAACAAATGGTTCACCAATCGTTTTCTCATCTTAGATAACAATTTAACTGGTGATGAACGTATAACACATCTTAAAGATCGTATGCGTGACTGTCAAAAAGTCTTTTTTAATCTCAAGAGTGCGCTAGTTAAAATTGAAAAACAACGCAAAGCATTTCTTCGAAAACAAAAACCAATTCTATCAGCAGCATCGGGAACAAGTACGTCCGAAACAGCTCCTATTTCAAATATTTCCTCTCTCTTTCAACATTTTCCCTTCAGTCATACAATCAACACCAACTGAGATTTTGGGAACATCAACATGTACATAAACTTCCAATGACGAATTGAAATAATTTAATGATATGAATATGTTCGTCTTGTTTCTTCTCTTCTCTCCATATATACATACATATATTTTTCTCTCTTGTGTTCATTGTTGTTGCTTTTGTGTACTCATTTTCTTCTTTTTTTTTTCTTTTCTACGTGTTTCTTTAAATACGCTACAGTGCATCATTTATCGTGAGTGTAGTCATAATGTATATTTGTATTCTCATTTGCTTGCTTGTTTTTTCTTTCTCGAATAAACAAGAATAAAAATATTCCACTCAAATATAGTCTGACTATTGAACAAATGACAAAACGACGAAGAACTTATACGACGTCTGTTAGTTAGTCGCTGGTTCTGGCGTGTAGGTAAATATAAATGGTGTCAGATAAATGATACCATCGCGACGCACGAATGAGATAGGCACTGAAACAGATTGTGGAACCCATGACATATTTGGTATGATCGATGAAAACCGCGGTACTTCAGCAACAATTGCCTGAGTCGATCTGGTAATTTGAGATAAAATTCTATGAGATAAGCTGAGTAGGAATAGAACATACCGATACTCAGTCGATGGTGATTCTGTTTCGCCAAACCATACGGATAAGCCAGGTGTGAAATTCTCTCCAGTTAGTTCAATCGTTGCTGTTTCACCACCGCCATCGATCTACGACAAATAGGACAAACTTTCGAATAAAAACTAATACTGTATTACGTACAGTCATCTGTTTTCCCACTGGAATGGGAGTTATGGGATGTACTACAGGCCCTCTGGACTCGAACCATGTGTACTCGGCTTTATCAGTTGAGATGATAGTCCAACAGGCTGAATCATTTATTTCAATACGAGAATGCTCAGCCGTATCTGGTTTACTCTACGAAAGGTATTTAAAAAACTCTTATTTTTCGTTTCATTCTAGTGCTTCTTACCGCTATGCCAATAATACGTTCGTTCAAGAGAGACAGATAGACAAAATTTGACAGACTATGCTTGAATTCAAATGCACATTTATGTAACTGTGAGACAGGTTCATCGGAATCAATCAACACACAATTTTTATCGACTTTACGAATGATCTTCGAACAGAAACTGAAGTATAATATCACTTTCGACAAAGTTTTTCTTACCAAATAAGGCAATGATTGATTCGTTACTGAACAAACAAGTTTAACAGTCGAACCATATTGAATAAAGCCGTCCTTCACAGAAAATTCATTCGATTCAACGTATGATTCATCCGTATCGACCAAATGAATATAAAATGATCCCCATTCATGCGCACTTGCATGAAATTGTTGATTTTCGTCGACATGTAAAAATCTTGTACTCACATTTTGACTTCTACAGAAATAAATCAAAGCAATTTTTATTCTCGCCGTCGCTCTGCTCATCTCTCGTGCACATACCGAAGGCGATTGAACAAAGCAATACTTGTTCCTGATTGAATGCAGACTGCTAAATGAACATGCACGATCATAATTGGAGATAATCAATTCGAGAGATTATTTACATTCCGCATTCTTTACTGATTGTTTCTTTTTCGATGGTTTTGAGATCACTTTGATTTTTCGACTTTCAAACAATCCAATGTATGCATGATGATGATTTGTAAGGAAAAGTTTGACGTTCAAATTGATATATTTACGTTTATCCGAATCAGATATGAAAAGTGTTTTTGCTGAACCAAAGTGAGTTTTGCCATTTTCAAATACGAGATTCTGCATTTCATTCGATAAACAATGTTCATGACCATTAGAAAATAATGGTTCACCAATGCCGATTGTTGCATAGAAGTGTTCCTCTTCAGGAAAAGTCGCTGTCGTCGAGGACGTTGCGGACGAACAAGTTTTGTCAAGATTATTAGTCCAGCCATCACCAGAGAGATAAACACAAGGTGGAGGACAAAAAAATCTTTTAAAAAAATCATTTCATATAGATATATATATATATCAGTATGCCTATCAGCGATTACCGTTTTTCGTTTCCATAAGATTTTTGAGCAACCTTAGCGTGAAAAATAGTCACTTTTCGGTGTTGGCGTGTTGACAGGTATTCCAACATGATTTCGCGCGTAATTGGTCGATGCTCAAATTCGTCAGGTTGTATGTGGAATGCAGTCGATGAAGGTACAACTGAATTTTCCATTGTGGTTGTCGCATTCGGTAGTGGTCCATTCCCTTAAAAGAGTATATAATACATGTACTCAAATGTACATCGTTGAATGACGTTATTGAGAAATAGTTACCATTAACAGGAAAAACAGTTCCGAAAAGATCGTTGATATTCATTATTCTCGCTTGTATTTTACAGAATGGAGAAAATATTGACTTATCAGTCCAGATGGTTATTCTCTTCGGAAGACTCCGTTATCAATAGACGAAGGATTGCGGACTAATCGTTCGATTCTTTATTGCAATCATTGCCATTGATGATGAAAGTATGTTGGAGGCATATGATCAAGCAATCGATATGAATTGATGTTTGTTCTTTGTTGAAATTAAAATATTCACGTACATTTTTATTTATTTTCGAAAGAAACAATCAAAGGAAATGAAAAGAACTATCTAATATGAAAATAGGAGTTTTATCTAGAGGGGAGAATATACTGTTATTAAGTGACACGATGACGAGGTAGATGGTTGACTGGCACAAGTGCAATATGATCATGATCACGTGTTGAAGCTGATCCTCGAGGTAGGCTTTGTATACTATTCGATTTGGTATGGAAGTCGCCGAAAATTTCATCATGAATGATCGCTTTATCCGGATTTTCTTTCTCGTGAACAAAAGTCGGCCGACTTGATGTGCAACTGGTGCAGAGAGCAAAATGCAGATCGTGTTTGAGACGTTCTTTAATTGTTGTTGATTTCTAAAAGAGAGTGTATCGACGCAGAAGTACAAATAAAAAGAAAATCTTACTCCATCTAGTAGTCGACGACGTTTTGCTTTGAAATAAAATTCAAGAGATGTAACAATAAATGAAAACGAAAGGCCGACTATCAACATGACGAAAATACCACCTGAATACGAAAATGAGAAAGAAATTTTAAATGAACTTATATTTCCTACCGATATTCTTTAAATCGAGTTCATTCGTATAGGATTTCTTTCGTTGATCAAAATCAGCATCATCACATCCAATACGCACATTCCGTTCTTTCCACCATTTTCGATACAGCTGATCAAGATAACCATTCTCTTGCAATTGCAATATCTCATTCGATATGCGATCCCGGTACGGCGAACCATGCGTTGTCCCAATGCCATAACTTTTTGATTCTATCAGACCACCTACACAAAACGGTTAGTCAAAATTGAAAAGCCTGCGAATGATCAACTTACCAACTTGCATAAGATCACAATTACGTTGTACATTATATTCATTCGTAGCTGACTCCAGCAGAAAAGCATAATTACGCTTCTTGACCCATTCAATACCTTCTTCTGTTGTTTCTGGAAATACTTCCGGCCGTGAAGACATGTAATACCACATTCTTTCGTAGGTTGGAATCTTTGAGCTCTATTCAAATGAAAATCTTAGCTCAAATTCAATCGGCGTTTGAGCATACTCGGAAAAATTGTTCAGTGCTGCCCCCTTTCAAAGCACCATATTTTATACTAAAAGAGAAAGCGAACTTCAAAATTAACGTGAAATAATTCATAGGATTACTCAGTTTGTTTAGCTAATGCTTCAATATCATCAATGGGCGATTTCAATCGTTTTGTCGTGAGAAAAGCAGCAAGATTAGCTGTATAAGAAGCGATCATAATCAACGAAAAGAACCACCAAGAACCGATCAAGACACGAGTAGAAACCGAACGAGGGCCATAGTCAATCGCTAAAAAAAAATGTATGAATTCAATTGAACTTGTAATGTCAAACGTTTTCCTCTGGACATACTTTGCTTCATTAGCGAACCGATAGTAAACCAAAAACAGTTGACGATTGTAAATCGATTGATTAAATATTCACTATTACGTTTACACGAGTACGGACTTTGCCATTCGTATGGTGAAAAACGGGCCATGGAGAAAAGAAATATACTAACACCTGAAGAACATTTTGAGTAGGTTTGTTGATAACGTAAAAGCAAATTTTACCAATGTAAGCCATGGCCATACAGAGCCAGACTTCGAGTGTTAACGGTGCCAGGAAAGCAAATAAATTTGGTCGATTTCTCAAAGGTTTTCGAAATAAGATTGTTATGCCTAATAACAGCACGTTCATCGATTAAGAAGAATTTCAAGGTTTACACTACCAAATGTCATAAAGGGTTTAGTAAAATCGATAACTTGTTCACGTGGGTATGTTATTGTTAATGCTCCTATACCTAAATCAGCGGTCTAAATAGAAATTCGAATAGATGTTGCTGATTCGCTGACAATGCTAAGTAATTTACTCGACGGGTTAGTTCGCCAATAATACCTGTCCATTGGCCATTTTCATCCTCTTTTCCATATGCAGCATTGTCTGCAATACGAATCGAATAATTGAAGTTCAATCGTCGAGCTATTTCATCGAGCATATCAATACCTAAAGCAAAAATTTATTTTAAGAAAATAACCGAAGAGAACGTGAATCTCTGCGAACAATATCCTTCGAAGTAAACCGAACCATTGCTATCCACTTTTTTTGATACATATGGTTTTTCCTAGGAGTAGATAACTGATTGAGAAAAGTTAAAATGCAATACTTTCTTACTTCTCGTGTTACTACCACCAAATGTTTACGAATCTGTGTTAACTGTTTCACACCGAGCTGAGAGATTGATAAACGATTCTTATGGGTCCATGTACCCACTTCAACCATTCCTTGCTCACTCAAATCAAGTATTCGTAATTGCAGTGATCGACGTGACCCATTCCGATCAAAATCCACGACGCCAGTAGTACCAAGAAATTTGATCTATACAATTACAAATAAAATGGCATGAATCTTGTCTCTCTAGCGTATTTCATCTATGAATGTTTTGATAAGAAAAGCCGAACGAATCTATAGATACGAAAAATGTGATAATTCTTCTAAAGATTGAGCAAATGATTGCTCGATTATACTCTACAGGCAAACTATTCTTCGTTCTTAGTCGCGAAGAGCAACAGACGTTGCTGAACATTATTCTCGAGATAATTACCATCCGACTTATATCCAATAATCGTTCTCCAACGTGTTGTTTGAATGCCACATAGGAATTCAATGTTAACATTTTACTCCAGGAACATTCCTGTTGATGAAGATATTGATCTTTAGGAAAATCATCTTCAAATAACAGTTGCCGTAGAATGTACTTCACGGCATCAAACGCATCTTTAATCAACGCTAATTCAATCTGAAATCATCAAAATTCGTATATACATTTGCAAGGATCAAAATACACATTTAACATACGCGATAGTTCGCATTTGTTTTGTTGGATGTTAACTGTAAACTAGTTAACTGAACACCATTCTCGTATAAATGTGTCCAATTTAATTGTGTTGCATCCTGTACAAGAGAACTTTTGACATAGAGATGAAAATATCAAGAGAAACAACACATACAACTCCGACAATCAATAAATGATAATAAGTACTGACAATGCCCAATCGGTGTGCCTTTATTTGAAGTAGAAAGATAATTATCTTTTTTAGACAAACATTGTTCTTACTTCAGTGAGAAACTGATCGAGCGATTTTTGTGTGATCGCAACGATAATCTTCTTTGTTGTATCAGCTTTATTTCCCACTTCTCTCGATATTGAACGAGGCCGAACAAATTCTTTGGAATCCAATGCCAATGCCTTCAGTTTAACTGTCGGTTGACGATTATTTTTCACTCGTAAAACATCCGACAAAAGATCTAAACCTGAACAAACAAAAACATTGCTTAACATGAAAATCTCTCTATTCATACTCGATTGCTTTTCGTAGATAAAAACTAATTCATTATGATCATAACCCCAATCGAAATGATCAATTAGATCACGTATAGCCATACTGAAGTGTTCCGAACTTGTTTGCATTTGTAATGTGTAACTATTCATCGAACTGTTTGTCACCATGGACACACTCATGTGCGGAATATGCATTTGAGACAGAATTTTATGAATAAACGTCGGCGATTGATATCGAAAATGTGTGATGCCAAATAAATAAGTCGTTGAATTGAGAAAATAACATACTAGAATGAAGTGTAGGTGAGTAGTTCCGTGGAAAGGAGATTTACTTTTTTCGAATAGCTTCAGTTGATTTTGAGATTGATATGTTATTGTTTCAATAGTCAACTTTGTGTTTGTTTGTAAATAAATCGACGAAATGATCCATTCTTGTTCATATTCAGCAATTGACGATTGTATATGATAATTTAATGTCGGATCGTGATAATCAACAAATAATACTAAAGTAGATTCGAGTGAGCAGAAGAACAACAAGAAAATAGAAATAGTTGACTAAAATGAAACTGTAATCAGTCTTATCTAACTGAGTTTCGTTTTCTCGAGATGCAACGCTAGAGGCTATATCGATTAGTTTCTAGTTGAGTAAGTGTAAATAATTTGTTCTGGCAGTCTCTTTGAACAGCTTTAGATATCGAAGGTATGCAACGTCTATTTTAGAAAGCAGTTAGAATAATTAATTAGTGTGAATAATTTTTAGAAAAGAAAATTGCAATCTGTTTCGACAGTTTCTTTTCTACATCAGAAGAAGAGTTTCGAGATATTCAGTACGTTTTTCCTGCTTGTCAGTTGAAGTCTCTTCTAAATGAAGTCGGAAAACTTTTCAGTCATTAGGATTCAATTTACCAATTGTCACCATGGACCGGCGTGATTGTTGTTGACCATTTGTAATGAATATGATGACAAATATGAACAAGAGGAATAACATCCGACTGTTAATATCCACCATCATCTTTACAATTGAATGTATTCGGAAAGCATCTTGTTCTCTTCTATCATCTTCCGAATCTTGAGTCGCTCTTCCTTCTTCTTCATCTTGTCGTTTGGAGTGTCGACCAGGAAATCGAGTCATAAAAAAAAGAAAGAAAAAGAAAGGAAAAAGCAGGCTTAGACGACGGCAAATACGAGAGGGGAAAGTCAATGGCAATTCTGTTCATATGAAAAAAAACGCTCGTATATACAATAGAAATTTCGAATGTCGGAACTCTAGTGAATGATTTTGCATTGTTTAGTTCATCATTCTACATTTAGTGTTTGCTCATACAGTTAATTATGATATTTTGATAGGCGGGAAAAAGAAATAAACTTGAGAAAAATGATGATGAGCTTTCTCTCTCTCTCTCTTCCTCTTTCCGAATTTCACTTTTCTCGCTTGTTATTTTTTGATATATCGATATGATTAACGATTCTCGCAGTGACTAAATGCGAGAGAGAAAAAGTGCTTGCCATCTTAACTGTGCTTATCTTCTTTTTTTTTTTGAGATCTTCCCTCTTGACTCTTTCTAATTTGATTAGCGTACAGCTGCACGCATACTTAAAGCTTTTCCCTCTAATTCAATCTCGGCTCGATAGATAAATCAAGTCAGGAAAATAATGAATCAAAAAGCAAATCTCCAATCACGATTATCATGCTGTGTGCATTTACTTCAAATAATGAATACGATGAACACATCCAGTAGATTAAACATCGGCAATAAGACACTTGTTAATTATGCTTAAGTATACGGACGGTAATGACAAAAGAAAGAAATTTGAGAGTATTACATGAACCGTCATTGTATCATTAGAGGGAAATGTTCGATTGAACAAAATGAGATTTGGATCTAAGAGGATCACTGGTTAAGATTGTTTAATATTTATCGAATGAAATCCTTGATTCATTGCGTGTCAAGCACAGGACAATATAAGAGAAGAAAGAAAAGTATATTCTTTATTCATAGAAAAACCGCAACGAACTCTTTACAAGAAAAAGCTTTATGTTGTAAACAAGAATGGATGGAAGTCTTCACCTAGGAACATTTCTTAGAAGTTTTCGTTCGAAGAAGAGGAAAACGCATGGTTTTATCTACAATGATGTTACCAAGATCTCAAGGTGCACAAGACATACTCATTCTTGTAGCATACAAGTGTCAAGAAAATATAAAAATGCCAGAGCATAAGGAAGAGATCCTAAGTTGAACTTGTTCATTCAAGTGGTAAATACTGGTAATTTGACTCTAAGAAATATTAGAAGCGACATTCAACATTCGAGTTGACTTTCTGAACGCAGCGATATATCAAGAGAGATTTTCTGTGTTTTTTTAAACAAAAGTCATGTTTACTCGCACTAAATTCGTTAAATGGTACGTTTCATCTAATATTTATAGACAAATTATCTATTGATAGAAGAAAAGTAGATCGTATACACATCAAACACAACTACAAACGGAATAAGGGAGGAAAGTAATGTTGCAGGAAGCATTAATAAGGTTGCTGTAAATTTACTGATTCGTAATTTGATGAAATTGATAGGATAAATTTGATTTCAATATTAAAAAAAAACTAGGTGAATAAATCGTGTTCCGGGTTAGTGAATATACCATTCGATCTATTTCGCATATTCGTGCTGAATCTCTAGTGCTATGATCATTGTTTTGTTCTGTATTCTAGGCCAGGGTGCATACATAGTATCATGATAACCCGATTAGAAATACGATTGGATTGGATGAAATAAAAATCCGTCTATGCCTCCGAGCATCGGAAATATTTATATAAGAAATGATAATCGGGAGTAAATTGCTGGTTTTCTTTTATTGAACGAAAAGTTTTCTTGAACAAAGAATCACTTTTCTTTCGGACACTGATATTTATCAATAGAGAATTGATTGACAAATAGCCTCTTGTCTTTGTTCGGTCACAACAGGTACGCTTCACTGATTATGGGAGATATAGTTATTGTGACTAATCATTCGTTCTCTCGTCGAAATAAATCCACATGGCCATCATCGACGGGTAGAAAAGGTACATATATTCAAATAATATGGATTTATCAATGAAAAGAATGCCGGAGCAGCCAGTTGAAAATCAAACTTTTTCACAAGCTGAAAGAAATATTCAAGTAATTGAAATCGAATCATACTCAACGAAGAAAAGCTTTTCTTTTTGTTTCAAGAACCTTTCTTTAGCTGATGACGAAGAACGATCGTTTTTTGTCGAGCAATCACCGTTTGAAGAAGTAGCGGCTAATGTATCAAATCATGACGATCCAATGATGTCATGTTTCACATTTCGTTCATGCCTTCTCGGTATATTTTTCACATGCGTTCTAGCGTTTACCAATCAGTTTTTTGCTTTTCGGACATTACCTATGAGTATTGAACCTTTATTGGTTCAATTATTAGCTTATCCGTTTGGCAAATCACTAGTTGTCATCTTACCCACCAGACGATTTCATCCCTTTGGTACACGTTATTCATTTTCATTCAATCCTGGCCCATTCACCATAAAAGAACATTGTCTTATTACAACTATGGCGAGTACGGCTAGTGTACGGATTTGCTCATGAGTATTATTATTTCCAATAGTGAATTCTATCATTTACTGTAGAATGTAGCTCAAGGTATTTTCGTTTTGACAGTTCAACGCGTCTTTTACAACCAAGCGGTCAGTTATTGGACTGGTTTACTTTTTATCTTCTCATCGCAAATTCTCGGTTTCGGTTTCGTTGGAATTCTAAGAAGATATCTCATTTGGCCTGCGTCGGTGATTTGGCCGAGAACACTCATACAATGTGCTTTATTTCGAGCAATGCATGAAACGAATTCTCCTGATGAGACTTTAAATGCATCTCAACTGAGAGCTTCTCGATTTCGATTCTTCTATCTCGCACTCTTGTTTCAAATATTATGGTATTGGATACCAGGTTTTATCTGCCCTGTTCTATCATATTTTTCCTTATTCTGTATGATTTTTCCTCATAACGTCATTATTTCTCAAATAACCGGTGCCAACGGCCTTGGATTGGGATCACTTGCGCTCGATTGGAACTCATTGGTGTCGTTCTTAGGGTCACCTATCGCTGTACCATTTTGGTGCGAGACTCTTTCCTATTATTTTGTTGCTGAGGCAGATGTTTTCGTTTGTTCTATAGGGCACAAATGAACATAATGGTTGGTTTTGTTTTCTTAGTGTGGATTCTGACACCAATCGCGTACTATTCGAATTGGTGGAATGCGAAAACATTTCCAATTGCTTCCTATCAAGTTTTTAACAAAGAAGGTTATTTCTATAATGTTACCAATATACTTGATTCTCAATTAAAGTTCAATGAAACAGCTTATCAAAGTTATGGTGAGTAATATTTGAGTCAATCGAATATGAAGAAACGTTTGAGAACTTTTTTTTTTCTATAGGATCAATTTATTTATCGTTTCTATTTGCATTGAACTATGGAGTACATTTTACTGCCATTACTGCTATTTTGGTGCATACTCTACTGTATGAAGGTACAACACTTTATCAACAATATCGAGCATCTTTGGCTAGCATCGGTGGTGATATTCATGCGAAACTTATGACACAATATAATGAAGTACCATCCTACTGGTATAAGTCGACTTTAATGCGATTATTTCCGACTTAGATTGTCTGGTTAAATGTTTAGGTATACCATTCTTTTTCTCGCTACATTTGTTGTATCAGCGATTGTTTGTCATTACGGTCAACTTATGCCTTGGTACTTTTTATTCGGTATGATGATTGTGAAGTTAAGATTGATTTACAAATCACTGACTGCATATTATTTGTGTAGTCGCTGCGTTTCTTGTTCTCATTTTTATTCTACCCACAGGAATGTTATTAGCGACATCAAGTATGAGTTTCGGTAAGATGGGCTGAGAATTACACATTTTTCTCGTATTATATTCTTGTAGGAATCAATGTTGTATCTGAATTTATTGCTGGCATTCTTATTCCTGGCAAGCCTATCGCTAATATCGCGTTTAAGGCTTATGCATATGGAAGTCAAATACAAGCGATATCTTTGCTTGAAAATTTAAAATACGGTCATTATATGAAGGTGACTTGTGTTTCCAAAAGATATCGATTGATCGACCGTATGATTTTCCATATAGATTCCTCCTCGTACAATGTTTTTAACTCAAATTCTTGCAACCATGATCACTAGCTTGGTCAACTATATAGTAGCTATGTATCTCATCGACCATGTTCCGCATATCTGTACACCAAACAATGTCGAATGGAAATGTCCAAAACCGACAACATTCTACTCGGCATCGATTATTTGGGGCGTTATTGGTCCGACTCGAATGTTTGGCCCATCGTCTCTGTATTTCCCCCTTCTTTGTGCTTTTCCACTCGGCGCGATCCTACCGCTTCCAGCGTGGCTGTTAATGAAAAAATACCCAAATCATCAATGGTTCAAATATATTCATTTTCCTGTGTTACTATGTGGTGTAGGTTTGCTACCAATGGCACCAGCTGGTGAATACCTAACATGGTTCATCGTTGGTGTATTTTTTAATTTTGTACTTTTTCGTTATGCACATGCCTGGTGGAAACAGTATGCGTTCTTATTTTCAGCAGCAATGAGTTGTGGCGTCGCCGTCTCCGGTATTCTCATCTTTTTCGTCTTTCAAAATAACGATATACATTTTCCAAAATGGTGGGGAACAGGTGGCATAACCGGTGACGGATGTCCGTTAGCTAATGGAAATTTCTCGGGTGATTTACCTAGTTACAAACGTTTTGATCTGTGAAATCTATTTTGATGGAAATAAACTACTGAACATTTGTTTTATTTCCTTTCATATGAGATTATTAAATCAGCATTTAAGTATTTTATCTCTCAGGATGCTTCATAACTACGACTAGCGTCTAAAATTGTCTTATCAATTACCAGTCGTTTCGTACTAACGAAAGAAGAACGCTCTTCTGATAGACTGCAGTCGATCATAAGTTCTTTCATTTACCAGGAGCTTGCTTTATCGATTGCGTGGCTGGCAGAGAACATTTCTATGTATCTGACATTTGCTTTGTTCAAGCAGTTTACTGCAAAAACTCAAGATCATTACTTGTTAGGAATAGATTCATATCAATACAATATATAATAGCTATCTGCGAACGATGAATTGCTAACCAACATATGTAACTTTCGTACATGAATGATTCTTACACTACTACATGATACTCGCCCTCATTTTATACAAATCTTCACAATCACATTAAGCCAAGGTTATATCCTAATCACACTTATTCTTTGTTACTAATTTACAGCACAATAAAAGACGACCATTTTGCGCGAAGAACTCGTTTTTTTTTCCTTCGATCGAATGCATTCATTTTCACAATGATATAATGCTGAGCAGTCCTTCCAAACGGATACGAACTCATGCGACTCATCAGCTGTGTATGTTGAACCATCGAACGAGCAACAGGATCGATGAGAACTTTTTCTAGGCACTGGTTGTGAAAGACGAAGTGACCGCTGTGAAAAGTGGAAGATCAGCTTCAATATTGACAAGGAAAAGGATGAAGACGCAAAAACAGGCAGAAATTCGAGTCAGACATGGAGAGACATTCGAACTCACCAACATCATCTGTATCGTACAGTCGGCTCAATTGATATGCCGACATATCTGTTGTTAGATACTCAATGTTCTTGTCGAGATAAACTACCGAGTGAGACTCGACAGCAAATATTCGCATTTGAAAATGAACTTTCTCAGAAAGATTATGTCGAATATATGTATAAGATTGATTCGATTAAAAGTTCATCTCTCACGCATCAAATATAGTGCATAACCGTCGAGTTCTTGATGTTTTTTTTTTGAAGAACACAATCAACGTGTCATCCATAATTTATATTCATTTAAACAAATGTTTCCTTGATAGAAAACAGACATTCACATGTTCTCTTCGATCGAACGCAGAGGAAAATATTGTACAACAATCAGAATATCCAGAACAAAAAGCAAAAGCAAAGATCAATCTAGTCTACATTGATGAGCACGAATGTCTCTACAAAATCTGAGCATGCACGAAACAGAAGCAAAAGAAAAAAAAAACAGAATTCAATAATAATACTACGGAATGGAAAAAAGAAAAAAAATTTAAGACATCACAGCAACAATGTATCAGGTTGATCTCCATGATCATGTTTTTCTACACCAACAAAGCGTAAGTGGTGATTGGCACCATAACGGTAATCAAAAAACAATTCATCTCCTGCTGCTATGAATCGTTTCGAATAGATCCCAATTCGATGATCACCATTAACCATAATGACTTTCGCGTAACAATTCGGATTGATCGAATGATTAGCAAAACGAATTTTGTTTCCGCGACGCGTCGCGTCAACCATATATTCTTCGTTAAGATCAAATAGAAAACTTGTACCTATCATGTCATACATTCGTCCACGTATTTCACCTTCATCTTGCGTTAACTAAAAATACACACAAAATAGACTCAAAACTTGAAAACACATGTATACATCTTCTTACAATTTCTCCACAATATTCAGCAATGAATTCGTTTCGTTGAATGTTCACTTGAGTGAAAATTCCCCAACCAGCCACATCTGATTCTGCTAATAGCAATGGTTTATGTAAATTACGTTGTATGGCAACATTATGACAGGAACACGTTGATCTAGTAATTAATTCGTCACTGTTAGCATTTCCATTTCGAAAATCATCGGCGCCACATTGTGTACATAGATCCGGATCGCATTCGCGTGCTGCAGCATAACATGGACATTGCTTTGTGGTACAAGATGATCGACAGCGACATCCAGGAAAGCGATTATCACATTTGGTTGACTCACAGCAACAGAACTTTTCACAAAAATTTCCCGAACGAACACAATAGCAGTGTTCATTGCATGGGAGTGAACGATCATGGTCGCATGGATAATAGGTATGCCGTTTTTGTTCTTGTAACAAGTTATTATGATGACTTAGTAGCAGATGTTGGTGACTACGTTGACGACGAAGCGAAGATGAATGCGAACGACGCGATGATGATGAAGAGCGATTTCCATTTGTCTAAAAATGAACACAAATCTTTTCACAAAATTCTATGTCGTCAGAAAAAATTCTCACTAATTGTTGATGATCCTTATCATCACCATTGCATATATTCATTTCATTCTCCATTCCATGCATATCGGCTGAATCACCATTGATCTTCTTCTTATAGTCGCCATTTATTTTCACATCAATCGAATCCGATGTCGTCATGTCTAATAAAGGCCCAATGGATGATAATTGTTTTTGTAGAAATAACTTTTTTTGATTGATTTCAATTTCGTTTAAATGAAATTTATAAACTTGTGAGCATGGCTTATCGATCAGATCAGCGATCATACATATATTGTCGCCAAAGATTTTGTAAAAAACACGGAATAATGACTTGTCACTTACTGACCAGTGCGCTAATTCATCCGTTGATTTGCGTTTCAAAGACGGTTTGAAAAGCAAACCATTCCGAGAGAAATTAAAATCGAATGTCGAAGAAATTTCATCGGCTTTGATCAAATTAGATTTCGTACGTTTCGAATGTAAACCATTCGACGATGGTTTACTATCCAACAGTTCGCTGTAACTTCGTTTAAGTTCGATGTTGACTCGTCGTTGTTGAAAGCACGACTTCGGATTTCTTTGATAACATTGAGGATTACAGGGACGATAGATATGATTGGACATTTTCGTTGGTTTATTTAAAACCGGAGTGACTGGCTTATCTTTATGCAAAAAGCAATCGTACCGATGGCATCGTCGGCAGAACAACATAAAATAGGAGTGTAATGTATTCTCTAAGGTTGTATCAAGTGCTAATGAACTATTGTCAATATTCGGAGTGAATTCTTTCGGTGGTAAACGTTTTGATTCGAATATCGTACCAAATCGATCTCGGATTAAATCCGCAGAGGATGGGTAAAATTCTAGAACATACGTTGAGATTCACCTTTCGTAGACGTTGAAATGGAGAGGACTTACTAATTAATGAATTGAACAAATTAGCTTCGTCATCCGGTGTCATCGGTGATGAGGTGTGTTCTGCTTGTTGTTTGAGACGTTTCAATAAATCCAAGAGATGTTCTTCATCGAATATAAATTCATTGTTCCGATCATTTAAAAATGACGTTTTCGATGAACGATTCATACGTTTCATAGATGAAAAGAGTCGAATAGCTAAAGAAAAACGAGAGTTGGTTCTAAGATGTCGAAGATATTCTTTCACTTACATTGCTGCTGTTCGGTGAACGAATCTGACTGTATGGAAATGAGAAGATTTTTCACGTCTTCGTCATTTTCATCGAAAACTAAATTAGATAGATTTGTAATCGTATCACACTAGAAAAGAAATCGATGTTGATTAGTGACATCATCGACAAGGAATCTTACTAAGAAATTGCTCTGCAGGGAAACATAAGTAAACATATTCGGTAATTGATCGATTTGCGGTAATATCGAAAGCGAGCAGGTCATTTTATCACCAGTCAGTTCATCGAAGGAACAGTTCGTGTAGAGAGATGAATGATTTTCATCGGGTATCATTTCGGACAAAACACGTGGTCGACGAATGCGATTGTATTGTTCAGCAATCTTTGCAAGCAATGGTCTGTGATGGAAGAAGAAAATCAAATCATTTGGATTCGTAAACGAATCTTCTTACGCAGCATCGGATCGTTGTTTTAAATCGATTGCTCGACTAACGTATTTTAATGCTCGCTCAATTCGATCTTTCCAAATTGAATCGACTATGCTGTCGTAATCCGCAGCAGCAGCAGTAGTCGTCATTTGCCAACAATTATGCTGGTTTCAGTCTTGACATGGATTCATGACTTGATACGTTACAACGAACGATGGTTTTGATCTAAAAGAACAAGCAAACGAACGAACATGACAAAAGGACAATAAAAGAAACAGTGATATACTAGTGACGGTCGGTTATCTGTCGATCATGAACCAATGAAAACAGAAAATGTTCATATACTGGAAAGGATACTCATTCATACGTCATCTGCGAAAGAAAGTTTGGTATTCATCGTGTCTATTGAATTCAAAAACAACCTCAGCATAAAATCTAGTATTCTTTGTCTGGAAAAAAGTATCTATCTATCTATCACTGAATTCGACAAAAAAAACTTTGTTCATATTTTGACTACAGTTGTCTTTGTTATCAAAAGTTGCATTCACGATTGATATAAATGATGGATTCGATATAAAAGATGTAAAACATCATAAGTCAATTATTCTTCATGTTTCCGCAAAAACCCACCCTCCCATACAAATTCAAGCGCCATCTATTGTTCAATTCTCATTTATTGGCTAAAGAATGAACTGTTGAGAAAATAGTGAGCAATAACAACAAACAAACTCTCTTTTTGTTCCAGCAAGTTGGTAAACGATCCAAAGGTCAACCATCAATGTCATCTATAGACTTTTCAAACAAATTCAACTTTTAAACAGTTCTTTGATTGAAATACAGAACCGTGTACTCTTCCATGGCATCGCTACCATCAAGATCAATGGCAACACGAAAACGAACTCGATCAACGAATGTGACTGAAAACAATGTTGATCATCAACACACAACAACGACAACAGCAATCGGAACAGGAACACTTGTAGCAGTATCAAATACAATTTCAGCAATAGGTTCATCATCAGTTGCGATGCCACCTCTTCCAGCAACTGCAAATGCTTTGAATGCTCCACCTAAACGGCACCGCAACAATCCACCACCGAGGAGACTACCACCACCTGTTGCGCCTCGTGCGAGTTATTCACTTCGAAATCGGTCGTTGACACCTGATCCGCGCCATTCATTAACACGATTTCCATCCGTTAGTACAACATCGACAACTCGACAACGATATAACCTACGCACACGTCGTCCAGCGTCGCAAATTCGTTTACCTCAAGTTCCAGCTGCATATCCAGCTGTTGCACCACGACGCTTTCGGCAACCCATTCCACCAATAAATCCAGCTACGCATGCATCAGCAGCACCGGCCAGCAGCACATATTCACCTCTTATATCTCCTCCACCTCCTGTTCTACCTCCACCAATACCAGTTACAATTCCTATTAGCTCATCAGTTATTCCGCTTGTACCTCCTCCACCGCCTGTTGTTCAGCCACGACAGTATCGTCTTGTTTATATATCTGACGAAGACGATGAACAACAACCTGTAACCTCACCGACTACTGACACTATTGTTGAATCAGTATACAATTTATTAGCAGCCGATGGCGATAATCTATCAACCAGAACAACACTTGGTCTTGGTCGAACGTCGCGAGCAACATCCGGCGCTGGTTTCAATATTCGGTAAGACAACAAGTTTCATTAAGTCAATCTCTACTCATTTTTTTCTTTGTCTCTAGCTCGCGCGCTACAACAGCGACTCCATTGAGTGCGTCATCGACCTCATCGTCAAGTTCCGCCTCAACTATAAATAATGAAGACTTCATCACAGGTGTAACACATATACGCTTAAGTCGTGCCATCGAGATTGTCATCGATTCCATACAATCACTGGAAGGAACGGTGAACAATTTCGACCAACTTGTTTTCGGTCTTATCTACGGTCGTTTGGGTACACGAAACGAATTCGACAGCATAGAAGTAAACAGCACTCACTTGACATTGTCTTTTACATCAATCTTTATTGATTTAGAACATGATACGTTTATCACGTATATTAAGTTTCACTTTGCCTTCGCCACGACTGAGTCGAGAAGAAATTGATTCATTGCCAAAGATTAGCTTTGTAAATGAAAGGACCACAACGACATCCATTCAATTAGCTGAAAAATGTCCGATATGTTTAACTGAATTTGACGATCAAGAAATCATAAACAAATTATACTGTACACATTTATTTCATTTGCCATGCATATCAACATGGTTGAGCGTATGTTATTCTTCATTTTGTCAAATCATATGTCATGAACAATCCTCACTTTTTCTAGGAAAATGATTCATGTCCAACATGCCGTCGTAAAGTAACGGAAGATTGAAAAAACTGGCTTTGGAGGCGAAAGTCTATAAAATACAAAGAATAAATGTTTTTTTTAATTTTTGTGCCATATTGTCTATATACATGAACACTTTTCATTCTTCTCAAACGAACAATCTCAAAAAGAAAACTCATTTACAGATGTTCCGGTGACAGCATGTTTTGTTTTATTCGTTTACTATTTCTATCTCTCTGTCTGTATGTCTGTCTGTCAAACGCGCACGACATTCAATAATAATTGAGTTTTGCACGAATGTTATATTTTTCTGTACATTCATTCCAATTTTGTTATTTTCTTGCTAACTTTAATACATGTACCATGTATCTCTCCTTATTGACTTCTCTCACCTCGTATTACTTTCTTTCGTTTTTTTTTCTTGTTAACAATTAGCACGATACACACTCTTCGATTTCTTGTTTCAGTTTTGCATTTTCAAGTGTGTATATTTTCTCATGTTATGATCTATCGATTCTTTAGTAGAGTGGTTTGTTTTGCGTGTACGTGTGTGTGTGCGTGTGTGTGACGGAAATAACTATATAAAGACAAATGTACATGCATACAGAAAGATATTTATTATAAATAAATGCACAGGCAAACGTTCGTATCTGTGCTTAGTTTGACTTCAAGAATCAGATTGGTATGGCTTTTAATATAGGGAAAAAAGAGCCAGAATGATTTATAGAGCACATTGATCAATCCCGTTGGATGACATCATCAAAAAAAAGAGGAAATATACAATAACCGCATGAATACAAATCTATTGACTGAAGACTTTATAGCGGAAAAGAGAAAATAAGACATACATATTCTCGTGTCGTCAACATAGATGCACAATCGTCAAGTATAGCTTTCGTACTGATCTTGCTGTTTGTCACTTCTCCTTCTCTTCTCATCAATGTTCTTTCTTTTTAATACTGTTATCTCTTCCCTTTTTGTTTCTCTCGATAGTTAAGACATTTTCCTCTCGCTTATTGGACTATTACAACATAGTGCAACGAGGCCGACCACAGTCGTGATCGAGACAACATAATCAACTGCTAAAATAACACAATGGCACTAACGAAAAGACAACTGATAGTCGTTGGTAGCGTGGGAACTATATTGCTTGTTAGTCTCGTTGTTGGTGTGATTGTTGGAGTGGTCGCAGGTAGACGGAAACCAACTCCACTAACTTTGGAACAACGAGCATCTCAGCTACTCGCAAATAATCCTCTAATCGATGGGTAAGCACTGTACTTTGTTTCTTTGTGAATGTCATTCGGCGATGAAGTCGGAATCTTTTCATTAAATATCTCGTGTAAAATGATAGGGTGCGTAGAATGTCATTCCGAGGTTTCAAAAACGATTTCTCGCTTGACAATCTGATGTATGGATAACCGTGTGTAACCTTCATCAAAGTTCACTTGATAACACACTGTGATCATCTTGGCGGAGTATCACTTGGGATCATTCATAAAGTCTTACAAAGATGAGAAGTGGAAAGGAACTTTTTATTTCAGGCATAACGATTGGCCATGGCTCATTCGAGAAAATTTTCAAAATAAAATCAATGACTTAGATCTGCATAATATGACTCAGTATCCAGTGAAGAATTCAACACCATCGCATACCGATATAACCCGATTACGACTCGGTCAAGTTGGTGGACAGGTTTCTAGCTCATATTTGACACATGTAGGTTGTCGAAGAAAGCTCGTCTTTCGATAAATTCTAGTTCTGGTCAATATATACGGATTGTAATCATCAAGGAAAAGATGCGACAGTTAGTTTTATGGAACAAATTGATCTGATGAATCGTCTGCTCGCAAAACATCCCGATGTATTTCAAATGGCTAAAACTGCTGAAGAAATTCGACAAGCATTCGCTGCCAAACGTATTGCTAGTCTATACGGTGTCGAGGGTGGACAAGCCATCGAAAGTTCATTTGCTGTTCTAAGATTGTTCTATCAATTGGGCGTACGATATATGACACTTACACATAATTGTAATACCCCATGGTAAGTCGTGTCTTTGGTAAAACTAATTCAAAGCTGAATTCTTACATAGGGCTGATCAAAATCAAATCGATCGAGTGAACTCGACATTGATAAAAAATAATGGTCTAACTGATTTTGGTCGACGAATCGTGACAGAAATGAATCGACTAGGAATGTTAGTTGATTTATCACATGTCTCAAAAGAAACCATGATCAACGTACTTAATGTCACGCAATCACCCGTGATCTTCAGTCACTCATCAGCATATGCTCTATGTAACCACACGCGAAATGTACCTGATGATGTGCTTGAATTAGTGGTATGATTTGCAGTTGATGAAAACAATCCAACGGAAGAAATTGATATTTTTCGTTGTAGAAAAAGAATAAGGGTATCGTCATGGTCACATTTGTGCCATCATTTCTCGTATGTGATCCTTCGAAACCTGCCACGATTGCTGATGTTGCTGGTAAGATGAATTGCTTCGTTGTTCCTACTTGCCCTTGTGAATAATCTTCTATCTAGCACATATTAATCATATTCGAAAGGTCGCTGGAGTTGACAGTATCGGTTTAGGCGGGGATTTTGATGGTATTAACAGGTTTGTCGATCATTTTCGACTGCAGTATTTTCTTTTAATTATGTCGTTCTTTATTGTAGTACGCCAAAACGTCTCGAAGATGTTTCGAAATTCCCGAAACTAATTGAATATTTGCTAGCACAAGGTAACTGGACAGATGATGATATCATCAAACTTATAGGTGGAAATCTCCTTCGTGTATTGGAAAGCAACGAACAAGTAAGAGAAGACAAACAAATGCTTTTATTGATTGAGATTTATTGAAATTTAGATAGCAAAAGAACTTCAAAAGACTGTGAAGCCAGCAGAAGGCTTAATATCTTACAATGACTTACAAAAATATAATCTGACCGAATGTCGAAATTTGAACATGTATCCAACGGTGGACAATTCCACTTTTCTCTAAATACATTTTTCTACCCTAACTAACTAAAGAAAGACTAGATATTGTTTGATTCATTTTCAAATCACTATATATTGCTATTGACTTTTTTCGATTCTAGTAGAACTTGTGTCGGCTTCGACGACCTAGATTGTCTTTTTTTAAATAAATAGTTTGAATATTTTACATACGAAAGAAGGACTTACTCGCGAGAGAGCAGCAGGCTATAATGACGTTTGTTTGTATGATTGATAAATGATTGATCGTTTTCATCGTCGATAAGATGACTTTGCGAAGGAGGGATCTTTTCTATTGGTTGAGTATTTTCTTTGTTTTCATTTGTATGATCTTGAACAACTAAAAAGTGAACCGAAAGGAGAATCGAGTTCGAATAGTTGTGTTAACTTACGTGGGGAAGGCATTTGAGTTTGACGCTGTCTTGCTCGAATGGATCGAGAACGCGAACGTGAGCGTGAACGTGCTCGTTTTAGTTCTCTTGATACTCGATGGAAGGTTGCTTCCGTTTGCATGAGATTCGTTGAAATACGATGAAGTTGCTCATGATGTATTTCTGTTCGACTTTGATATTTGTACGCAAATCGAATCAGAACCAATAGACAACATGTCCAACAAATCAAACGCCACTGATAGAAATTGATTATCTATCAGAAAAGGTGATAAAAATGATGGTAGAAGAAATGATCTTTCTAATTTACCGTCGACATTTGAAGGTATCGTTCAAGGAGAACATAGAGAAACATACCGGAGAATAGCAGTGACCTGCATCAAACGAAAGAAACTGATTTGTTAACTATTTCAGACGAAGTTAAAAACCTCGCTCGACTTGTTCGTTTCGGAATAGTAATCATATAAATAGCGAACATTGATAGAACATAGAACCAAAATGAATATGTACAAGTAATTCGTACGATCGTTTGAATTGTTTGTGAAAGTGCACAGATCTGCTTCCAATGAATGAAATCAAAATTGAATTCAAGAACAATTTTCTACTTGTTTTAGTAGATCGTATTCATGACGAGCAGCTTGAATGACATTACTGAGAATATCCTGCGTTTTGTCCATATTTATTCGAGCCAAATCTTTCAATTTCATTGCATTTGTGAGAATTGTTTCTTGAATGTATTGCTGATGTTTAATTTTCTGTGTTAGTTCATTCTGCAGTTGAATCGAAGAAACTAATTTCGTTATCGTTTCTTGAGAATTTTCGAGAAAATATGTCAGACGTGAGGTCAATTCCGATTGGTATGACTTTTCATGTAAAACATAACAAACACTTTGAACGAAAGGATAGAATTCCGTATAAGCTAAAGTAAACAATCCTCACGGAATGTCGTCATTGTCAAATGAGTTCAATTACCAATGAATGCATTTGTATATTGATGAAGTTTTTCAACGCATGACTCAACTCGATGTTCATCACACGCAATACTCGCCAAATCGGAGTTCATTGTTGATAGATGGCAAAGAGTGAATTGGTAAGCAATCAATGATTGATATTGATCTAATTGATCCAATGAACAACGTTCGTGCAACATTGTTAATACTCGATGCCAACATGAGGATGTTGTTGTCGAAGATTTTGATAGTAGTTCGATTTGTTGATATTTTTGTCGGCCAATATCAAAGATATCACTGATAGAAAATGAACTCATCAGTACAATTAGCAAGAGTTTGAAGAGACTCGACATGCTATGAACGTTGTCTATAAAATTGATATACGAGTGAATGAATTGAATGTTGAATGAGAAAAATTTTATTTATTCTCCATGATAGACATGACAGACAATAGTAAGAAACGAAAATAAATGACAAGAATAATTGAATAAAGCAGATATTGTTGACATGAACACAACCGGATTGATCTTTCGAACATCTCGAGTACAAATGATTTAGTCAAAATAGAAGATAAGAAAGAAGGAGAGAAATGTTAGTAAGTAGAATCTACAAACGTTCGTAGGATTGAATCATGTTCATTATTCTTGTTCTTCCTCGTTGCCCTAATGAAAGAAGAAGAAGAAGAATCGAAGTTTATTCGTATAGTTCACTCCATATCTCAATTTACTTCAGGATCTTCGTCGTCGTCATTCTCGCCACCGCTACCTTCGTCTTCATCGTTGGTTGTTGCAGCCTATCAAATGGGAAAGGTGTTATCGGAGAAAAAAATTCGACTTCTTGTCGCTTACCAAATAGTATTGAAGAGGATTAACAAAGATATCATCTTTAATAACTTCTCCAAATTCATCATTGCCTGATTCACCAGTGGTATCCACAAACCAACTCATAAATGCACCATGTTCATTGTCATTTTCGTGATCATGGGAACGTTTACGTGAATTGTCACCGTCAGTTTTTCGATTGGTCGCTGATTGGCCGTTTTTTGCTCCCTAGACGAAAACGAACTTCCATATTTATCAGTCCGACGAGATTAAACATACATTTTTCCATCGAATGGGCGTTGCTTTGCATTGTGTTTCGCTTGATTCGGTGATACTATATTCTTTAACGATTGAATCGTTTTCAAAGTATGGATTGGTATCGAAAGTCTGAATTCAAGTATGATTTCCAACAAATCAAAATGCCGAAACGAAAAACTTACGAATTTAATACGATAGCCTGATTTGATATCTTCATGCTGAAAAGAAAATCATTACTAGGAAGTTGTTTTTCTCTCATTTCTTTACCTCTTCAACGTCGACACGTTTAAGATATTGTAGAACATTTTCATCGTTTTGGTCTAGACAGCCCGATAGTTGAGGATGATTAAGAAACACACTAATCCAAAATGATGGGATTTTGCTGATCAAATCTGAACCTGGAAACAAATGATTATGCATTGAATGTTATTGCGAAATGACGAACGTTTTTTGTAATTAGGTTGCCGAAGTTTGTTGTATTTTTGTTCAACTTGAAGAATTTCTTCGCTGGCTTGTTCGTTAAGACGGTCGATTTCGTTTTGAACTTCGCCAATGACTTCAAATGCTTTTTGCATTTCAACTTCTGAAATTGGATAAGGTTGGGGAAAAAAACTTGATAGCTAAATTAGATCCTACCGTCAAGTTTTGGTTGTTTTGAGGTAGATCCCGACATTTTATTTATCAAGAATTGCTATTTCGTCAGAGAAAAATATGATCGTTATGAACGAATATTCAACGAAAGATGATAAACAAAAGGCACTGTCTCTTTTATATCTGTTATGCAATTAATCGACCAATAGAAAACCTGGATGAACAATAATCTAATTTCGATGATAGCGACATCTAGTTCGTACAGCTATGCAGCAGCAATCGATCATCCTTATCTTGTTTTAAAGTTAAATTCTTTTCATTTCAACTACCTGATGATTGAGAGCGACAACTCTGCTCAGAAAGTTCTTCAAGTTTTATCCTTCGTAATGGCTTAATACGTTTTACTTTAATCCATGTCGAATAGAATGGTATATCTCTATATTGGATAAGGTTGTTCTCGCAATTACTAATACAATTACACATCCTAAAAAGATGATCCTCTTCGTTATCATAGAAGGACGTGAATAGCCCAGCAGATCTTTTCGTTTATTGACATTCGACCATATACGTATGTCCTACTAAATCGCATAACAATCGATAGTCTTGCCTATCGTGAAGATTAGAGACTTACTTTTTATTCAATACACCTTCGACGCGACCGGAAATTGATTAGATGGCTTGAACTACTCTGTTTACTTACATGCGCACACACACACACACACACACATACACGAAGAAACGATGAGCAGAAAGAAACGCAGTTATGTTATAATGATGATAATAGTATCCTCACACATTTTTTTGTCCTCGCTCGTCGACCAAGCGAGCTCAATTTCATTTACATAAAGATTATCAATATACTGAACAAAAGTAGATTTCTTCACTCACTTCATCGAAGTGTCAGTTTTTTTGTATCTCTCATAACAAATCAACATAGAATATTTTTCATGCAGTCAGTAGGTTTGTTATCTTTCAATATTATTTGAATCATGTAAGTATTTATTCTTACATAATTGTAACATATCAAAACAAAATAATATGTGCATATATAATCATTCGTCTTTCTATATCATAGTTAGAAGAATGAGTTCAAATCATTGATCGACGCTGTGTAATTTGACGTGTCGCGGTCTTTTCTCTTTCGATTGTATGTATATTGTTTCGGGTTATTCGTGTTGTAGATGACATCGAATTCACGACCGTCGTATCGAGAAGCGCAAGAACGATTGTTAAAATGGTGTCAACATGTGACACGGGATTATGAAGTAGTGTGAAAATGATTTATTATTATTCGATTTCCTGATTTTTCTGTTTAGTCAGTGAGAATCCGGAATTTTACAAGTGATTTTGCGGATGGTTTGGCCTTCTGTGCAATAATTCATCATTATTTTCCCGATGCATTCGATTTCAATGCGCTGAATAGCGATAGCAAACAGAAGAATTTTGATTTAGCATTTCGTCTTGCCGAGTAAGTTTAGAATTTCATTTTTTCTCTTCTGAATCGTCTGTCATTTTTCAGAGAAAAAGCTGAAGTTTATCCGTTATTGGATAGTAGTGATCTTATACATGGCCAATTGGATAAAAAATGTGTATTTACCTATCTTCTGACTTTGTATCATGGTTTGAAAAACCACGAAGTACTGACGGGTAAAACTTGTGAGAAACGTACCATATAAATTTCTCCTATTCCTTGTATCTTAATTATTATATTGCATACTTGTATCTTCTTTGAAATAAACAAGTTTCTGAAGTAGTTTTGTTTGATGAAAAAAGGTATGGGTGGCCGTTGTCATAATTTTAAATATAACCATCATCTTCAATTTTTGTTATAAAAAGAACGTCTTATTACTAGTGGATACTCTTAAGTGCAGCAATTAAATAAATTGAAAGCAAAATTGTTGTTTCGATGAGCAAAGTACCTGAAAGAATATCGATTGAGTTTCTATGGAAAGCTATGTCGAATGCATTTCGATTTATTTCTTGAATTAGTAGTTAAAGCTGTACGAGTAGACGCAAAAAATGATTATGCAAAAAAATTTCTCAAGCAGACGAAAAGTGCGCGGAAAAATGTTCTGTTTTATATTTAAGAACGAATCATTTTCATGATACCGATAGCAACCAGAAATGTTGCAAGGGTTCTCTTTGAATCAAACGAGCCGATGGATTGGCCAGTATTACATAAGTCAGTAGAACCTAGAAAAATAGCAACAGTTTGTTTCTCGTCGTGTTAGTTACAGAACATCTTACAACACCAAGTACCGATTCCATTTACGTTCACCTGCGCACAGTTAGTCGTATAGCCTTTGGAGACATAGGATGCAAAAACATATTTCTAGGACAGACATTAGCAAATTTTGCAATCGATAGATTTCCACAGAACTAATCTTACAGTACATGACGCACCGGTAGTGTTGGTTAAAACAATAGTTGCATTGTTCGTGTTGAATGGTACCGGGCACGAGTCACAAGAATAACATTGAAGTCCGTGAATTGATACCGGTAGTGCAACTAAAGACCAATATTTAGTAATCATTGAAAATCACGAAGGAGAAATATTACTAGCGACACAGATGCAAAATGCCAAGATCGTGTTCATTTTGAATGCAGTTCAAGAATAGTAAAAGAGGTTGCAGACAGTACGTAAGTTTTTTTCTTTTTAACTGGAGAGAAAATCAAATCTTTGCAAGGTATTTTGGAGTGTTGAGAAAGTTTTTTTTCTCTTTGCGCTGCTTTCATTTTGATTTTCTATCTTTTTAAATTATTGTTTTCTGCCATAAATTGAGAATGGCACGAAGAAAAAACAGAAAGCCTTTTCCATTTTGTCTTTGAAATTCATCAAAAGAAAATAACTTTGTCAACCCAGTAATCATATTTTCAAGATGGAAGAATGACACTTCCATGTTGGAAACTTACATTACGATAACGAACTGAATAATAAGACAATTTTATTTATTTAAAGCTCGAATATATATCACATCACAATCGAACACGAAGACATCAAAATAGATAATGATATACTATCCAGAGAAGAGCAGTTGTCAGTTCAAATATAAGCATTGTAGCTGGTGGTCGATTTGCTGAATTGCACAAATCTGTTTGACAACAGAAAATACCATGACCGAGTAGATTGGCAGATGTACAACTCGATGTATAGTCTTTGCTCACCATTGGCCCTGTTACAGTTTTCTAAATGGTATGAATAAGTCCAAAATGAAGCGAAGAAGAGTCCATCTACTTACTCGACAATAATCATTAGGACCTGATGTTGACACGACACTAGCTTTTGTTATATCCCAATCAGTGCCACAATCATTGCATGAATAACATGACGAAGCAGCTTGATTCTCTAGTTTAGAAGATATTTTCGCAATTAAGATCTGTTTTCATCCAAATTCAATCTTACCACACACGAAAAACGCAAGTATAAGTACAGCAGTAGAGAATGTACTGATACTAACTTTCATATTGGTCAAGTTCAGTGTTTGATTGCCGTTTAGGTTGTTAAGTAAAACTTTTGTCCTTCTCCTTTCAAAGCTGCCCTATATATTCAAAATGAAATTGCGTAGGGCAGCAAATATTGATTGACAGGCAGACTATAGTTCAATACAAATACAATGGCCACGTAGTCTTATTCTTCCATACTCAAGGTTTCGAAATAGGTATGCAAATATTGTTTCTATCTATTGTTTTAATTAATATTAGATCTAGCATTCGTGCCGAAGTGCCTTTGAAATAGAAATCAATTACATATTCGTACTGAGCTGACCCTAATGAAATGGCAGTGTTCGTTGAACTTTGTGAGTACTCATGCAATTGTTTTACGTTTATTCTTTTACCCATATCTTAACTACTGCTGATGATAGTTAACATAAAGAATGAATGGAACAAGAAAACACAATAAAATAGTTTAGGATAGATGATTGCACAAATAACATTGATTTGTAAACCGAGAAACGATGAAGAACAATAACAATAAACAGAATATCTTGTCGATTCTACTGCTATTTATTTCTCTCCAGTTGAAAAAAGGAAAACAATGGCGGTTGAGAGACCAACGGAAAATAGATAATTAACAGTTGGAGAAAAGTTTTTGAAAACGAAAAATGATAAAACAATGAGACAGACAAGATAGAAAGAATTATTATAAAAGATTGAAAAGGTTGTTGCTTCGAAATCAGCGACCTCATTTTTACGTGTTAAAACCCTAAATGGAAAATGATGAATATCAATCGCAAAGACGAAATCAACGGTCATTACCGTTCGTCTTTATCTTTTTTGTTTGCAGATTTGTCATTAGCAAACAATTTCGATATTTCACGATTGACAGCTTCTTCCCGTTTTTGTGCAATTCTAGAAAGTCAATTTCATATGTTCGAGAAACGTTCAGAAAACGTTCTGTTATTTACTTATGCTTCAAGATAAATTTCATATTTTGATAAGCTAAATTGAGGAAATAAGTGCTTATAGCAGTGCCAATGATGAAATGAATGAAGTAAGATGTAATATCCATTTGGTGAATACGCCAGAAGAGCCCTGAGAGAGAGAGAGAGCAAAGAATTTTGTCGAACGAAGAAGTTTTTGCATGCCGGAACTTACAGAGTGGAATGGCTGAAACAACAGCAGCATTACCAAAGAATAAAGCGTACGATTTCGTAGTAACGTTTCGACTGAAGTTTTGAAGAAGTAAATCTTCATCTTGAACTGCTGAACGTTGATTCGACATTTTTCTCTTTGTTAGTTGAAAACTAGAATCTGAAAGATACTTTATTCATAGATCTCATTTCGAATAATCAGAATTGACGAACTCAATCAAGAGAGAATCTTACAGAGACGAGAGAAAAACGAAAGTAAAAGAGAAGAGAACATGCGAAAGTATCTCACACCACATAGCCACGTCTAGCCATGGGTAAATTGATCAAGTCTCCAGCTTTTCTTCGACTTGTACAAAAGTATTGACATCCGATTAACTTACAAGCATTTATCCAATACTCTGTACTAAGATCATCCTGAGTAGTTTGAAAAGTGAAAAAACAAACAATGATCATCCATAGATGTCGCTACGATATGCCTCGTTATATTTATTTCATAATTATCATCACACAATATAGTTCGCTAAACAAAAGAAAAGTAAAACATTAATCGTAAAATAGGAATTATAAATCTAGAATATAAGGAAACGATTTATACAGTTACAATAATAGCTGATGTATCCTACTCCACGAACTAGTTGAACCACGAATAGATGTGATCTTGTTATCGGATAATTGTTGTCCTTTGCTTTGGTTCTAGAGCCAAGAAAATCTTTTCAATTTGAACGGAATTCAATACGATATCTTACCCATTGGAGCTTGGCTGGCATCTGAATCGAAAATAAAAGACAAGGAAATATGTAAACTGTCTGAATCAATCTTAATCTTACAATTTGTTGTGGTGCTAGTAAATTTTCATAGATTGTTTCTAACTTCTGGTTAGATTTGTTATTCATTTGTGAACAATGTCCTAAAAAGCTCGCTAGCTGGGCAGGATCACACTGAATAACGTTCGATATTTGTATCGACTGTTGAGACGCCAAAAAATCTTCATAAATAAAAACACGTAAATGTAATTTCTCATTGCATCGAATACAAACCGAAACTCTGTGATCGTGAGATTCCATTTTCATTCGTCTGAGAAGTAAACGGTTGATTTGGATTCATTAATTCGGAATATCTAGCGCTAACTCGATGAACAATCTGTGAGAGGTTTAACGGTTTGTTTCCTTTATGGTTAATGACGGACTGACGAGAGAAACGAAAGAAGAAAATGAAAATATAACGCGACCAATTTGAACTTTATTTTTAAAGAGAAAACAAAAAAGTTTATACAGATTAATCAAAGAAATCAGTGCATTGAGTCTCTTCGAAATGTATTACAACTGTCTGGAAAGTACAGTACGTTGAAGAATATTTGTCGCGGTTGATTCGTCTGGTACTTGAATTTTCATACTATTAGCAATTTCTCTCAACACTTTGGATAAAGCATTAATAACACTGTTAATCTGTTCCGTAGTGATTGTTAACGGTGGTTCAATTCGAATGGTTTTTGCATTAACTAATGTACCAGCAACTAAAATTTTTTCTCGAAATAAACCTTTGGCTACACGGAAACCAATATCTGTATCGACGAATTCTAATGCTAACATTAAACCTTTACCGCGAGCATCAAGAGTTAGATATGGTGTATACGGTTTGATTGTTGACTTGAGTTTACTTAAAAATAGATCACCCATAGTTTTGGCTCGTTCGCAAAGGCGCTCCTCAAGTAGGACATTAATTGTGGCTATGGCGGCTGCACATGCTATCGGATTACCACCGAATGTTGTTGTATGTAAAAATGGATTCTTAAATAGTGCTGTCCACAGTTTTTCAGATCCAATAAAAGCACCTGAAAAACGAACAAGAAAAGAAATTTCGTTTTTTTTTCATTACGTGTTCCACGATCTACCTGTTGGCATTATACCGCCACCGAATGCCTTGCCCAAACATATGATATCTGGTTCTACATTCCAGTGTTCAACGCAGAACATCTTTCCTGTTCGACCCATACCAGTTTGAACTTCATCAGCTATGAATATAGCACCATACTTGTCGCACAGACGACGAACACCTGGAAAATAATCATCACTCGGTAAAATAATTCCACCCTCGCCAAGAATGGGTTCGAGTAACACAGCGGCTAAAAACATGTTCACATCAGCAAAAATAGTCATTTTCGCAAACCACTATGAACCCTACCAGCATCATCTCCAGTAAATTGCAAACAAGCCAATGTTTGTTCCAGTGCAGTCAAGTCATTGAACGGTATATGACGCATATTGATTAAGGATGATAAGAACGGTTTTCGAAAAACAGCTCTAAATAAATATATTTATATTGAATTTCATGTGGATTAATGTTTAGAACAGTAAGGATCTTACTTTGACGTTGCACTCAATGATCCTAGACTCTTTCCATGAAAAGCACCAACAGCGGCAATTACTGTTCGACGTCCCGTTGCTGACATAGCCATTTTCAACGCACCCTCTACTGATTCCGTTCCACTGTTCGTGAAAAACGCATATTTTAAATTTCCAGGTGTTAACTCAGCAAGAATTTTTGCTAAATAGCCACGTAATGGATCAAGTAGCTCTTGAGAATGCAATGCTTGACGTTGCAATTGATCTGTAACTGCTTTTAACACTTTTGGATGACGATGGCCAACGCTAAAATATAATGAAAATTTGGAAAGGTCAAAATACAGCTCGGTTGGTGTAGCTTACTTATAAATGCCATATCCACCTAAACAATCAATGTATTCAATACCTTTGACACATGTAAACGTTGAACCGCTGTCTGCCCATTCGACTAGACCGAAAGAAAGTGAGAGATGTTTTGAATATCGAAGATGTTTACCTGCAACGTAGTCCGGTGAGAACGATTTTCGATATTTTAGAAATCCCGGATTGATATAGTTGTTGAAATTATCAACAGTTTCATCAACTAGTTGCTTTTTCTCTAAAAGAAGACAATTTTCCAAAGAGAGAATAGCTAAACAGCTGATTACCATCATCATTCAAATTGCGCTTTGCGATCAGATCCAGTATACGTTGTGTCTCTTGAAGAGTATTTGTTTTCATGGTGAATCAATTGGAAAGATTAAGTTTAAGACGTTGACGATTAAATATGCGGTATATGAGAGTATTTGACGTCGATTGTATTGTATTGTAAAGGGTTTCGGTATAAACTTGCACCATTAATTCTTTAGAGCAATTGGTGAGCAGTCTTACCGTTCGATTCGTATGATAATCAAAACGAAATGCAATGAAAGATAATTGGATAGAAAAGAAATAAATGTCTACTGAGACGGGCTCTTTTCTTTATATAAATAATTTTTAGATATGATGAGAAAATTAACATACGTGCCGATATCCAATAGAATCACAAGGGCTGTTACCCCCCTTTCGACACACCCTTTTTTGCAGAAAAGTAAAGTACTAATGGAACAACTATCGATTTTGATAAGAACCCTGCGCAGTTATTTTTAAATTGCGCATGTGATAAGCATGATGGAAGATATTTTCGAATTCGATGTCATTGAGGACACAGAGTAATCCTAAAATTAACTCTAGATTATGGTTTCTAGGCCAAGTGTTCTATTTCATCGTTGCAGTTTATCTGTTTCCTTATCTTCCTTGCTTTTATTTGTTTATTCGACAACAAGTATGAAAAATGGAAAGAGTTCTGTTTCGTACACTGCATTCATCATCTGCCATTGTCTTTAACGATAATAACAATTGTTTCGTTTGATCATGAAAGGCCAGATCACGCTGAAACTCTCCGTTGTCTTTGTATAGGTATAAAACGTATTGTAAAATCATTAAAATTGTTTCTCGCTGTCGATCCTGGGCATCGATTTGAGTCAACAATGGAAAGAGGAGCTTCTTGCACAATTCACCTGCACACCATGACCATGTTTGAGAACGAGAGATGAGCACAAAGCAACGTAGCAAATCTTCGCGATCATGCGTATATCGATGATATCCAATGAGAAGATTTTCAAGATATTCCAGAGAGACATTGATTTTGTTTTCTTTGAAAATATCGAATAAGACTTGATGTAATAAAACATTCGATGAATTCGTTTGACAATCAACCGATATTAACGATGAATATACGTTCGAAAGAAATGATAAAGCATCAGTTAGTACAGCGTGTGGAAGATGGTAACCAATATCAAATAATCTGGCATAGACTGGCACACCTGACGATGATAAGGTAAATATTGAACAACTGAGAAAGAATAAGCGACTAAAATTAAAACATAGAATGTATTTGATAAGAGTAAAAATAGCTATGTTCTCGATTTGCGCTCAGTAATCAGTTATTTCTGTGAAGCACATGATCGTATATTTTCGACTAAATAGAACTACGCATAAAGTGACGTGAATCTATGCGATATTTTGTCTGTACTCTCAGAACTAACGACTAACGTCGCTAAAGCAAATGATACTGTGCTTACTTGAGGATTTTAATGCACTTGTGAGCTGTGGATTCGTGGTGTTTCACATCGTATTCAAACGTTTGATTCAGTTTTGCGATGAAGTGCTTTGAAAATATAGTCGATTTACTATTGATAAAACTTAACAATACTTGAATTGATTCTTCGTATGGATGAAGTTGATTGACTAGTGGTAAAATAATACTACATTTGTTAATCATCAATTCACTGATGATTCGATAGATATGATCATTGAATAGAGATGTATCTTCTTGTAATTTCTGTTCGATCATTTGACCTACTTCATCGTGAATTTGTTTGGACAAGGAATTGAGAAACTTCGTAATCGAATCGTATGCATTTGTCGATTGTTCGATTTTCATCGATTTCATTCGTTTAGGAGCAGTTGAGGACGCTGATGATGTTGGGGCTAGTGCCAACGTAGCTGTACGTTTTCTAATATTCGTTACCGGTTGATTGCATCGTGCAAGACACGAACGGATGGTGTTCAACGATCGAGTTTGCATTCGAACTGGTGAATGAGTTGTTGGGTTAGATGGTGGTCGAGGAAGAGGAATGGGCGGCTTCTTAACAGAGACTCTTCGTTTGCGTTTCCGAGTCGGGAATGATGTTGGGAGAGTGAGAGGCTTGACCGGTAGATTGATGAGTACATTGAGAAGACGGGTGATAATAGAAAGTTGGAGAGGTTTCAGACGATTTTGTTCGGGAGTTTCTAAAAGCCGAAAGGAAAGAAATGAGATATTTCAAGAACACAAAAAATGAATATTTATAATTACTTGGAACTGGGGGAATGAGACGCGGCGGTGGCAATGGTTGCTTGAATTGTATTGTTTCGATAATTGGCTACAAGACGAAAAAGAAATTTTTGAAAAAAGCATCTTTTTCTTAAATTCATTCTTACCCTGGATTCCTGAGATGGCAATACTATCGAAGGTTTGTTTGGTACGACTATTGCCTTTTGCACAATATCCATTCCGATTTTACGCACTGGCTGTTTGTCAACAACTGGCATAATAGGTGGTCCTTCTTTTTCATCTGAGATAGATGCACGATTTTCTACAGTTTCATGAATTATCTCTTGTCGAATATCGACTAATTCGAATTGTTCTTCTCTGGCGATACGGATTTGATCATCTGACGGAATTTCTTCAACTGTTGGCTGTGAAGTTTCTGCTGTTGTATCCAGACTGTGTTCCACGAGCTCTAGTGGTGTTTCGATTGGTAAAGAAACTTGATTCACTAGTTTTTCTTCAATCACTTCTGCTTGCTTTTCAGTTGGCGTAATTGTATCAGTTTCCATAATGCTGTCGGTCGTGGTACCGATTGGAGCTGGTGGTGACGAGCTAGCAAGTTCATCAGTTGATTTAGTCACATTCTCATCTATAGGTTTAGACTGAGAGGTCTTTTTCCGTTGAATACGACGGCGAACCAATCGTAATGGTTTCAAAGGCGGTGGAACTTGTGTTAAAACATCTAGCAACCGCAAAACAATTTTAATATGGTTCGGATTGACCGTTTGCACAGGAATTATTGATAAAACTGGATCTTCTTCCATAGGCGATGATGAAGATTGTTGTGAAATATCATTTGAAAGAATAGGAGTCATTGATGCTGACGATTTCTCCGTTGCATTAGTGATAGTTTCTGGAATTGCATCATTGGCTTTTAATGGCGAAATATTTTCTTGGCGTAGAAATGGTGATGGTTGAGTAGTAACCGGCGTCGAAGCAGATGACAATGATTTATTATCGTCATCCTCTTCGCTAAGAAATGACGTGTATTTTGCTGATTTCTCTGTTGGTTCAGATTCCATTGGAGTCATTCTATCAACTGGCACAGGAATATTCGTTGGTTTTGGTGCAATAAATGTCGCCATCGATGGTAATCTCTGTTGTGATGGTTCCTCATTATCATCATCGCTTAAAAATGATACGTTGCTTGAAATTGGTTTCGATGATTTAGGAATAATAGTTATACTTGAATTGGTTTTTGGAGGGTTAGCTGCTGATTTCGAGATAAGTGGATTGTAAACAGGTGTTGAGAGTTGTGGTTTATCTGACGCGCTCGTTTTATTGTCGATATCATCGTCGTCACTGAAAAACGATCGCATAGGTGAGATGGGTTCGGGTTCATTGGGTTGAGACAAAGCCAATTCCAGTCTAGTTTCTAGATCGGCAAGATTTGCTGTTGCATCCTCAGATTTTGATAATTCAGTTTGTCGACGAGTTTTTATCGGTGAAGTTCGAGTCTTTTTTGTCTCCTTCTTCTTCTCTTGCTGCTTTTTCGGGCGAGCGGATGTTTTCGATGGTGTTTCTTCAGCAGTATTTTCCACTGGAACGTTTGTATTTACAACCGGAGTTTGCACCGTGTCAGTTACTTCAATGAAATCATTAGCATCGTCTTCGTCATCGCCATCTGCTTCTTCTTCAACTACCGTTTGAGTAACAACCGGTTTCTACAAACAACAGAATCAAATTGTGCGTTAAATGGAAAAAGATTTGCATGATACGTACGCGTTTCTTTTTCACCGGTTTGCGGAAGATTTCACCTTCGATTTCCAAAAAATCTAAACCAGAAAACATGAAAACCATTAAGACAACCCGAAACTTCGGAATTTACCGTCATTAATATCATGAGCTTTGAGTACAGGCCGAATGTTCAAAGCAGTTGGGATTTCAATGTCTACGTAAAAAGAAGAACAAACACATTGCTCATACGAGCAAACCAAATCCTTACTGGATATTTGTATAAAACTAACCAGACGTCCAAGTGCTAACTTCAACTCACGAACTGCTTTCTGTGAATTTACCAAAGCAATATCTAAACATGAAAAATAACTCTTTAAATTCCTATAAATCTTTTCTTTGCAACTAACGTACCGGTCTCAGATGGTTCTTTACTGGCTTTGTTTGGTCTAAATAGGAATATACAGTTAGAGAATGGTTGACTAGATCTATCTGTCTTATGTATCATACTTGTAAACAATCGGTGTTTTGCGTTGCACTTGGAGTTGTAATTTGGCTAGATGTTTCTGTTGTCGTTCGACAGTTTTTGTCAAATCATCATTGATGTCTTTCAATGACTCGTATTGTTTCTAAAATGAAAATTGAATGTTATTAGAAGAGACATTCTGTTGTTTAAAAACTTACTAAAACCATGATTTCATGATAATTATTGGTATTTTCATCTTGCAGCAGACGTAACTGTTGTTGCATTTCTCGTTTTTCACCATTCAATATCGAAATTTGCTACAAAGATCAAAACAGTTTTTTTTGCATACTATTCGAGTTGAGCGTTTACCTCTTTTAAACTATCGCATTCTTGTGTACACTCGGTTACCTGTTTACTGAAGATACAACATTCACTAAAAGGAAAATCCAAAGGAATTTTAGATAAAATTCATTCTTTTTCTCGCTTTACTTTGTTATTTGATCCACTTGTTGGCGAAGATTGTCATTTTCTGCTTGCAATCTCGATAGGGCTCGATTAGCATCTTGATATTTTTGTACAATTAAACTAAAAGCATTCAATAGTATCTTGAAAACAATCTCTCAATGGATGACCTACTCAGTCGCAATGATTTTCTTATGAAGTAGTTCTAAATCATGTTTTGTTACAAACGTTTGCTGTTGAGAATCCTAAAATAAAAAATAAACAATCGATCAATATTCATTTTCCCTCCTTTGTCTCAGCAAAAACCCTCCCTAATATTCAGTCAATTAATCCTATATATCAGGAATGCTGAAAGAAGAAAAGCTCGATTATTTCTAGAAAATAATCATCCACCAGCATACCTTCATGATCGTATGGGGGATTGGTGCTATTGATGGTGGTAGATTGAGTCTTGAGCTAGAATATGACCGTGTAACAGATGTAGAGTGTTCAAGTCTGGATCTGAGAGCCAAGTCGTTCATTCTACTTACTGTTAAAGAATGATTTAGAGGTTCGAACCAACCATTGTTAATGTCCATCATCAGACGGAAATTAATCTAGAAAGAAATTCGCAAATGAGATTCAAAAAAAACAATAGGTTTGATTTTCTCAGACAAATGCCTCGTTTTTTGTGTCAAAGTAAGATAAATCTTACTATTCCAACTCGTCATCTATAGATTGTCATCACTGAAAATCATAGTTATTTTCGCAGTTCTCTCGTGAGGGTTCGACCATCTGACATCGTGTTTTATGGTGTACAGAATATATACCCAGACAACTGGACTAAAATGGTTTAGTGAAATAATCTGATTTTAACTAGTTCAATCTATCACTTGAAGATTTAAATGGAATATTAAAAAAAAAAACACTAAAATCTCTTGGTTCTCTACAGCGAAAAACTTACTTGAAACTTAAATTAAAAGAACTTCATTTGAACTAGTACTATTTGAATAAAACTTCTGAAATTTTCATAAAGAGAAACTAACTACCTGGAAAGGTATTTTTCCGGCCAGCATGAAAAAATTCTGTCGAAAGTCGTCTGAAATACCTATCTATTCTCTAATGGATTTGGTATGTAGTGGTAGTGTCTCAAAAACACTATCTTTCTTATATAAAAATCATGCTAGTTGTCAATCAACAAGATAACTAATTAGAACGGACTTATTTTTCTACTTAAAGGGATAAATCGATCCGACGTAAACTTCTAATTTCCAAAAAGTTCGGCAGGAAGTTCATATCGACAGAAAACTCGAAATCTGGCGTTCTATTTTATCAATCACAGTCTCCAAAACTTAAACTTATTTTCATGCGGACGAAAAGATAGATTAAAACTCTAAAATAACAGCTAAGAAAAAGAATTACATTGTCATTGACCAAGTAATTTCGTCAGAAATAATGCTATACGATGAATACGAGAATAATGTTGATATACAATCGACGAATGTAGAAAATGGCAATGGAATAATTCAGTGACCAACTGCTGGACGACAAAGAGACGACTTTAATTATTATGAACGAGTATTGCGTAAATGTCTATGGTGAAGATAGAACAATTAATGTTAATGCTGCATTTTACTTGTTCTTTTAAGTTGAAAATGTTTCGACCAATGAAAATCAAGCATCATAGTTGTCGTTAATTAGAAATTCGTTCTCATTTTCGCACTTTATTCGATAACTTGAATAGATAATTGTGCTCTATATTTCGCTAATATTTATATAGAAAAATGCTTGGATTATGGACTTTCGTCTAAAGAATTTTCTTATCCAATCACATAACACCAAATGTGCACATAGTACACATATACATTTGATAGAGATATCTATCATCGCTCGTTCGAAACGAACTGTTCTAATTGAAAAATCCGGTATTCAATGAATTACTTCACTTTTCAGATGGTCTCTATTTCAAACATTTCGTGTCTTCTATTTATTCTTTTTATCAATCTTACCAACGAACAAGATCACGATGAAAATTCGTTTGAAATTCGCGAACACAGTTTGAATCGACCTTATCCAGCTGGTTTGTTTACCAAATATGAGTACATTGATCTGATTTTGTTTTATGTTGATATATAGTTTTTTCTACGGCGAACTCATACTGGCATTTAGTTGGCAATACTATTGTCACCGATCGATATATACGTCTAACGTCAGATTCCCAAAGTAAAGCTGGTGGTTTATGGAACATGATCCCTGTTACGTATCCTGATTGGGAAATGCATGTTCACTATAAAGTACACGGCAGTGGAAAGGAATTATTCGGTGATGGCTTTGTTATTTGGTATGTTAGAGATCCGAAGTTAACTGGTATGTATTGGAAATTGATTTTCATAAGAATTGATCTCCAATCAATTTTTTTCTAGGACCTGTTTTTGGTTATGCAGATTACTTTCATGGTTTAGCTATCATCATGGATACCTATTCCAATCACAATGGTCCTCATAATGTAGGACTACGAAGATTTTCTATTTGAGTTCATTTAATGATTGTATCTTTAGCATGCTCATCCATATATCTCAGCAATGGTTAACAACGGTTCACTTCATTATGATCATGATCGTGATGGCACACATACAATCATCAGTGGTTGTGAATCACCTTTTCGCGGCCGAGATACCGATACACTTGTGGCTATACGCTATCAAAATGATCGTTTAACAATTTCAACTGACATTGAAGGAAAAAATGTTTGGAAAGAATGTTTTACAGCTTCCGATGTTCATTTGCCTACGCATTATTATTTCGGTTTCTCAGCTGCAACTGGTGATTTATCTGATAATCACGATATTATTTCCGTACATACGTACCAACTAGATTCAGACGAGAAACGACATTCAGAAGATCGTCGATCTATCATACCTAATGCGCCAGGTGCCGAACCTGAACGTGAACACACTGATGATCCCAAAGGATCCGGTTGGTCAGCATTGAAAATATTTTTTCTTATCATTTTTTTGATCATTGTTTGTGTCGGCGTTGGTGTCGGTGCATATTATTACATGAACAATCGCCAATATCAACGAACGCGATTCTATTAAAATCTATTTTTCTCTCTCTTCTAACTTTTCTTGTTAGTTTCTCTTTCTGTTGATCAATAACATTATTATTTCCAACAAAAGCATATATGGGTTACTGTTTTGCCTTTTCTTTTCTACTAACTTTCATTTTCTTCATGCTCACTCCGTAGGCTTATTATTTAATGTTACAGTGATATATATTCTTCCTGACGGTATTCTTCTTGTCATTAATTACTGCCGAAAGCAAAGGAACCTTGCGTTTTTTTTTCTTAGACAACTTGTTATCTTTTTAAAAAGAATTTTGTGGATAAATTTAAAAAAGCATCGATTGATGATCACAAATACTATCGGTGTAAAATTATCACAGTCTACAAACTAGCGTATGAAATGTATTGTCCAGCGGAGTATTCCGTACCGTCGATAGTGACATTGCCTGATAAGAAGGGTTGAAGGAAACTTCCGATTTGAAATTTCAATTTGGCTGGTAGAATCATAAAACCTTTCCCATCGATGTATACAGCCATTTGTTCTGGTCTGATTATTGCTTGGTAAGAAACGATTTGTTGTGGAGTGATGTCTGACAAACGGTCGAAATCAACTAACTGTGCGCGTGAAACATTTGCTAGAGAAGTATTTTTTAGAGAAATGCTCAAGTAGATTTGTACAACTTCGTCAGATGTTCGTTCACCTGTATTTTTAACATTGAAATAAATTGTCAAACCATCGCCAGGTTTGATTGTTGTGGCGTTAAAACGAAGGTTAAAATAGGTGAAATTAGAATACGATAAACCGTATCCAAATGGATATAACGGTTCCACTTTTGAATAGCGATATGTAAAGCCACTTGTCATATCGTACCGCGTTAAATCACCAGGTAAATCACTTAATTTTTTTGGCCACGTATATGGTAATCGACCAAATTTCGATGTGCCATCGCCAATAATTGCCATTTTCAGTGCTTCGCCTAGTTCCTGTGCAGCGAATCCCAAATGAATGATTGCTTGTATTTTGTTCGATTGTTCTGCTAGCTGAATATCTACTGGTGTGCCCGAAATGGTTAGAAAAAGGATTTTTGTTTGCATCGAATCAATGGTATTCAATACGTCTTGAAGTAATTGGGATTGATTATTAGGTAGGTTCATTGTTGCACGATCATTTCCTTCACTTTCTATATCAGGTCCTGTTCCAAGTGAAAGAATGATCAAATCAAATCGATTGCTCTTCAAATAATGAATTATATCTGTTTGATTGTATTTTAAACATTTAGCTCCATCTAAACATGCTTCCTTGTAACTGGTATTTGCAAAACTATCCTGTAAGGAACTCAACGGTGTTGTCACATAGTACGGATCAACGATGGGTGAATAGTCACCATATTGTTGAACAGGATTATTTGACATTGGCCCAAGAAAGAGAACGTTTCGGAATACACTTGGATTGCGAATAGGTAAGAAACTTTCGCGATTTTTTAAAAGTACAAACGATTGTAATGCAGTTTGTCGTGCTAGATTGCGATGTGATTCACATTGTATAATATTCATAGGTATTTTATTGTAATCATTCATTTCAGGTGGATCGAATTCTCCGAGGCGCATTCTTGTGTACATTAATGGTTTGACACGTTGGATTAATGTTTGATTATTAACTTTGCCTTCATCATATGCTTGATGCAATAATTCAAACATCGTTGCACCTGGCGAATCAGATAGTTCTAGATTGACACCAGCTTGTAATGCTACAATAGCTGCATCTTCATTTGTCTGAACATAATGATGATCAGTATGGATCGAGACAAGAGCATCATCATCAGCAACAACATAACCTGTGAAATTCATTCCTTGACGAAGTATGTCAGTTAGAAGACGATTATTGGCACACGATGGAATACCATTGATAGAATTATACGAACACATAATACCATAACTACCAGCATTGACACAAGCGTGAAACGCTGGAAGAAATGTTGAACGCCAATCGTACTCAGAGAGTTGCACGTCGAATGAAAATCGTGAAACTGGAATATTTTCTGGTCCATTATGAGAATCGAAATGTTTACAGCCTGCATTCGTATTTAGATAGCGTGCAGTTGACGGTCCTTGAAGACCATGAACAAAATAAATAGCGAACATTCCTGTTAGATATGGACATTCGCCATACGTTTCTTGACCTCGACCCCATAGTGGATGTCGCATAATGTTTACCACGGGCGAAAAACAACTCAAACCGCGATGTACACCGTATAAACCTTCTTTAGTAAAAAGATTATAATGCGCATGTACTTCGTATGCTGTAGCATTGGCTACTGCTTTGACCAATTGTTTATTCCATGTCGTAGCAAGGTTAATTGCTTGCGGAAAGCCTGTGGAATTTTCACTGACATCACCACGCAGACATTCGGTACCCCATGAATACGGAAGAATATTCAATCGAGGTATAGGAGGCGTAACACCTGCATCCCATCCACCTCCGTACGCCATTTGATCGATGATTTCATGTGCTGTAAGACGAGAAACAAGGTCGTCAACACGTACAGACCAGTCCAATGAAACATTGCGAAAGGGAAAGATATCTTCAGCTGTTGTTTCTTTGCTTTCATGTACTAATCTGGCGATTAAAAGAAAAAGAAAAAATGAAGCCATGATGCTATGCGACTCCTAGTCTGCACCACAGCAGAAGAAAAATATATTCTCTATTGACATGAGGAGGAAAGAGAACGAATCAACGACGTATGCAATGGTGGTTTATTAACAACTAGCGCGCAATAGAATAGCGAATAGCGAGTAAAAACACGACACCATGACTCACACACACAGCGAGCGCATGATCAGCTATTAGATAGAAGAGCTAGTGAGAAAAAAAACGAACGAAATATATGTGTAAATTCAGTCAATTATAGATTACAATGGATCGTTTTCTAACACACATTCGTCCTCAATCTTTATTTTTACTTTCTCCAACACGTCGACTATCCTCATTTAAACCAAACCCATTTGATTTAAAAGCACGTATTGTCGGACGTAAAACACTTCGTGCTTTACTGGATATCGTCGATCAATTAGATGGCTCTAATTTAACAGCACATCAAAATTTAGCAGTCCCACCTTTAGTTGTTGATACAACAAATCCATCGCTGAGAGAACCTAATCCACGCTTTCTACTACCTGGACGTATTGGACCAGATCGTGCATTGAATCCTACTCCTCGTAAACCAATACCGAAGCTGGATCCAAAATTATATGGTACCGATGGTAAACTTCTTCTTGACGAACTTCTAACAATGACTTTACCAGTCGATCATCAAAAAGATTCAATCGCTCAATTAATGGGCGCACACATGAAATTATCATCACCAACAAACAAGAATGAATTTCTTTCGAGTCTGATCACCAATGATAACTTAGAAATTCGAGCATTTGACTGTCCAGCATTATTACGTTATGAATTACATCGTTTATTCTTGAATTATAATGTTTTAATGCAACCATTAACAGCAATAACAATCATATTGAAGACAGAATCTGATATGTCGGCATGGTCGCCGAAAATTGAAGAAGAGCGAGATGAATTAATTGGTCAGTTTATCAAACTAGCACATGAAATGTGTGCTTATCTTGGTACAAAACAATACTGGGCAGATTTTATTGATCCATCGAGCGGTCGACCTTATTATGGTCCACATACACCAGATACATTATTTGAAACTGATGAACGTTTTCGTTACTTTGGTGTCAATATCGTCGATTTAGGTTGTTGTCGTGTTGTCGAACATTTGCAACATGGTATGAGAACGAAATTCTTCTTTTGATGAAAGAAAACGATTGTATCTTTCTAGGAACGCACGTCTTCGTCGGCTGTGTATTTACTAGTGCATTAAAGAGCGATCCAGACGTTCAACATCTTCTCAAAGAATTTGTTGTTCCATCAGGCAAAAGTTCAACAGTTGACGAAAGCAACGACAGTGATTCCGTTTTGAAAACAGTCAATTGAATTTTCATTTCAATACACACATAAAGAACTATTCCTATCTCCCCCGTGACAGTTTTTTTCATTTAGATAGCAAAAAGAGAAGGTTTAAGGGAGATAATTGTAAATATATATATTCTATATCATTGCTTATTCTATAAAATAAAGGAAAATTACAACTGAACTCTACTTGTCTTCTCTTATTTTGATTTATAGATAGAATGGATGATTTAACCAAGGCTTTGACAGAGTACTATGATCCGCGCACGGACCTTGTTCATAAGCAACAATTACATGAGCATTTGAATCGTTTCTTAATCGATCAAAATTCTTGGCAAATAGCATTAGCAGCGTTTCAACAACAGCCACAGAATCAAACTCTTGTATTGTCACCATTATTAATCTATTTTTTGCTTCAAGTACTAGAATACTCAATTCGTCATCGGTATGGTGATCAACAACAAATCCGTCAGATACTCTTGTGGTTCTACGCTCATCTATTTCAATCGATACCTGCTTACGTTCGTTCAAAATTAGCTTTTCTTATTGTACAAATAGCACGTTGTGATCAACAATGGTCGATCGACGAATACTTTCAAACTTGTTATCACGTAAGGTCAGGATTGAGAGATAATATTCAGAAAAAACAACGAAGCGTTCTTTTTTTCTTTTTCCAATAGTTGATCGAAACACAAATACTCTCAGGTTTAGTACTTTTAACAACAACTGTCGAAGAACTTGGACAATTCAATGAAGATTGTACAGTTAAACGATGTCAACAACTGAAAACTATGCTCAACCAACATGTCGCACACATTGCACAAATTATTCAAATATTACTTAAGAAAGATACCGAACAATTGAAAAACAGTGCATTAACAAATGATTCTTCACTAATCAAACAACAAACATTAGTATGTTTTGATCGGCTGATTAATCGTCTTTCAATTCTACCTTTTCCAATTGAATTCATCGATGAATTGTTTCGGTTCGTATCATCGACTTGGTCTATCGATGCACTGAATTGCATTCATGAAATTATTCTTAAGCAACACATTCCTCGTCAATACGATTCGATTCTTCATTCAACACTTCATCATGTTGTGCAACTACTTGCGATTGTCAACGAAAACGTCACAATTGATCTACAAGCTAAACTGACAGAAATCTTACGAACACTTTTTAATCTTCATTTAAAGCGCTGTGAAACGATTGAACATTTTCCGATGTTCGAATTACTTAATGGTTTGTATAAATTCACCTTTCACCAAGTGAGTTCGGCACGAATTACTTGTAGAATTCATTTTGAGTTGCGTTGGATTGTAGACGACACAGGATGGATTCTATGCTTGTTTGGACATTTGGTCGATTTTTATTGAATATATCAAAACAAAAGATGAAAGTCGATTGATGAGCAAAGATAACTCATTTGAGAAGTAAGAACTTGCATGAAGAACGGCATGAAATAAATAGGTTTCTTTGTAAATAATAGGTATGCCCAAATTTTACGTTCGATAAGTCAAGAATTACTGCAACGTGTTCATCAGGGACAAATGCAAGCGAAAAATTTGGAAGAAACGACGGATTTAAATGATGTATATATCCGTCACAATTGGGAAAATATTGCTATTCGCTTTATATTTCTAGTCTGAAACGGCTACCGAACGATATATACGAGAATGCGTTGATGTATTAAGCAAACTAACCGACTTTCCGGCTCTTTCTTCCAGTATTTTACATTTACTCGTAAGAATGGACTGTCTCAACATTCACTGCTCCAATCATCTGTGAATTCTTTAGATAAGTCTCTTACAACCAGAGATTGAAAAATATAAAACCATTCAAAAACTAGTTCAGACATCATCAACTGGTAATTTGCTCCTATAAAAGCAAATCCTCGTCGATTTCTCTATGTTTTTTCCCCTACTAGATCCTTCCCAACAGCAATTTCATCTGACTAGCGAGTCCATTCATGTTTGTCGTGACATATTGACCAGTCTAAATCATTTACTTCACGCGTTTTCACGCATTGCTAACACATGCTTATTGGATAACAATAATCAACAGCAGAGTTTTGTCCAAACTCGTGTCACACTTGTTCATCAGTAGGAGCACTCGACACAGGATAACAATCTGGCTTTTCTTGTTTAGATTTATACAATTAATGATTTACATAATTCATGTTCGATTCGATCTAATCGAATGTTCCCCGAAAGAGCTACACGAAGACTTCATTAAAGTGTAAGTCGTAGTCGAAATGTGTTGATGATGTTTAACGAAAATGAGTGTCGTTTAGTCAAACCCGGTCTTTTGAATGCGTTGCTAACACAACTCAATGGCTCAGTCAAATGTTAATTCTACACAGTTCAAATCAAGATAACCGCCGAATGATCCAGGAATTAATCAGACATATTATCGATGCTTGTGCGCCGCTAATCGATGTGAATGTATGTGAAGACCAAATAAAGTCAACTAATGTCTATATTCTTCATTTGATAGAATTCGGATCGATCTATTGCTCAATCAGCTGCTTCTCTTCTTTCATCGCTCGTTCCTCTCACACGTCAGCTTTTACCTATTGATCAATTCGATTCAATTAAACATCTAATTCATCGTATTCTTACATGGAATGTCGCTGTGCAAAGCAAAGCTAGTTTTCAAGTAAACTCTCTCTCTCTCGTCATAATTTCATCTAATTCGAACATTCTCTACTAGCTTTATAAACTGTCAATCAAAATCATTGCATCGATTATTTTAACTGATCAACAATCCGCCGAGCAATTTTTCCATTCGATTTTTCAACCGCTGGATGTGATCTTGAAAGAGCCGACGTCTCAACTAATGCAGCACTCCTTTCTTAACTACATGTTGTTGCTGACAGAACTGATTGAGTCCGTTCGCATGGAGAATAACAAAACTCGCCAGCACTTGTTTCAGTCAACACAAAACTTAATAATCAATTCCAATCGATTCCTCCCATATATCATCAACCGTGATCCAGGTCAGTGGGTTGAGCTGTCGGAGAGACCAATTAGCAAGTTTCTACATTCTAGATTGTGAAACTGCGCTTGTTTCTTTGCTATTGACCGTTTTCGAAGTATTTCGAGCACAAATGGGCGCAGAATTACTTAATACTATCTTGCAAACAACATTCGCTGCGTTCAACATGTTCGTATTGCTTCGAAAGGTTGTGCATTCCCTGAAAACTTGCAATTTATTTAGAGAAAATGTTCGAACAGTTCTTCGCGAACCGAAACCGAATGCTCATGCCGCAATTTCAAGGTAAACATGTCTCCGAAGGAGCAAAAAATGTTTTCGTTATTGTAACCGTATCTAGATTTCTGGAATTTCTTGCACTACTTGTTAATGAGCCAGGAAATAGTAAACTAGCTCAACAATTTCTCCCCACCATCATAGAACTATGCACATCGGCATTATATCCTGCTATTCGAGAAGTAAAATCTGTTGGACTAAGTTCACTGACATATATCTGATTTTCAGAATTTTGCATTGGACATTCGAGAAAATTACTACAAACTCGTTCATAATTTACTGATCAACAATTGGCGATATTTTTTCAAAGGTACTGTCTTGACTACATTCAATGGCGAGGCAGAAACAACAGCTAATGAACAATATTTTATCCAACTAATGGAGGTATTTATCAATACAATCTTATTCGAGACTTTGCATCTAAGCAACGAATTGAACTGATCCCTTGCGGTTTCTTTCTTAGAGTATCGCCTGGTCTTTTTCTCAAGCAGATATCGAACAATTTCGTACAAATCTGTCGTCTTGTAACGAACTGCAATTGAAATGCGGTCTCTATACGAAATCAATATTTCGTCAACAAATGTCTCAAGCGCTTCTTTCTCTTTTGCTTTCCGTGCTACTTGCTCGATCGCATGAACTATGTCGTGATGATATTATATCAACATTATTCTACATCCTAACCACCGATAGCACCAACAATAATTTTGCACATTTCACACAGAATTTTCTCAATCAAACGCCTAACCAAACCAATCTGAATGATAAACATAAACGCTTGTTACTAGAGAATTACAGTCGGAACGAAACGGTAGGTTGCTCGATTGAGAAAGAATGCCATAAACTAATGTTATTTCTAGGATTTACCATCCTTCACTCAAAACGTTAATGATTTCATCCATGATTACCGGCATTACACGACGACGAATTCAAACTGATTTATTTGATGTGCAATTTAATCTGTTGCTTTTTTTCATAATTCTGAAAACAATTTTTAAGACGAACGAAAAAGAAATAAAATGAATGCTAACCCAATGAATAATCTACATGAAGTTCGGGCGATTGTTAATAGAGTTGTGCTTCTCGTGATTGTCGAAAGCAAAACAAGTTATTCTCTCTCTCTCTCCTCTCCCGATTGATGGCGAAAAGATATGATCGAATCAAATTTGCTCGTCACAAATATTCTCAAGAGAGTTAATAAAACATTAAGTTTGATTGATTAAAGAAGTTCGCATTTTGACAAAGAAGAGCATTTTCTTTTACTCTTCCTGTCTTATTACTCATCCTCGTCTTCGCTTCGAAAATGTGATTGACTAGTAACTGCTATTTCTTATTCAAAATGTTCTTTCTCATAGTTAACGTAAGAAGAATGTTGCCCTAATGACAATTGATAAAGACGTATATCGATTAAGGCGTCAGATGAGAAAATGTGTTTCTTATTTTATTTCGAACTTGATTATTTATCTTTTTTCTTCTCTTGAGATGACCTTTATTTTCCGACAATGCCGTCGGTTAATTAGAAATAGCTCGTGATCAATAGTGTATTTCTATTGTTGAGTGTTAGAGGGTATCAATACACATACTTGAACAGAACGCGAGGAGGGAAAATTCTAGTGACGTATGCGAAGAAAAACAACTTTTTGTTAAAAAAGTTACGCATGTTGTTATGTACTGTCGAAAGGAGAAAAGGAAATAGAAAAAAACCTCCGCCGCCGTTACTGATATCCTCATCCATAACAAAGTTTGTCTTCTCTTTCTTTTTGTGTTTTTTTTTCTTCTCGCTCAATGTTTGTCATCGTTGTCTACCTGCTTATTCGCTCTTTTTACTCCCACTCTCTCTCTGCACTTCTTTTTAATTTTCGTCTTCAACATCGAGAAAGAGAAGGCAAGTCCGTTTTTCTTATAATCTGTATCATACATTTCATCAGTAGCTATATATTGCCACAGGAGACAAGTGTTTTACAGGTAAAGCATGTTCGACCTGTTGTTTTTCTTATTCGTTGTAATTGATTTGATGTTTCGGATGAAAGAAAAAGAGAGGTATTTGATATGACTACATGCTATAAGATAACCTTGACATGCAAGTATGAGAGACAAAAAAAAATAGAGAGAGAGAGAGAGAGACAGAGAAAGAAGTGAACGAGAAAAGAAAAGAAAGAGTATGACACGAGGAAAACGACGGATCACTTGTATGTGTTACTCACAATACATGATCGATTGTGTTTCCTAAGTTTGTATAGTCTATCCAGGAAGTTTTTTTGTCTTTTCTTTCTTTCCAGTTATATATAATTGATACAAAAATGGCATCACATAACTATCATCAAGGACCATCTGCTCCACCCATGTATCCTGAAGTTGGCGGTACTACTCGTCCAATACCACCCGTTCGGTTGGAATATCAACAGAGTGCACAAGACGAAAATCTTCTACCACCTACACCACCGATACGTATGGATGATCCTTCAGCTCACCGAACAATCAATACTAGATTAAGAAGGGTAAATACTGAGAGAAGTTTCACATGAGGATAGTCTTGCACAACCGACTTTCTGTTGATTCATTATTTTGTGAATTTGAAGGAATTCAGTCCTTGTTTTCTTCCTTTCTTTCCTAGAATGATCAGGAGAGAACTACTGGTGATTTAAACGTAAGTTTTTCGGTGTAGTCATCTGCTTGATTATTGGATAGTACTTTGATTCTCACGAAAGAAACCGCCCAAGCCGAGATTTACACATATAATCACAGCTGCTTGGTAGAATCTTTCGGATTTTTTCTCATTAACGCAAGGAGAATGCTTTTGTCTTCTTGTTGTTCTGTCTACAGATACCATTCGAATCTTTTGCACGTGATTGATGTCAATCAAACGTTACAAAAACTAATGACGAGCTTTTCTCTGGCGTTAAGTAAACAGAAGTAGAATGAATTATATTTGCTTGTATTGCTTGTCAAATATGTATGTGTATATTGGTAAGATTTTATGCAATATTATTTCATAAGTACAACTAAAAGAGATTTTATATGCAAATAGTGAGATGAAATGATGATTTCTTTCCATTGATTCTTATGCAAATCATAATAGTCATCGATCACTTTACTGATTCATATATCGTTGTACGCATCAGACGTCATGTGTGTTCAAGTGCCTTTTTGTTCACAAGTTAAAGAGTGATTTTTTGCTATTGGCAAACAGATCTAATCTTTCGATAATTTGTACAGTCGTCGAGCCGTTGAACTTCTCTTTCTCCTGTTATCTCTCTGTCTGAAACATGATTTGTTGACACAATACGTGTGCATGTGACATTTACACAATGAATTGATATTATTGAACGGGATCTATTCACGATTGTTGTTTGTTAAATGAAATGTCAAAAAGTCTCTCGAATGATAAGTTTAATTTGTTTATCTACGTGTTACTCGTTCTTCTAGGTTGAAACGACGTGTAACTACAACAGTTATGCAACGAAGAAGACGATTGGTAAGAAATTTGTTTTACAATGAATAAATCAAATTTTCGGTTTTTATTAGCGATGATGTTGTTGCTATTAGCTATCATCAGTAAGTTGGATTTTGTACTGAAATTGTTTTCATATTTTGCGGTTTATATCAGCAAGTAATGCAATGCAATTGCGAACTTTGATTTTACAAAAACAACATGATAGAATTTGGATTGCATCGCTGGTGCTTGTTTCCATGTCGATTGTAATTCAGCTTGGCTTGAGCTTTCTGTTATACTTATTGATCAAAAGTGATATACGAAACGCAGCGAAAGAAACGAAATTACGACGTTTTAATGATCTTTCATTGATTCTAGTGGTTCTTATCGTGGTTATGAATGTGGTGATTAATATATTTATGTTGACAACAAATCCAAAGAGTTTTCTGGATACACGATCATTGGAGATTTTACAACAGGCTCAGACACAATAACGAGCAATCTTATCAGTCAAAAATCGAGTGCATTTCGTAGTTTTTCTGTCTGCGATGCGTTTATGCCAACAAAGCAGATAAGACTAAAACCTGTGCCCTTTGTCTTTTCGTTTTTTTCTCTATTCTTCAAATTCAGAATCATCGCATCCGATACTTTTATTCCACGAATTTGTACAACGTGTCTCAACAAAAGAATCTTTTCTAATTTGCTTTGTGTATGAATGTCTTTTCTTGTTTGTTTTCCAAAGCCATAATCGTTGCTGTCAATGAGTTCTCATCAGCGACATTTGTTGTTTGTTTTTATTAACATTCGATAAAGAAAATAGACCTGATTTTGCAAAAAAAATCGATCATTTTAGACATTCAGCATCAAGTATCATGAAATTTCGACTACTTGGATGTGCGAAAAGCACGTAAAAATCAATGAATACGCTCTGAGGCAATGGAAGTAGGTTAACATGCTAAAATGTGCCATCTGAGTGACTTCATGCATATTAGTAGTGCCATTAAATGTGATTTGCCGTTTTGAATAGGAAAAAATGCTGATTGTTCGTGAAGTATTTTGTTTTTGTCTGTTTCAAGTTGATGCTATCACGCAATGCGTAGTGTTGTATTATTAGTGATTGTTAAGCAATTAGACATGCATAAATTTCATATGCTGCTGCATATTTTGTTGTAATGTACAGAATGAAACAAAATACTTTCGCATACTCTGTTTACAGTGCAAGCGGATGGAATTTAGGAGTGAACGAGGACACCAAGAAATGCTATTCTTTAACTTACTAAACGAATTCTTTGTATATGAATATAAAACCGCTGTCAGAGAAATCTTCGTAGTGCAAAATGAATATCATCATGGTACTTTGACAAATAGACATTGAAATTTTGCTCTATATTGTTGGAGATTCTCAGTCCGATTGATAAAATTATATTAGCACATGTTTCAGTAAGCAGGAAAAACTTTTAGCTTTCGTCAAATAACATACCATAAAGAAAAGAAACTATTCTCTTTTTTTTCTCTTATTTTTTTGCGTATTTTTTTTTGCGTTCCTTACTCTCGGCTTTTTTTGCTACTCCCGATGCTATGCAAATGGTGAATTCGTCGTTCTCGCTCACACAGGCGCGTATATATATATATATATTCAAGTCACACACAGACAGACACACACATACTTGTTTTTCAAGGTCTACTCCTTTCATCTATACATAAAGGTAAAAGATTCAAGAAGTAAAATTTGTTATCATATTGCGTTGTATATTAGACAAAAGTACGAATCATGGCTTTGGCAATGAATACAACCATAACAATCTCTTGTGAAGAATCAGAAGAACAATCAGGACCAACAATTGTTCATAGTACTGGCGTGAAAAATTATCGTATTCAACCAGAAATTATCCAATTTCTACAAGAATCATGTGGAAACGAAAAATTATGTGATCACGAAAAAGGTGTACAATGCACCGATGGAGCCGCACACGTTTTGGAAACATTCAAGCGTGCTGGTTTTAGCCTAACAAGCGAAAGCAAGGCTGGTAGTCGTAAATTATGGATGTTGACCAAAACAGACGAAGGTGGTTCGAGTGGACCAGCACCTAGCGGCGGACATCATCCAACACCTGCCAAACCAGACGAAGATGAAAATCCAGCTGACGGTGGAGATGAAGAGCCAGGTGAAGAAGAAGAGGAAGAAGAGGAAGAAAAATAACTTAGTTCTGCGAAACTTTACCTCTTCTGCCCCTTTATCCCTCTATAAATAAATATATATATATCCGCTCTTAGTCATGTAGTTACCAGTATAAATGTTTGTCACAACCAAAACTATTCATCAATAAACTTATTTATAAAAACAAATTCGCATTTTTTTTATCTAGTCTCAAGAGATTCCACTTCTCCTTTCATTTACATAGCTGCTGTATTGCTTGGCATCTTCTGTGGATCTCTACGAATATTGTTGAAAGTAATCGAGAGCACAGCGTAGACACGTTTTTCTCTTCGGTTGCTCTCATTTTCTTCATTGGAATTCAATTGAATTTATTGTTATATGATTAGATTGTATGATCGATGGCAAGTACATGATGAATTATGAAGGCCGGCGAGAGCGAAAATACATTGTGGAGAAGCCAATGAAAAACAACGTGATTAGCTGACTATTTTTATACTGAATACATTTTCTGCGCTCGTTTAAGAATATTAATCATTGCATAGATCGATTTACTGACTGCAGGTATCATTCATTAGGTATTGATATGCTTCATTAATTATTGTGCTTGATCACAGAGTACAGCTGCATATGTTTCTCTCTACTCACCGCCTGCTGGATAAGAAAAATGATAGAAGTTGATTTAGCTTGATTCAATCTCGATACTATTTCACAGCGATAGAATTATCTCGGATCTCATATTTCATTTGAATTGAGAGTACAAAACTATTACTTGCTGGAACATTCTATTACAGACTTGTCTCTCTCGATATGACAGCCTGAAGACCCAATTTTACTTTTTTCTGCAGTCTAAAGCCTATTTTTCAGAAGTTTTTTTTTCTTACAACTCTACGCAAAAAATATGAAAAAAAGAAACATAGACAGTCATCGACATTACTCGAAATGTGAGGACTGTCCATAGCAACAAAAGAAGAAGAGGAAAAAGAAGATACGCTTGAAAAATCATCACAGCACACACTGACTACTCGTCTGATATCAAATACAAATAGTTCGTGTCAAAAGAAAAAAGGATAAATAAATATATTTATATATCACTGGGTTTGGTAAACCAACGTTGGCTTTTCTTTTTAAGCATTTGCAAATAACGAACCAGTTGTAGCCATTTGTTGAAGTGCAGAAATAAGATATTCATTTGCATGTGCATAATCTGTTGGATCGTTGCCATGATCAGCACATTGAACAGTGATTTCTAATAGACGTTGCAGTGTTTTGCAGGCTTGTTCATCGGACCAGTTTTCGCAAGTTTTGATTGTTGAATTCATATCTGAATGTGTTGTGATCAAAACTAATGGTGAACACTCACCGAGAATAAATCGTGTTAGTATGTGTTGCCAAATCGGTTCTAATAGTAAGGGTCTTGATGCTGTTATTGGTGAACGTTCTTTTGATAATGATTCATGGACATAATGATGAAGAATTTCCAGAATAAAATAATCCAATAAAAAGATTTCACGTTTCAATAATAGACGTTTGGCTGTTGATGTTGGTCCGAGTGAAACGGTGACGACATTTGGTTTGTCCGATGAGTATGTATGACGGAAATAAAAAGTTTTTGATTTATCAAAGAGCGTACACAATGCGCTATGTAATGATTGGCCAATTAAACGATATGGTTGTATTTCCAGCATTTGCGCAACAAGTGCAGGTGATACTAGAAGAAAAGCAGAGTGATCGACTCGACGTGGTTGCTTTATTTCTAAACTTACATAATTTCGTTTGCTTTTTAATATTCAGTTTTCTTGTTTCAATCAGTAGGGAAGCAAATAACCACGGTAAACTTAGCATACGTCGAGCATGACGCGTGTCTGTATAACACAAAAGATACAGTGCGCTGGCTTTCGCCATTTTCTTCTCCGCACATTGAGTACAGTTTGTATGGCAACGATTGGAATGTGTCTTGTCGCAGAAACGAAATTCATGATAGAATAAACGACGTATACGTCGGATCAGTTGTTTCAATTCTACTTGAGCAGAATCGGCAATTAGACAAGCCGACTCGGTTTGTTGTTTGCTTAGCGGTGTTTTGTGTTGCGTTGAAGATGAATCAAATCGACAAAGTAAATCCACATCCGATGAAAAGCGATACACATACATAATATCCATAATTGCTTCACGATAGGTTCGAGCTAATTCATCAACGGATGATGCATAATCACCGTGCATATCATGAATTAGCAATGAATCGATTGGCGCTGGACATATAGTTGTTGGTGGAATTTGAATCGTTGTCCAATTAGGCTCAAAGCGAAGAGATGAACGAAATAATTGACCTAGAAGACTTATCTGGATAACCAAAACAATAATGGCGGTTTCTTTTCACTTACCGAGCACATGTTTGGATGGATAAAGTTTATAATAAGGTTTGTCGAAATAATCGGGTCGTTCATTTCCCAGTTCTGCTTGTAAAAGAGCGATTTGTTTTGGTGTTAATGGATGTTGTCCCGTTTTTGGTGCGTCTAGCTCTTCGGAAATGTGTCCAGCAATAGCTAGTGTTTTCGGGTGTGCTACGCCGTAAACATCCATATTAGCTAAATGCAGTGAGCACAGTTTTCCTACACATGATTGTTCACTGATATCTAAAACTGTAGCTTGAATATCTGCTCGATTAACAGGTCGATCGACGACACGTAACATGGGCGTTTGAGAATCGTAATCATACGGAATATCATTAGGCGTTTTAGGAATAAATGCCGAGTGCCAAATGACGGCATATTCATCACCTAAAGCAAATCGTTTCGATCGATTGGAAAGGAGTTTCTATTGGAATTACCATCAAGATCTGAACCCGAGATTTCGTTTGGATGTGGCCGTTTACCTCGTTGAGGAAAAACAATAACATCTTTCAGATGTCGTAAACGTGGTACATCGACAGCTGAAAAAACTCGAATATCGCCTGGATGATGACATGGATTTTTAGTTACAACAACTGGCTGTTCGAGAATAATGGTTTTTTCTGGTTGTGGTGTTAACGATGGATCATTGCTGCTACCGTTTTCATCGTCTAAGAAATCGCCATGCAATTCCGTGTACTGGACAAAAACTAAACAAGCAAAACATATACGATCATAAGTACTTCGATGAAATCACGTTGTACCTTGCCCATATTCTAAAATGCCATATTCATCGACGATTCCAATCATATTTCTGGCGGTATTTCTTGGTAATTTCAAGCGTGTACGTTCACGCATTTGTGCTAATTCGAATTTACTTGTTGTTTTAATTAACTGACGAAAGAAAGGTTCTTGAATTATGTTCACATGTGCATCGTTAATCAATGTGCGCATAGGAAATAAATTTCGATTTAATTTCTCTGCTAATAGCTCGTATGCACGTGTGGGATACACTAACGCTTCGGATAGCGTTTGTTGATGTTGATTTTGCAATAAAAGAAATGTACGATCATCAATGCCACGATGAGAAAGTAGAACAATAATTTGCCGATTCAAATACAACGGGCCTGAGCAGAAAGAGATAGCCTATATATAAGTCAAATGAAATCAAATGAATCATTCACGTGGTTTTGAAATACGGCATAATTCCAGAATATCATGCGAACATTTGAACTTTCTCATCGATTGACGAATACGTAATTGATGGGGTGAGTTATCTAAGTCAGGATTCACGGATATGACTCCTTTACATCCACCATAACGAATCTGAATAGCTGAAAATTGCCGATATGGATTGATCTAATGAGTGGGCGAATGGTAATCTTTCAGTTGAATGACAATAGCGATAGTCTTACATTATCACGTATAATGGTTGACATCGTTCCAACGCCATCAGTGAAATTATACTTTCGATCATCTGTGTGAATATCCTCAATATATTCCACTTTATCTGATGGAACCTACAATGATAGAACGAAGTAAGATAAGATCAAAGTCGACTTTTCTACTTGAATTGTTGCTTCAGCGCTGGTGAAACATTGTGCAATACGTGCAGCATGTTTAGCCACAATTCTTTCTTCTTGAAAGTCACCCATCCATGCAAATGCTTCTTCGAAAGAGAAATTCGTTTCGCCATTATGATGATAAAACCAGAACTGTTTATCTTTCAATTGAGATTGTGAATGATGCAAATAACGATAAGTGCGACCTTTGATTCCCAAATCGAAGCCTGATTCGAGTAACATTTCAGTTTTCCAACGTAGAGAACGATCTAAATATTCAACATGCAAACAACAATACATCTGAACTGATCATTCCCGTCGTCAACATACAATCATGTGGAAACAAATCCATCGTGCCATTTTCATCTTTGACATCGACAAGAGCAAACATGAGATTACCACCGAACTGCGGCTCACGTAAAACGCGATTGGTCTTGACCAATTTAAATGGGTTTACACAAATCGTTGTTGGCGTCAATGTCACTGACGGTACATACGCGTAATGACGTGGTGGTGTGTGAATACTCCAACGTTCTTGATCGCCTTCTTCTTTTTTAACTCCTTGTTGTTGAAAACTATGGGATGAAGCAGTAGGAGACGATGATGACGGCACATTTGTTAAAGCAGCTAATTTCTCTCGATAGCGACGTAATTCATCAAGTAAATCGATAAAATAATATTCACTTGACCGACGCCATATGTGTAGTGATGTCTAGATAATAAAACCTATGATAATAATATCTGATGTTGTCTTTCGAATTCAATAGACTTCGATCAAAAGAAAAGCTTCGTTAGGTAGCAATGTTACGCATCTCGAGAAGAGCAATTACCTGATAAAATTCATCATCATCATCGATTAGATTTAGTTGGTGAATGAAATCTGTTGTTAACCGTTGCTGAAAACGATAACCAATTGACATTAGCATTTGCCAACAATACTGTTTAATAAAAGACGTTGCACCCTTAGGCATCACCGATGATGCTGTAACAGTATGATCGACTGTGGATGGGATACTTAAAATAATTCCAAAGCAATCATTTATATGATTTCGATGGAAGAATTCAATGAATTGGGTGTAACATGAATTTAAACGTTGTAATTGTTCGCAATTATATTCATCACTATGATGTGTCATGATATTATTCTCATTAAATTGATTGGAAAGTGAAATAGTAAGACGAATAGTTGAATAGAATGGTTGCGATTCTCGAGGTGCAGTGCGAATATATGAAGAAGGTGATTCATTAGATTTACGAGTGAGAGAATATAATTCTACAAAAGAAAACCTTATTGATTGGATTGAAATGTTTTTTTTTGCTACGAGAATATCTCTTTACCATCATCGGCTGTGTTCTGAGAAATGCCGCAATTCACAGCTTCGTAGTCAATGGGATTTCCACTCATGTTAATAAAGAGAGTAAAACCATCCTTTTGCGTCATTATAAGAGCACATCTATCCATCATTTCAGCTTTTAATGTTTTCCGCAGTTTTTTCTCTTTACAACCGTAATCAATATCGATTTTATCATGATAAAAAACTAAACGCCAAGTTTCTTTTATTTGTGTTTGAACGTCCCAAATGTACTTATTTATTTCAACTAGTGCACCACTTGTGTATTCCATATCGAATCCATTATTTGTATAAAACTTTGCCAATTTTATATTCTTACGAATGACCTCGGTTGTTGTTGGCGGTAGTGGGTGTGTCGACTGTTGTGCTGCTTGTGGTTGACATTTCTTATAACAAATCCAAAATGGTGGTAATATAGATAAGTGATTTTGTAATAATTTTAACTTGGATATAACACAATTGATAGTTGTTTCATCGTGAGTCGATTGAAATGGGATTGTGTAGGAACGTAGGCCGCCGAAATGCCAATGATGATGATCACTGTTCGTTGGTGGTTGTGATGATAAATGATTGTATAGCGTTTTAAAATCGAAAGATGATGTTGTTAAATCAACGATTATACTCAATTGGGCACAAGATGAAGCAGAAGAAGAAGAAGATAGTTCGTCAGTCATCTATAATAAGATTAGATGGATGATGGAATTCAATTCAATGAGCTTGTCAACAATTCAATACAGGATAGAGATTCGAGAAAGAGCGCCTGTTTTCGTTTCTAATCAACTATTTTGTATCACTCAGTAGTTAACAATCTAATGAAGTATTTCGTTTACTCAATCCGTTCTTCGAGATAGAGTGTAGATCATAACAGATAAACTGTCTCGAATGTAGTAATAATCACATGACGATCGAAATGTAAACACTCGGGCAAATATTTCTACGATTTAAATTTTCTAAAAATCAGACTGAGCGTCATCGATTGCTTACTTTAAATACGCACCCAACGTATTGATAAGGATGACCTACTTATACTGATTTAAATTCGAATCTAGAGTATAAATAATAGCTCCATCCCACTTTTACATGATATTCTACACCTCTTACTATTGGGATCACAAGTTTATATAGACAGCCTCACTAAGATTTAAAAATTCGCACTTGTTCATCAATAATTCCTATAGGAGGGCAGCCGAAAGAGATGTCCGAATCGTCACAAAAAAAAATTCAAACAAGAACGACTACTGAAAACAAAAAATTTTAAGGAAAAAGACCATCGTTATTTATGCACGAAATGCGAATTGTAAGATGAAACTTCATGATTTTCGAACATTTACTAATCTATAGCACTAGCGGATACGAAACTGATCGCCGATACCGCACTCAGAGCAAGAGTAAAACATGAAGATATAAATCGGATCTAGTAAAACTCGACGGCTCACTATCTCGCAGTATTCGAAATAAATCTCATCGTAAGATAACTAGGATAGATTTTGATAGACACACTGCAAAGTTAGCCATCTGTAGTATCATTGACACTAACTCGGAAAATACTAACACAGAAGCCCTATCCGATTTTTCTACCGTCTGTCGTCGATTGAAATTTACATGAATGATTCTGGTTAGGACATTACCAAGAAATGACGTAATGAATATAATCCAGTTTTCTTTCTTTTGATTCGTTCACAGACATACATACGTATATATCGGATATACAAACTGTAATGTGCGTGCTCCATCTATCTGCCGTTTGATCTAATCCGATGGTGTTTAACGCTCTAATAAATCTACGCATCCCTAATTTATTCAATGGCTCTTTTCTCTCTATTTCACTAATTTATAATCTACCGAGTGATATTTTTCTATTGATTCGCTGCTACACTAAATAAGGACACGATATCTTTCGACTAAACTTGATCTCTATCAATCGAATGTATAGGAGAACAATATTTGTACTTCTCATCATGATTACTTGTACAGCTAAAAGCATATCCTTTTTGAACAGTCACTAGTAATCAAATGGCAGAAAAATTTATCTACATCATTTTCACCTTGAATTATCTCGTCAGTGAATATCTACTTGTTTTGTTTCTTTTGTTGTCGACCCTTAAAACATATTTATTGACACGATTGTATTGAAATAAGATAGCAAGAACATGTGTGTATGGCTGCATATGACAGTAGGAAGAGAGGCGATAGAGCGAAGCAGTGCATTGCCAATTTCGTCATTTATTCTCAAGAAACAAATACGCTACTGTAATCCGAAATGTCCTTTTCTTTGCTTGAAAAATCCTTTGAGATGAAAACAGAAAAGCTTACTTTCAATATAAATGAAGATAAATTTGTCTCAGCTATGATTTGATATTGTTGTGGCAATATATCAATAAAATGCTTCAATAATTTTTCTTTTCATTAAACTTTGTGAAAACGATTTATCTGAAGTAGAAGTGTTTTAGATATATATTATTAAAACATATTTGACAAGATCAAATACAGATAATGGATCGTTTTTTTTCTTCAAATAGTTCTAATCGTGCTATGACTTGGTCTCAATCCAAATGTACACTTTGCGCATAGAAAAAAACGCTGAATACATGTATACACATCGACCTCGTTATGTCTATTCGATGTAATCTGAGAAAAGAAATGCGCAAGAAAGAGAAAAAAGACTAGTTAGCGTGTGATCTATGTTATTGTTCGTCTTGTAAATTTAAAAGATACGAAAACAATATATGATTCATCCATAAGTCATCAAATGCTTTGAAATCACAACCACAACCGAGAGAGGCCTAGGAAATGAAAAAAAATCGATTTCTTCGAATTTTGACTATAGACGAATGAGGCAATGATTGACAAGAATGTAAATATAGAATGAAAGAGAAAAAAATATGTTACTGCGCAGATATTGAAGAATGGTAATAGTCAATGTGCGACACGCAGGTAGATTTTAATAGATTGCGAAGAGGAAGAAAGAATAGAATAAGAGAGAAAGAGAGATAGAATTGGTAACATCGATGGATGGGTGATATATTGTCAAGTACACATATGTACATCCTCAAATCAGTGCGAATCACGTTTGTTTCTCGTGCTTGAGAGGGCGACACTGAATAGAAATCAATAAAATATTACTTGATAAAGCCTAGTCTACTATAAGTTGTGTTGACCGTATGTGCGATCTACGCTTTTCTTGGATCAAAATGCGGTCGAATATCGACGTTGAATATAGAGAGAAAGAGAAGTTCTCGTTTATCATTGTACTTTTACAATATGTATGTTCAAAAGACCTTGCATCATTATTATTAGAAAGGCGAAAAAAAAGTTGCACAATTTGCACCCAAATGCAACTGACATATAGTGTCGATAAAAACGTAAGAGCCGCGAGCCTCAATCAGTAGTCAAAATGTCAATTAATGTCATGAGACTGAAGCCCCATATTTGACCCTTCAAGACCTCAATTGTTGTTCGAATCGACGCTCATCTTTTTTTTCTTGATGAACAAACAATTAATATTCAATTTTGAATCGTCATTTATTAAAACACTAACTCTGTTCGAATGAGAGCAGGTATCGAGTCAAAAACTGTATATCTTTTGAAGACAAATCAACCACTGTGTCGTTTTCGATTCAAATTTCGACTAATGCAATCATTAAGTCAAATGAAGATCATGTAGGTACATCATGCCAAACAAATGATACTCTGATTGATTGCCGAGAATAGGAAATAAAGTTAAGTTTAACTTAGATAGAATTCTTTTAATAGGGGCTAGAAATGTTCACAAAAAAACTAAAATGGCAAGAGGAAATATAGGTCATAATGTACTAATCATTGTGCTACTAGTTTTCATTTTCATAAAGAAAAACGAAAAAGTAAATTATGTTGACAAAATTAGGATCTAAAGTTTTATTTGCCACCAGTTGTTCCCATACCAAGAGCTGACTTGAAGGTATCATAGATCCACCATTGAAGACCAGTCAATGTACCAATCATGATGATACGAGTGCCGAGACCCTAGAAATAGCAAATGATGATTGGTGAAGTGCGAGACAGAAATAAGACAAACCTTGGTAGCAAGTTTAGCAAATCCAGTTTCGTTGATGATTTGTCCTAGGCTCTTGCCTTTGTTTGCTGGTTTGCCAAGAAGTGATACGAGTGAATCAGCAGGATGAGAAACGATAGCACAAATAACACCGGCTGTGTAACCAGAAGCGAAAGTAACACCAAGTTGTGTTGTTTTTGAATAAGTATCTTTTGGTTGTGTGAACACATAAGTATAAAATAATTGTACGACCTGCAATTGTAATGTATGAGAAGAAAATTTTGGTAAGTTTTATCGAGGAAACAAACCTTTTCGAAGAAGAAGAATTTAGCTACGGTGTAAGGAACTTGTCGTGACCAGAGTGGTACAAGTGATCGATATGGAAAGCCCGTTTCTGCTCTCTGGGCGCTCATTTGCGACCAAGCTGGGCCAAACGCAGTTGGAAATGTTCCTTTTGGTGCTGTTTGAACTTTGACTTTAACCATCTCCATTGGACACAAAGCAATATCAGCGAAGACTTCGGCAGAGGCTGATGCAGCACACCAAACGAGACCTTTGTATTTTTCGAAATTTTCCTTGCCAAGTGCATTAGCATATTGATCTTTGAATACTTCGTAGAGACCATATTTGAATGCTCCTTGTGCAGAGTAACCAAAAAATGTTGGTAACCATCCTTTCCATACAGCTTGACTTCCTTCTTCGGCAACAATCAGCTTGAGACCTTTAACTAAACCTTTGTATTTTTCGGGACTGACCTGTTATGAAAAAGAGCAAAAGATTTTTTACAATGAATGTTTCTGTTATTGTCTCGTTTTGACAGAGAAACAATGTGCTAGAATCTTCTCTATCGTTTAGATTAGACTGACTATGTAATGTACACGGAACGGAAGAGATTCGAAATGTTTACTTATTTTTGCATGATCTACACTGGCAAGAACAAAAAGAAGTCGTAGATAATAGTGAATATCACCGTATTTCCTGAAATGGTGTCCGTCAAATTTCCTACGTCCGTCGACGCTGAAGATTTCGAGGAAGAAACTATTTTTGATCCGCATGGGTAACGTACTTGCATATTACATTTGGTTACATCCAATGGACAGATGGCTGTATGGGTGAGACCGCAAGCAAGAATACCACCAAGTAAACACTTAGAATAATATGATGCGTCATGTGGAACATGACCGGCATAACGAGAGTCCCATTTAGCTACAGTGCCTGTTGATCCGACGGTTGTTTTTGTTGATGGTGGCAATTGATTTGATGGCGCGACCATTGTGAACGATTTTCAAAGCAGAAAAGGTCTAGAAATGTAAATGTGAAAAGTAAATACCGGAATTCAAAATCAACTGTTATCGAATGAAATATATATCATTAGAGTACATGTGACGTAAAGGCGTGATGGACTTTGAAAAGTACGAGTAATGACGCGATGGAGTCCAAAACAACCATAAAAGGAGATATCCGACCTTTATCTGCGGTTCTATAGTCAGTTTGTTGTTTACAAGTAAATAAATATATGCAACGAAATTATTCAATCAATATACACAATATCTCAGTCTCATCGAGATCATTAGCATTAAAAAGTGTTTTTCGATAGTTTTGACGCATGACCCATTCGATTCCTACTGCCCTCTAGAGATCACACTATGACGTCAGTCACGGGTAGTATGTCTGTCTATATAAAATATATATCTTCAATGAAGTTCTTTGAGCGTAGACACAAACAAGAAACGTGCTTCTATTTCAAAAATGTACAACATTTTAGAAGAAGACGTTCAGTAGGCTTCTTCGCTTTGATTATCCTCTCTTATCTCGACAGACGTCCGTATTTCGCGATTCACTCGTTGTCTGCACGCATGTACTATTGATAGAAAGGAAAATGAACGAAAAGCGAAAAGAGAGGGAGAGAAAAGAAAACAAAAATACGCTTGTCGTCTTACCCAAACATTCATCATTTCATTTCCATCATTTACTTGATCACTGTTTAATCGTTCTTCTCTTTTCTTTCATATGCATTCTGCATAGTTTATGAGACCAGAAATTGAACTAAAATGAGCGCACCGCAATCGCCCACCTCCGCACCAGCTTCATCACTATCACCGAATACCAATGGTTGGTTCCGACAACAACCGTATTTTGCCGCTTTTTCCAATCCAGCACTATTGCAAAGCATCATGCATCATCAATCTGAGCCCAACAATATCAAACAAAGTTTCAAGTAAAAAGGATGATAAAGAAATTTCTCATACAGAGTTTGTTCTAGTCGAAGGATCCTTCGTTTGGTTGGAACCCAAGATCCATTCCGATTATTTCTGGATTTGGAGCAAATCAAGAAAAAATGGTTTTTCGCTCAAGATACACGACAAATATCAAAACGAAAGAAGTTTACCCAATATGTTCTGGACACTCGTAAGCTCGACATGTTTGATTGATATTAGAATTCTTAATGCAATCTCTTTCTCAGATTTATTGGAAATGCTCTATCCAAAACTGCAAGGCAAAAGCGATTTGATTCGAATGCTTATCAACACCTACCGACAAATCCAACAAGAAGCATTCGGCATTGTCTTAATCAATAAACAAAATAAAGTAATATGAACTGATCCTTTCTTCGATCTTTATCTAAACGTTCCGTTCCAGGTATTTTTGGTACAGAATGAAAAATACTATTGGAGTTTTCCAAAAGGCAAACTGAAACTTAATCCAGATACATATGCATTCGAAAGTCAATGGTCGTGTGCATTGCGAGAAGTAAGTTATTTCATAGATTGCAACGATAAGCATGGTTGATTGCTACTCATAGTTCGGTGAAGAAGTCAATGTGGATTTAAGTTCATGGTCTCCATCACAATATTGGGAAGCCCGTTTAGCTGATAACCGCATGGTTGGCTTGTTTGTAATTGAAAATTTCGATGAAACTAAAGTTCATTTCGAATATGACAAACGGGAAATTATCGTAAGAAAAAGATTGAAAGCATTTCTGATGCAAAACTGAAAGCAAATTCGTTGCTTAGGATATTATGTGGTTCAATTTATGCACAAATAATGATGAAATGCATACTTTGAGACAGTACTGGAAAGAACAACAACGATTAACAGATCCTTATTATACAGCTTTACCATTCATCGAGTAAGTCAAAGAGAAATAAGAAACACGAGATGTGAAATGTTTCTCTTTAGACATTTAATTTTTGAATATTTACCACATAAAGAACAGACATCTTCGACAATGTTATCACTTTCTCATTCGATGCCCAAAGAACATGACGATAACTCAATTATCGATAAATTACTAGGCCGTTTACCCATTTGGCCATCAATTCCACCTGTGAATAAGTCCAGTTCAGATATACTGAATTTACTTCAACCACCAACGCAACAACAATCGATCAAAGATTCATTTGAAACGAACCAAAAATCAGTGAGTATCCTTGATCGATTGAATGACGCTATTCGAAAAGCCAATTGCAATAATAACTGCCCAACGGCGAACACCGATCATCGCATTGCGGTGCAAGCTTGAAAAAAAAAGCTATGTCTTATCTGTAACTTACATGTCATTTACATTTACAGCATGTATTCCTTTCTGAAATTGAATATTTTTCTATTGTCCTTCTCCTTTCTGTTCAAATTCTCTTTATCTTTCGGTTAATTGTTTGTAGAAAAGAAAAGACACAAGAGTATATCTTTTCTTGTATGTGTATATATATCCAAATCTACGTAGCATATGTGATTAGTGTCAATGATTAGCTAGCCATGTGTTTGTATTCGTATTGTTGCTCTCTGTATAAGCGCGATGCTTTTGTTCAATGTGTCTTATTTTTTTCGAAAATATGTGAACATACTTTTTCAGAGTGATGCTAGTTTTCTTTTCTTACGCCTTTTTGTCGCGAAAATTGTATGTTGAACATTAAGGAAAAAAGAACACGTAGCAAGGGAATGATAAATATGAATCAAATAAATATTCATAGAGACGAAATATGTTGAAATTGAAGATTCAAAACAATGTTTTATTCCGAACTCCCGAATAGAATAGCATAAAACTAAAACAATCTTGTTGGCGATAACAATATAGAAGTAAAACTTGTTGACTTCATTGAGAAGAAGTTAGTTTAGGTCGAATCGGACAGCAGAGATTATAGAATGCATCTTTCGACCAGAACGACCATGGTTTCCAACCCACCCAACCCTATGAAACAAAGAATACGGTGATTGACTTCAACATTCGAAAATAAACGAACTTTATCTTGAATAGTCTTAATATCATCCACTCCGGTGTAGTGTGGATCGAGAACGAGTAACATTGAATCACCTGTTGATTCATTGAAATCAACACCTATGATTGTATGTGCTAGAACACCCCCGCCGATCATAATTGGAGTTCCTTCTCTTTTGAAATGATTGATAAGTTCACGGACATGTTCAACCATATCAGCTCCGCGCTCGACTCGAATGATTTTACAGTCGACCTAGAATTAACTGTCGGATGCTTTCGAATTGTTAATCGGAGACCTTATTTACATTCAGATAGTTTTGTAAAACGAATGACACTTCCATACTACCGATCCATTGACGAGAATTTAAGAATTTCTTTGGTTTATCGTCGATGTCAATAAGAGTCTAAAAATCGTCACCAAAAGACTCTTTTTCCGTTTTTTTTTCTAGTTCACTTCCATACTTGTTGTATTTGTGCGTGTGTTGGAACGAGTTTTGTCGTGTATCCTTGTAAAATGAACCATGAACAAAGAGTTTGTAGCGATCGATATGCACACCCCCACATATTATCATCAAAATTATCTTGCATATAATGATAATATGCATAGTGACCGTCAACTAGTGTTTGTTCGCCGCCTTTCACTAAACCAAAAGAGGATTGTGAATCAAATTTTCCACCAGGTGTTCTTACCTTTTGCTGGAAGATTCTTGTGAACATCGAATAATCTTCCACTGGTCATCAATGACGCTAGTTGCCCATCACCAAAATCCATCGAAATGAATGGTTGATTCATTGGCAATTGAGGATATTTGACTTGAAGCTCATTTCGTACTAAATACAACAGAAAATTGATAAGCATACAAATTTGTACAAATATTCTACCGTTGTCCTTATCATCATCAGAAAATGTAACAATTTGATTGATTAACTTGACATAATAATGTCGAAACGTTTTGTTATTTTGAGTCTAGAAAACACAGAATGCATTTCCTTCATCTTCGTTATGTATTGACTCTTACTTGACGATTTAGACTTTCTTCAAGTATATCTAATTGTCGAGCAAGTTGACTTTCTAATTGTCGACGCAAATCTCCTATTGTTGTCGAGCGTTCAACAACGGCAAGTAAATCAAGATTTAAAGGAATATCTAAACAAAATGATTGTTTGTCTTCACGAAAGTACAGAAAAAGACAATAGTTACTTTGTCCGTTTTTCTTTGTATTGCACTTATCAAGAACTGGCGTATAACAAGATTCATCACCTGTTGTGTGTCGCATCAACCTTCCGGATATCATCTGCCATGGATATATTCGTCGATAAGCATCATTTTTAGGCTTTTTATCATTTTTATCATTTTCTTCGATGAATTCGCCAAGTGTAACTTCGTCTAACGAATATTTTCCATCATTCGTAAAAACAGTGTCTCGAGTGAAGTAAATATTCAATGGTGAATTCAAATGATAACCACTGTCGGTCAATAGAGCACGAAATGCGCTGAGTTCCTCATCGTTATCTTAAAAGATGACAAAAACAGACTTCGAATTAGTATAAAAACGCGAGTGCAATCTACCCTGAATAGAGAATAGATTCGTTTGGCAATTAATACGTATTAAAATCGATTCATCTTGTAAATTCGAAGAAATGATCAACATGATCTGTAAAATAAAGAAGAAATTCACAAAGAAATCGTGATAATCATGTTATACGTTCTTTTATTTTAAAAATCCAAAACGAACAAGACATTATTTCTTTCGCTCTATAAGAATTAAATACGAATATATTACGATTGTAATTTTTTTCTCTACGACATAACTAACAAGATGTCATTATCATTCTGCAGAAGATGTACATATTTGTTTTTGTTAGGCAATTAGTTGGAATTCACTGTTTGTCGAAGAACATAGTTAAGAAGACCGCCATGAAGCATGTAAAGACGTTCGATTTCCGTATCAACGCGAGCGATCATTGAAAATGTTTTACCATTTTCCAGCTAGATAAATGACAAGATTATCATGAAGAATATTCGAAAGAGAAAAACAATTACTTTAATCATGGCTAATTTGTCATTATTGTAAATATTGTATTTGATTGAAAAAATTTCCTTTCCAGTTAAGTTTAAGGATGCACATGTGTCACCATTTTGAAATTGCAATGGCAAGATACACATGCCGATCAGATTTGAACGGTGTTGCGGTTCGAAACTTTCGGCCAGCACAGCTCGAACGCCCTAGAATGTAGCGTTTGTTTGAATGTTAGCTAAAGCAGTTTGTGTAAACTTACGAGCATCCATGGTCCTTTCGCAACCCAATCTCTCGATGGTCCACAACCGTAATCCCGACCGGCAAGAACAATGAGCGGTATTTTCGCATTACGATAGTGTTCGGATGCATCGAAAATATCCATTTCAGTATTTGTTGGATGATAGAGTGTAGTCGTAGCTGGTGATGGCGACGATGTCGGGAGTAATGATGATGGTCGTTTTGAAACAAGTTTATTGTTCAAACGAACATGATTGAATGTACCACGCACCATAACAGCATCGTTTCCACGACGAGAACCGAACGAATTGTAGTCACGTGGAGCGATACTGAAAATATACAGAATTGCAAGAGAACGAACTGCGGCTATTTTACCCTTTCTGTGTAAGATATTTCGCTGCTGGACATGTTCGAGATATAGAACCGGCTGGAGAGATATGATCGGTAGAAACTTGATCACCCAAATAGAGCAGTACACGTGCATTTTCGATAGAAATCGTATCCGATAGAGTATTCTGTTTAATCTAAAAAGATCCAATCAAATGTTGACAGTCATAGAAACAGAACGACGGTTTTATTACTGCTGTATCAAAGAATGGTGGACGAGTTATATAAGTTGAATATTCCGCCCATGGATATTGTAAATGCGTGTGAACTGAAGGGATTCTTATGGAATTCCACTGTGGGTTACCCGTCTAGAATAGGTAATTGATACTATTGAGTGTCATTTTCATCCGTTCGATTTACTTGAATTCGTTCATTGATTTTATGCAAAATTTTCTTGATAATCAATTCATCTTCGATCTCTTCAATCTCCTGACGAGTTGGCCAGATGTCTCGCATGGAAATAGTCTTCTCGTCGACCGAGATCGTTTCATTTTCTAAATCGATCAGCACATTGCCCGCTAGTGCATAAGCGAGAACTAATGGTGATGATGTCACATAATTCGCTTTTGCTAGCGAATGACGTTGTTGAATTTGTCGTGCACCACTTATCATACCGATGGTGATTAAATTGTCCTACAGGCATGTCAAAATAGCTTTCATAAATCTATGTTTTCTGTGTTTTTACGAACTTGATTAATAATTTGTTTGATATCCGGTTTGAACGTGTTGTTTTCTTCATTTTGAATGCATTTTTGACATCCGTAGCCAGTGATGCGAAAACTAAACAGATGAGTTGTTGATGATGAGAAAACGAAGTTTTAGCTTTACCCTAGTTGTTCTAGAGCTGTTAGAACTCCACTTTCACGTAAATATGTAGTAACTATTCCACTGCCAGGAGAGAGGTAAGTTTGAGTAAAACTCGATATTCGAAGACTATGCTTCAGGGCATTTCTGGCTAATAAACCTATAGAAGAGAAAGAATACACATCGAACTTCAATAGATTCGAACAAACCTGTTGTTAATAAGGATGTAGCATGACTAATTCCATTTGTGCTGCTTGTTATCGCAGCAAGAGTGATAGAGCCGTGTTTTAAAACTTCATTTGAAGAAATTGTTGTCGAACAATCCAGTTGATCAACCGACAGATTATAACCCTAATAGGCAACAGATAAAAACCATTGAAACCAATGTATTGTGAATTCATACTTTAAATCCAGATGGTGCAGTAAGGCATTCTCGAAAATCCGATTTCATCGAACATAAAGACACTTTGTCTTGCGCACGCTTCGGTCCACTGCAGCTGGGTACCACGGTGCACAAATCGAATTCATAAACATCACTATAAACAATGCGTTCGTGTTGCTTATTGTCGCTGAATAGTTGAGCTTGAACTAAATAATTTCGTATTGTATCGATTAAAGAAGGATCTTGTCCTAGAATGCAAACTGTTGAAAGAAAGACAGTGATCAACAAAAGGGAACTTACCAGTACGAGCATAGTGTTTTATGCAGAGATCATCCAGAGGAAAGTAAGCAAGAAGAGCACCTTGTTCTACGCATAAATGTGCCATCGACGAACGATCCGCGATAGTTAGATAATTAAGACCTGAACCGAAAAACTCAATATATTTGTTATCAAGACCCATCTGACGAAGATACTGTTAATGCAGAAGAGAAATCTTTAGCAATGTATTCTTGTTCAATTTTAAACAATTCATACTTTCATAACAGCAGATATAAGATCAATTGATGTTGACATAAAGTGTGGTTGACCAACAAATCGACAACCGATAATGACTGATGCCAAACGTATATGAATCGGTTGTCCAAACATTGCTGCCTCGGCTTCGATGGTACCCGTATCTAAATCATAAATGAATCGCAGTTATCCTCAACAAGCAGCTCGCAATTTATTTACTATAACTGAGCACACCGAATCCATTGGCAAGTGTCGTATGTGTATCAGTGCCAATGAAAGTATCTGGATACACCAGCGTGATTTTTTTATCTTTTGCTTGTTCGAATAAAATTAGTTTTGATAAGTATTCTAAATATAACTGTTGACACACACTCATTCCGGGTGGGATGATGGATATTTGATTGAAGGCTTTTGCGCTCCACTAACAAAACCAAAGAGATATGTTACCATAGTGTTTTCCTTTTAAATCAACTTCGAACTTACTTTCATTAGTTGTAATTTTTCAATATTACGCTCAAATTCTAGTTGTTGATTTCTTTCAATGGCATCGGCACTAGAGAAAATCATTTCTGTATTTGCTCTACTTCATAGTAGTACACTTACCAAACAGTTTTTTCTTGATGAAACGGACATAATTCATAGCCGCATTCCAAATTGGTTGAACTATTCGTGTCCGTTGTTTTTCTTACGATTCTAAAACAATTCAAATCAAGAACATCAACTCATCACACAGATTCCCACTCACTTTCGAGCCACATCAGCATCCATATTATAATAATCCAGCAGAAGTGTTGTTGGAACATTTGGTTGAATCGTCAGTGGATCAATACCTAGTCGAACAGCTGCGTCACGCATCGCAGCCAGATCAATAATTGCTGGTAAGCCCCTAATTAACAAAATACTTTCTCATCTGTGAATTTTTTCATTAAAATATGACTTACGAGAAATCATGCATAAGAACTTGACTAGGTAAGAATGGCAGTTCACTACTTGGTAATGTGTTATGCTGCCAATTTAGAATTTGCTGCACGTGTTTATTTTCAATTGAGACATTATTACAATGACGAACAGTGGATTCAAGTAGAATTCGAAGACAGAATGGCAATTGTGCTAGAATACGAAGAAAAAAATACGTTGTTTTTTACGCAATGATAAGAGAGAATGATTTCGTTTACAGAATATTTTTGGATCGATTTGCGATACATCGTAGTAGACATGTTCTTGATCATTGTGTTTGATAGATGTTCGTAAAGATTTATAGGGATGGTCTTTTTCAAAGCACATTTTTCTTTTCGTACTTTTTTATTCTCACCCGTAATAATGGAGATTATATTAAAGTGCGTCTCCTGATCGTGCGTACCAAAAAAATACTTTTATTATTTGCTATTCGTCCTATCCAATCGAAACTTTTTTTCAATTGAAAATAATCTAAATGAATGAAATTAAATGTAGGTCGTCTGATTTTTTTGTGTAAATTACGTCGTAAAATATTTCCGTAGTGTCATCTATGAAGTTAATTGATAATTGGTTAAGTAAATCGACCAATGAAGAATGAGTTGAGAAAAAAGAAAAATAATAGAAGACACAGAACTTTCATATGTTTGACTTATTCGATATGTCTATAGAAACGACGAATACAGGTTCGAATGAATTTCTCTTCCGCTTTCATTTCAATAAGGTTTCTTCGGCTACTTTTATTTCTTAGAAAGTGATGGTTATCAACAACAGTATGAAGAAAGTCAATCAACTGACGATGATAAACAAAATGAATTGACACGTTTAGAAGCGGTATTCTATTTACTCAATGACAAACTTCATTTGCGCGGATTTTCTATCTTCTAGGATGCAGAAACACCATTAGATGAATTGCTCAAGTTATACAAGAACGATGAATCAGTTAATGATAATGATACCTCTCAAGAAGACGAAGAGGTAAATTCGAGTGTGGAAAAATCTTTCTAGGTCTCATGTTTGAAACTTTTAGTCATACAGTTCGTCAGAAGTTGAAGACAACGAAGATGATAGTGATGAAAACGAACGGCAACACGGTCTGTTTCATGTCAATGGCGATCTATTGCCTGATTGCGATGATACAGAAGATAGTTTATACGAACCTGATTTCGTTCGAGTTCGTATCGATCAACACAAATCTCATCGATAGCATGGCTCTTTTATTCTAGGTAATCAATATTGGAGAAGAATACCAAGCACATATCGAAGCAACAGTTGAATGTAGTTCACCTGATGACTACGCCGATCATCATGAAAGTAAGGAATATATTCGTTGGATACCTCAATCGGAATCAATGTTCTATTGACGTTCTAGTACTAGATGATGAATTACTTTGGTCATCTTCATTAGCAAGCGACACTGACGATGAAATTATCGATCAATATCTCAAAATCACGAATACTGAATGTAAAAACTTTCCTTTTCTTCACATCAAGTACTAGATTTGTTCGTATAGATCCATCATCGGATGACGAAATATCGCTTCAGACTTTTTTGAAGTGTCAATTTGATACTGATTCAGCATTAACTAAATTTCGTCAATTACCAATGAAAAATATCTGTAAGAATTTTGCTTTTGGTGCTTTATTACACCAATAACGATGAATTTAGATTCTTACCGTGCATGGTCATTAAATGAAATACAGCAATTCGAGGAAGGTTTACGTGAATACGGCAAAGATTTCAAGAAAATTTCTGCCTTAAAAGTAATTCTGCTCGTTTGTCCTCAGCTGTCACCCACTTCGATATTTTCAGTGCTCAACTCGATTCATTCCCGAAATAGTCTATTTTTATTATCAATGGAAGAAGAGCAAACACTATGAATTGTTCGTCGAAGAGCAACGACATTTGAATCCACTGCCATCCGTCAGGTAATTCCGATTGTCTTTTCCTTTCTGTTAAATCCGACATGTTTGATTGCAGTCATATCATTGGGAAATTCATTGAAGAACAAGAACATCAGTTATGCTCTGTAGATAGTGTAGCTGATTCTTCGGATTCCTCTTCGTTTCTCTCAAATGATTATAAAATCCATGCATCGATACCAACCGATTCATCGATCTCATTTGTAACCATTCATCAACATGAAACTGTCAGTTCCACAGCAAAACGAACGTTCGATCAAGTAGACAATGACGTTAACGAAGTCTCAGCAAAAAAACCGTCGTTTATTTCAAAGTCAACCATGGAGACAACGCCGACAATAGTATAAATGTTAATAAAACAAATCTTATTCGATACAAATAAAACAATTCTCGCACTTTTTTGTTCCTGTTTGTTTGTTTGATTGTTTCTGAGTATTTATATATCTGTATACATATAATAATTTTTGTTGTTATTATGTTCTTCATTCGTTTGCATAAAAAGAGTAATTTATAGAAAAAGAAGGAACACATTTTTTGCGATTTCGTTCTCGTCGAATCGAATACTATCTTGCATCCACCAATCTGCAGCTCGTTATCATCAGACTCAACTAAGAGATGAATGTCATGTCACCTGGGAAATTTTCTGAGTTGGACCTTCTTCATGATTATAATGCGAACATTAGCTGTTTTGTTCGCGACCAGACACGCACTTGCAGATTCATACCGCCATCTACATTGCCATGCGAGTTAATCATACGTTCAAAATTCTCATTTGATTTTCACAAATGAAATGTGGAACGATATTTATTTTTACAATTGATGTTCTGTTGATCTTTGTTCGACTCTAAATATGAAAATTAAAATAAAAGAAAATAAATCTTTTTTGACGTGAAAATAACTTTTATTTACATTTTATTCGAATAGTAAATGTAGGAGTCCATGTCAAGTATGAATGGCGTCGAGACGATAAACTATGGAATTGAAGTTGTTCTAATTAGAAAAAAAATGAGAGGAAACGATGGCGTATGTTGTCATTCATTCTATTGTTCTATTTCCGATTAAAATACAGAAAAAAAAAGATATTTTGATATATTTTAGATTATTCTATTCCTTTTTTTCTCTTCCAGAAGAAAAAAACAAACAAACTTTTTCCTATTATTTGTGAAAACACATTTCATCGTCGTGTTTTTCACACGTTTTTCTTATCCTATTGTATTCTCGTGTGCGTTTTGTGTATATATTAATATATCAGAATGAGCGTTGCAGCGGCCACAGGTGCCGTCAGCACGCAACATCATCAGCCAACTGCAGAACAAATTCGTCTGGCTCAATTAATTGATGATAAGAAACATGATCAACCAGAAGTACAAGACATTGTTCGAAAAGTTCTCGATGTTGTTGCCAATTCCAATCAAGAAGATGCTTTAGTTGCTTTATTCGATTGTGATTATGACTATGAAAGAACTGTTGCGTTACTTATCGAAAAAGGCCATGATGTTGCTAGTGAATGGCGGACAGCAACAAATCATAAGACGACGAAAAAACAACAGCAGAAGATTGCATCAACTAAAAATGGACATGCTGGAGATGTAGATGAAAATGGATATCAACGAGGTAGGATTGCAATATCTGTAAAAGATATGAATTGCATTTTGACGGACATATCATCCGATCGTTTAGATGGTGCTTCTTATCGAGGTAAATCACGTGGTGGTCGATCAAGATTTCAGCAGCAACAGAATGGAAATGATTCTCAAAACACTAATCAACAGTCAAATGATAATAGTGTATCTCAATATAGGTCCCGGGGAGGAAGTGGTTATCGAGGTCGCTATCGTGGTAGTAATCGAGGTGGTCATCGTACGAATGATAGAAATAATCCGCAGCAACATTATGAGCAGCAATCATATGATCCAAATGTTGATACATCACTACCGTCAGATACGACACAACGCTCTACTGATGTACCATATTCAAATCGACGAGGAGGTGCTGCGGACAATAATAGACAACAACGACAATGGGATGTTGGCAATTGGAATGGTGAAACAATGGTTTATTCTAGAACAGCTAAAGATATTGAACAACCTTTGAATTCCGAGGATAATCATGTATCGAATGCATTACATTCTTCATCAGGAGGTAATAATTATAGAATTGATTTTGTAAAATAGAATATTCATTTCTCTAGTAGCCAATGGCCAATCATCGTTGAAAACGTCGTCGGTCAATAATGTTTCTGACCCAAATACGTCACAAAAGTCCAAAACAGAATTCGATCCGATAGAGGCGACACGTCAGATTAAGAATGTTATTGGTATCGGTCAATTCCAACAGCAGCAACATCAAAATAATGCATTGCCCAAACCTCTAATGGACATAAAACCATTGATGAATGATCAACAAACAGGACAACAACAAAAGTCCAATACAATACCATCGAAATCATTTGGTCAAACCATGAACACAAAGGTGACGCCTCCTCCTTCTCAGCCGCAGCGTATTCCGCACCAACCAGTGATCTTTTCTGATCGTTTTGATGGTGGAATGAACAAGATTGACATACAATTTGGCAATCTAACCGAAACGTTAGAAGACACACCAGCGCGCAATCCACCAGTGTCAATATCACCGTCATCAACATCTGCATTTTATCAACGTTCAGAACCGATCACATCGATGTCACAACAAAATAATACTTCATCGACATTTCACAGCTCTCAACGACCAACGACTTTGCAACACTCACAGGCTGAACAATCTGCTTTTGCTTCACCATTGCCACATGCAAATTCAACTCGTTCATTTGAACAACAACCGGTGATGAATCAACATCGTGTTTTACCACCACAGGTGCAACATCCTCAACAACAACAACAACAGCAGCAGCAACCATCATCGATGTCAATGAAACCTGTCGTACCAACACCATATGCTGTACATCCTTCACAACACCAAATGAATGCATCTAATGTGCTCTTACAATCGCTACTTTTCCATCATCCACAACAGGAGGTAAAAGTATTACTATTTATATTTTGCACGCATCAATAATATGAACATTCTACTTATTTCAAATAGTCTATTCCATTGGATACTCCATACGATCCAACAACGTTTCAGTTATCATCATTTGATTTTAATACACCATATTATATGGCAGCGATGAGTCAACAACCACCACCACCGCAACAAACACAAGCGCGTTATCTTGTTCATCAACCATCATTACAACCTCAACAGCAGCAATCACAGCAGCAGCAGCAGCAACAGCAGCAGCAGCAACAACAACAACAACAACAACAACAACAGCAGCAGCAACCGACATCCAATCGATCGCAAACATCCGCTAATAACAATGTTCAAGCATCAACAATGTCTAATTCTTCATCATCACATCCGTCTTCATCGACGTCAAGCACATTGCCTACAGCACCGAAGAAAGGACCTGCCGTTCCGCCAGGTATCTTTCTATCGGCAGCACCACCGACTCAACCAGTGTATTCAACGGCATATTCAGCAGCATACGGTATTCCGCCATCAGTCGGTGGACAGCAACAAACAGGTGCAACAACTTATACAACGCCATATGACACCGAACAGTTATTCACAAATGCATTCATACAATTGGCCGGTGCGCAACAGGCTCAATCGCCTTCTGGTACATATGGATCGGTCACACCACCTGTTCAACATCAAAATCAACAAACACATAATAATAATGATAACAAAGGAATGAAGTATGTCTATTCGAAAAATGAAAATAAACAATCATTCGTTTGATATTTTTTCCTTTAGTTATCGAGGACCAGTTAATGATGATCTCGTTTTATTACAACAATATCAACAATTCAGTTTACAACAAATGAACAGTCAACAACAAGGCCAACAAGCAGGAACACATTCAACCGCTTCGCTAAGTTACTTTCTTGGTCATCCACCAAATGGACCAAGTTATTCGCCAGGTAGATATCATCAAGCTTGTTTTTTTTTTCTTTTACAACTATAGAACACTCGTAATTTCTTCTTTAGGCCCTCCAATTGTGTACGCACAACCAACTGCCGCCATGCCACAGCAACAACAGCAAACGTCTAAACAACAGGGACAACACTATAATCAAACAAATTCTTCATCAGGTGCAGGCGTTAACGATGATTACTATAGTCGCAATTCATCCAATAACAAAGATGCACGCTATATGTACACAATGCCAACGCAGGCACAGCCGGTTCCATCCCATTCAGTTGGTCAACAATCAGGCATGAATAAACAACAGCAACAACAACAACAACAACAACGTAATGCGGGCAATGTCTACAACAATCAACAGCGTTCATTTCAATAAACGTGAACGGTCGATGGAATGGCACGTACGCAGGATATAAATTCGTTTCATTTTCTTTGCCTTCTCCTCCTCCTCTTTCGTCTTTTTATGACTGTTGCTGTGTTAACTTACCTATGCGTGCCAGTGTATTTCCTTTGACTGGTATCTGTGATTCGATCTTCGTTCTGTTCTTTCTCACACTGGGCACAGCCCTTCTCTGTCCGTTTTCTTCTATCTTAAACTTTTATGGTCTTGCTGTTGTTGAGTGCTTTTTTATATTCAGTTTGCACTATTCATTGTCTCACACAAAACAGAAATCACATATACAACCCATATACGTATATATATATATAAACAAACAAGCGCATCGTTGTCGTTGTTCATCACTTCGTTCTTCTCTTTTCAATGTAAATCCAGGCTAACCTTCTTTCTCTTCTTCTTCTCTCTTTCGTCGTTTATTTCTGTTGGATTGTCTAGGACTACTCTTTTCCACGTGAACATGAAACAAACTAACAAAAATGTACAACATATAAAAAAACAAACAAAAACAACCTTTTCGAATGGTTCTTTTTATGATTGTTCATTTCTTGTTTTGGTTTTTTAGAAGATTTCCTTGGATTTTGCTAAGACCCAGCCGACGAAGAGGGAGTGGGCCTTTCTCTACGCACGAAAAGAGGCAATTCTTAACAAATCGTTTTTCAATTCGTTTATTATCATCTCTCGATGTACAGTCGAGATTCAAGACATAATCATGGTAGTAATTACAATAACTATGGGTATGTAATTGAAAAGAATTGTATCATAAAGATTTTCTATGAGGTTGATTATGCGAACAGAAATGAAAGAAAATAGGGTTTTGCTTTATCATCGACTTTTTAAATGTTCATTTGCATAAAATGAAATTGTTTGTTCAGATATCGCAATGAAGTTAATACGAATCGAAACAGTCAAAGACGAAATCATGTAATACCTAATGAACCACCGTATACAGCTTATATCGGCAATGCACCTGAAACAATGGTTCAAGGTGACTTTGAACATCAGTTGTTCATCGGTTTGAAAGTCAAGCAAGTTCGATTGGTTCGCGACCGACAAACAGATCGGTTTCGAGGTAGGATTCCATGACATGGTCATCTAGCTATTAACGCTTATATTTTAATCGAATACTAACTATTTTTTTTGTTTTGTCTTTAACAATGAAAAGGCTTTGCGTATGTTGATTTTGAGGATGCGGATTCCTTACGTAGTGCCATTGCATTGGATGGAACGGTACATAATAATTAACGAATAGAATGAAAAATAGAAGAGAAAGCATTGTTCTTCGAAATATTTTAGTGCGTCAATGATCAACCGATTCGAATTGATGTGGCCAATCGACCGCTGAATATGGCAAAATCTCAAGGTTTTCGACATAAACGTAAGCGTAACTTTTCTTCCTTACGAAAATGAATCTTATTCCATCTTTTAGCTGACATGGAATCTCATAATGCTTCGCGTCGTCCACAGTACGGAAATAACAATTACAATCGATCGACCCATGGACCTCACCAAGGTGAAAATCCGCAAGATCTGACCAACGTTTATGATCGTGATTATCCAGACAGTAGACATACAAAGGGTAAGATGAGATACTGCTATCTTTTCATTTATCTAAACGGAATAGCGTGTGGAAGTTTTGGAAAGCGCAGCGTTGAGAAATTTACTATTAAGCATTCTACAGTCGCTTTGATTAATAATTTATCGTTTGTTTTACAACTTTTACTTTTTCCTGTAGGTTACTATGAGCAAGTAAATACAAAACACTCGTCGACAAACTTATATGATGATAATGAACGAGAAGTTCAATCTCCGAAGGACGAAGCATCGCGTAAATTATCGGACGATGTTTTCATCGCACCTGATACACCGATATCCAATAATGAAGACGAAAATAATGAAGAAGTGAATAGTACTGAGGAGAGACCAGATACAATTCGACAGAAGACTCGAAACTGGGCAGATTGTCCTATCGATGACTCTGTTATTGAATCATCTCCACCGCCATCATCATCAAGTATGAAGAGTCCTTCGTCGAACGATGATTTTCAAGTAAGAATATCATCTACCCTACGACACTTTACAATCGGAGACAATCGATTTTAGATTGTTCGTAATCGCACACCAAAATCTCGTACGAATCAGCAATCATCGGCACGTGGGCGTCATACCGGAAATCACTATCGTGGAATGACATCTTCTCAAACATTTAGTCACAACCATGGTTACCATAATCTAATGTCGCCATCAATTCTGAATCAATCTCAACAAAGCTATCAGTATCCATACCATAATAATCAACAGCGAATGAATAATAATCAACGAAATGAAAAGAATTACATGTCGAATAGTTATAGTACAGACGATTTTTCTGCAAACGCATCGGTAGCAGCGGGTAAGCTAAGAAGTGATTCGACTGATAGCATTTCATACTTTTCCTATGTAGAAAATCGACCACGTCTACAATTATTACCGCGTTCACTGAAGCTTTCTTCTACAAAAGACGATAATGCAGCAGTAGATTCTTCATCTCGAAATGCGAACATATTCGGTTCTGGTAATTCGAAACGATCTTCCTTTTTCTATGAACCCAGATTTATTCTAACATAGGTAAACCACGTGACGAACATGATCCGAAAATAGTCGAGTTGAACAAGCACATAGACGAAGTCATTGATAAAGTACAACAATTGTCTCGTACCACATCGACCACATCTAACGACGAATCAAAGAACGATGTGATTAAGTAAGTACGCGACAGAACCAGAAGAATCTTATGCTCGTTAAGGGGTGTATTTCACTAGAGAAATCAGCAGAAAGAGTCTGGAAGGGACATGAAGTTCTTGAGAACAAAAATCAAGTGTTTTTATCTTTATGATTCCACAACCTTTGTGAGGTTTTGAAAGAAAAGAGAAAATGCTTATGAAAGTTTCGATCTTTTCGAATCAAATAGTTCATCATTGTATTCTAGACCTGTGCGAATTTTATCGTCGAAATCTACGTCTTCAAGCACTCATTAATATACAATTCTTCTTATCTATTTTTATCCATTTTATCGATATGATTTCCAATGTACGTCATATTTCTCTTCTATTCGTTCTCATTTTATTCCTTATCTCTCTCTCTCTCTCTCTTCCGTCGATTTTACTAAAACAACAAGAAAAACCAACAAGTTGGTCTCTCTCTCTCTCACTCTCGTAAATATAATCTTATTCAGTTGATCTTCCTTTATTCTTCTATGTTGTCATTGTTGTTGTCATGTATGTTATTTCTGTGTACATACCGTCTTGTACAGTTTTTCTTTATCAAAAAGAAATTATGAATAAAACTACGAACATTTTCTTTCTTCTATGAGTAAGAAAATCTAGAGATAGTCTAATCTATTCCTTGTTTTACTTAGAATTAATTCTTCTCAATGGCATCGACAGCTGTAACGTCGACGAACAAAGTCAAACAAGCAACAAATAATGTCACGACAAATGGCGCACCCATAACAGAAGAAGAATTAAAGCAAAAAGAAACACCGATCACGGTTGACGATATCTTTCGATTGCAAAAGTCGACCAATGGTATGAATACAAAAAAAGATCAAACACATCCATTCACAGAAGCTCTTATTTGTAGGCTATTTGACTGAAACAGATGACAATGTATATAAAATCGACTTCGTTCATTTCCGTATTCGTGATATGAAAACAAACAAGGTTCTTTTCGAAGTTCAGCGAGAATGTGGTGAGACATTTCATCTATTACTTCGAATCTTCTCATATTGTGTGCAATAGATGAAGACGAAGCGATGGACAATGATGATCCGTCAGCTGGTCGTTTTGTTCAATACCATTTCCCACCATCATTTCTCAAATTGAAACAAGTCGGCGCCTTGTAAGTACTCACAAATAATCACAAGTCACTCTTTGCTACCTGCCTGTTTCTAATTACTTTCGATGGAATCAAAAGCGTATGCTATTGATAAACTAGGTTTACTTTGTTGAAAGCAAATAATTACTCAATGCGACCTGTGCTTTCCTTTTTTTGTACAATATTTTACATTTGCCGCGCAAACACGATCTTATCAACTATGACAAATCCGTTTCCTTTGTAGGGTTGGTTTCAAAGTTGGTAATCGTGAAGTAAAGTCGTTTCGAATGATTGAACGACACTTTTTTCGTGATCAACTTATCAAATCTTTCGATTTCGACTTTGGCTTTTGCCCACCAAATACCACCAATTCCATTGAACACATTTATGATATGCCTGATATCGACTCGAAACAAAGTAGAGTAGACACCCTCCCTAGAGAATTCATTTGATATGTTCTCTTCGTATTTCAGTGAAAGAAATGATCAATCATCCGAATGAAACCAAATCTGATAGTTTTTATTTTGTTGATAATCAACTAATCATGCATAAGAAAGCAACTTACGCATTCGACCTTGATCATTCTCAATAGTTTATTTTATTATATATTATTCTTGTTCGTCTTCACGTTTTCTCTTTTGAAATCTGAATGTTTGCTTAACGTCTTGAATTGAATGCGTTTTCTATTCGTGTATGAATCTTACGTCTCTTGCGTCTTTATTTTGTTTTCTATATTCACGATCTCGAATTCTTCTTTTAAATCCATATTTCTTCTATTTTTGATCATTCGAATCATGACCTAATGGACCAGTACGATTGTTTGAATAAAGCTCAACTGAGCTTTGAATATCTACATACCAATTCAACAACTCACACGTTTCTTTTTGGAGCATTAGCTGAGCTCATTGATAATTCACGTGATGCTGGCGCCAAAAATCTCGATATCTACACACACAAGGATCCATCTCTACGCGGTGGATTTTATCTAGGCTTTTTGGATGATGGATGCGGAATGCATTATGGTGAGTGTCATTTTCACTCTCGATACCAAAAGCCAATCGTTGATTTTAGACGATGTTTTTAACATCATTGTGTTCGGTAAATCAGCGAAACGTCATGCGCTCGATTCGAATCAAATCGGCCAGTATGGTAATGGTTTAAAGTCCGGTGCTATGCGAATTGCTAATGATTTTATCCTGTTCACAAAGAAAGATAACATTGGTACATGTTTGTTTCTTTCACGTTCGTTCCATCAAGAGGAACATATCTCTCAAGTTATATGTCCAATACCTTGCTTTGATCTACGAACGAAACAACCTATTGAGAATACTGAGCAACATCAATTGAACGGCACCCGAACGTATACATTCGATAAAGCTAAGCATGAACTCGAAATGCATTTAATTATGAAATATTCGCCATTTAAAACGATGGACGATCTATTCAAACAGTTTAGTCTGATAACAACAGCAAGTGGTACTCTAATTGTTCTGTATAATATGAAATTATCTGATACTGGTGAACCTGAACTTGATATTAAAACTGATCCCAATGACATTCTAATTGATTCACGAAATCGACAGAACATATTTGATGACGATGATGACAAGTATGGAATTTCACTCTTTAGAAACGATTCTCTACGTTCTCTGTAATTGTATTTCAGCACTCCATCAGAGTATCGTTCTTTGCGGGCGTATACTTCCATACTTTATTATGAGCCACGTATGCGCATAACCATTCAACGACGACGTGTGATAACAAAACGATTGACGTATACACTATATAAACCTCGACAATATCAGTTTAAATCTACACGTTTCAAGACACGTTCGGAACAAGAACTGAAGAAGTGTGAAAGAGAGCTCGAGTCATTGGAAGAACGTAAACGGGAAGCGGATTCGCAAGTTCATCACTTTCAGCAAACGATCGGAGCGACAACATCTGTCGAAGAACGAGCACGTTTACGAAAATTACTGATCACCGCAGCGGAATTGAAAGATATGACCACGCGATTACGAAATGGATTGACAAGGAAAAAGTCAGAAATGAAAACAACGAAAACTCTGACGTTTATTTTTGGTTTGAATATTCACAATCGAGGTGCTGATGGAGTGTTTGTTTATAACTGTGGACGACTGATTAAAATGTATGAAAAAATTGGTCAACCAAATAAGAAGACGGTGTAAGTTGTGGTGCATGATATTCATTCGATTTGAGTATTTTTCTTCCTGCTCGAGTAATTGTGCGATGAATTACACGGATGAATCTGTTTATATGTTATAGGTACTGTCGTGGCGTTGTCGGAATTGTTGATATACCATCGATTGTACTCGAGCCAACGCACAATAAGCAATCTTTCGCTGACGAAAAAGAATATCATTTCCTCTTGAAAAACATGGGTGATTATATGAAACAGTATTGGTCGGATGCTGGAATTGAAAATTATGTCAAGGAATTTTGGGAAACCTATGGTAATATAATGATTTCTCCTCAGTTATCAATGATCTGATTCACTATTCTCTCTGAAAGGTTATCGAGATGATCAACTTGATCGACCACCGTCCAATGAGCCTGAAGCCGTTAAGCGACGTCAAGCGGCCATCCCAATGCTTATTCAATGTGATAAATGTCTAAAATGGCGTCGATTGCCCTACGCAGGAAATGCCACCGCTTTAACGCAAGCTCAATTGGAAGTATGGCGCTGTTCAGATAATACAGATGTTATGAACCAAAAGTATGCTCGGATCATCTTTTCAGTGCAAAAGAATTAAAACATACTTTTTCGTTTCCCATCAAACGCATGTTTTAGCTGCTCAGCAAGTGAAAAACTCGATACTATACCGGAAGGCGAATTGAAGCAGAAACCGCCGGTGACAAACGTGCAGAATCGAACATCATCGAAAGCAGTTTCACCACCACCGCCACCACGAGCTTCGTCATCTTCGTCGCTGACTACTCGATCGGCCGTAGCAAACAAGCGCATTTCTAATGGCGAAATCTCGTCAACTACTGCTACAACTGTAAGTAACAATTTTGTACCTATTGATCTCCTATTATGTTATTGTAGACTTCGAAACCGGTAACAATTACTCCTCAGAAACGTTCGATACCACCGTCGCGTTCACTGTCGGCAAAAGCCAAATCACCTAAGAAACGTAAACGACCTGCATCTCAACAATCGAAAAAATCGAGAGTAAAATCCAAAACATCTAAAGCTGTCAGCGATGACGACGAGGAAGAAGATGAAGAAGAAGACGATGAAGAAGAGGAGGAAGAGGAGGAGGAGAAGAAAGAAAACGAAGAAGAAGAAGAAATTCCATCATCTGTAAGCAAACGTACGCGTGAACAAGCAGCTTCAAAAACCGTAACAAATGCTAAAAAACCAACACCACCATCGCCAGCGCCGACATCTACTCGAGTATGTCCAAAACCTGCCTAACGAACAGAAATTCTTGACACATACGTCAAAACAGTAGAAAACAAAGATAAATCTGATGATCATGTTTATAGGCATCACGCTCATCGGAACCAGCCAGACAGCCAACAGCTTCGTCAGATTCTGTTTCATCGACAAACAACGTTCGTACATTGAGCACTGATCATGATAGTAACGAAAGACATGAGATTACGGATGCAAATGCCAACAGTCGTCTTTCACCGCCGACAATTGGTGCGCGCGTCATGGCTATGTATCAAGGTGCTCGTCGTCCTGGAACAGTTTTAACAGTCAACGATAAACGCGGTCTTTTCAAAATGCGGTTTGATGAATTTCCCACAGCAGAATTTGATTATTCGTTTAATTATAAATCATCAGCTTGGTCGTACATCCCTACGGCTTCTTCATCATCAATAACTGAGATAACGACAAATACTACAACTGAAGATGAACCTCTTTTTACTATTGCAAGAAAATTCAAAGCTTTGATTAAAGTAAACAACGTTCATCAGATTAGAAAACGTTTAAATCAACGCGTACCTTCTCTTTTCTAGTTTATGCTACCACCAGATTGGGAATTAACACGCGAGCAAATCACAACTATGTCTTATGATGAACTTAGTCAATTTGATGTCGAAGTCTTTATGCAATCTTATCGAGAGAAAATGACGCGAGTAATCAACTAGAATTCCACGTTGTTTTCCCTTCATCGTTGACTTCTGTTTTCACTAGATCGTGGAACAACGCAAAGCCGATGAAGCACGATGGCGAACGTCAGCTCAGCGCATTCAAGCTGAAGTCACTGGGTTACTCAATTTAAGTGGAATGGTTCGTTGTCACTATATCTTTTCCATCCATGTTGACCATTCTATTTTAGCCTATTCCCGTTGATTGTTCAATGGATGATTTTGAAAATCGTATTCAGAGTTACGTCCGACAGGCTGAAAAACAATCGAATACATCGTCTTGATCTCATCTAAGCTTCTATTTTTATATAATTTTGTATATAAAGTGTGATTTAACCTGGAAATATCCTGATAAGAAAGAAAAGTACCGCTGTTCTTGTTGTTATTCTTCTTTCTGTTCGATTGGTGATTAGTTCTTTTGTTTTCGATATGGTCTTTCCTTTCATATGTTGTGTTTTTTGCGATATTTATGTAATTGTCAAGATCAATAATGCGATCAAACTTCTAATACGTTGAATTCAATCGACATAAGCAATGCCGAGATCGTCTTAAAGTATATGCGTGTGTATTAAATGTATTTCGTTGTTATTCTTATCTTTTCTTCTTTGTTTTCTCTTTTCTCTTATGATAAGAACAGACTGAACACATTTCGAAGCGAAATATAGAATTATATAGTATGCTGAGCGAAGGACAAACGCATTTCCTTAGCTGTGCAAAAAATCATAAGAACAGACAGGTTCTTCGTAGAACTGAATGAAATCTAATCGCAAAGAAAGTAAGTTCTGCTGTGTGCTGACCTGTGCCATCTAACTGACGATTGGTTGCAAAGAAAAGCTCGATATTTTTTATGAGTTTATATGTTTACTGTGATTTCGTTTATTGATGATTGTTAAATAATACATTATGTATAAAATCATTCGAATGTTTATGGTTTTCGCTCTGCTGTAAAACGAAATAACAAACTACGCCAAGTTTTCTTTTTATTACACTTCAATAGATTCTTCTTCATGAAAAAGATCTTTTAAAATAATTCCCGTATCATTTGGATCATAGATAAAGTCGAATCTCATCGGTGTACCTGTTAACATTGCTAATGTACCATCTAATAAACAAGTTACACTATAAATTGGTTCATTCATGTGTTTAACTTTAATATCACCTGTATCTCCATTAACATGCCATAATTGTTGTTGCTTATGATCACATAGAATGTACGAATTTGAAGTGAAAAACAAATTCGTTAGACAACAACCGTAACGAAATTGTTCGTATGTTGTACGCAATTCGAATTTCGCGAGAAGAGTAAACTCTTTCGCGGTACGAATTTCCAAATGTGTACATTGATTAGTGATATGTTCAATTAGTAAGCCTAGACGTTGAGTTTCGATTGTCGAATGTAATGCACGTAGACGACCATCGATTAGGAATTGAGATTTGATTAGAAAGTTATTTCCTGTGATTTGATAATATATAAACGACGTTGACGGTGTTGCTGTTTTATTAACCGTATCTGTCCAGTAGGCATACAGGAGGCGATCAGTTGCACCACCGCAGGTGAGAAAGTTTGGCCAACATAGATGACCTTGAGTATCTGACCAAGTTGTCGTTTGTTCGATCGGTATTCGAATATGAATTCGTTGAGTGTCGGGAACTTTATCATCCACGTAACAGCCATAAATATGTGTACGACAAGCAACAAATAACATATTCATTTCGTCGAACCAATAAACAGCTGACGGTCGCGTTCCAAGCCATTTGATTGTTGTGGGAAGAGAGACTAAGGATTGCGAATCATAACAAACGAATGCTTCGCGATTGAGACAGTATATCAATAATGAACCTTGACGATATGGAGTTAGAAGCGGAATAAAATAGTTACCGAAACCAAGTGGATAACTCCATTTTTCTAAATTAATCAATGGAGTTTTGGATGCATTGTGTAACGAGACGTGGTATTGACCACAATCAGCTTTCGAAACGTTATCATATTCATCGGTCACATCCGTAGATGTAGATGTTTCTGAAACGCGAAAACTCGTTAGATCGTTCGATTTGATAAGCATTATCAATAGAGTTCTACCTACCAAGTGATAAACTTCGCGCTATTGGTGTAATATCTCTAGACGAATCATCGTTATCGTAACGATCTGTATGAGCGAATTTTTTCGAAGGTTTCTGATCACATTGAATAAAGAAATGCTGATCTAATCGATCTAGATGATTTAGTTTCATATGATACTTCGGCAACACTTTCTCGTCTTTCATTGTTTGATTGAGTGTCTGTGTAGTTAACATTTCTAAGTAACGATATTTGTCAACATCAAACGCGTAATCGTCATTATCATTGTCATTAGACAGGTTTGGAGTGAAGTTTTGAATCAGTTCTTGTCGAACTTGCTTCAAACGTGCTTTCAGCTCCTGCAGATGTTGGTCGTAATTGGCATAAGTCACTTTGATATCGTGTTCATAGTGACGATAGCATTTTTCGATGTGTTTACGAAATTGATTAAATATTTGATCAAGGCCATTCAGAGCACGTTCTTTTTCGATTTCCGCATCTTGACCGAGGAAACTTAAATTTACAAGTGATTCATCTATACTCGATGTTAAACGATTGACCATCGGATGACGCGTCGGCGGAATTGGAGGTTTATCATTATCATGATCGGCTCCAATGGTAATCTAAAGTTCATAATGAAGATCAGAAGAAGAAAAAAACAGTTTCGAACGTTTTTTTTTCTCGAGATATCTGTTTACCTGTGTTATATGCCGTCCAGGTGATGATGTTATGGATTGAATGGAAATATTTGAATCATTTTTACTATCTTTGATTAGAGTAGGATTGACATAAGATTTAAATCGGGACATAATCAAGTTGATGAGACGTATGATCTACGGATCGCTGCAACCGTTGGCTCTGAGCTCAGTAGGTCTTTGTATGTACGTTTGCTGGATATGAGAAATGCGAAGGAGAATAATAAAAAAAGAACTGACAAAAAAAACAAGTTTCTCTTCCTTTTTTCTTCTTCTTCTTCTTCTTCTTTCTTTTTTTTGGCTATTGAAAAGAGAAAAGATCGAACAGGTGCGTTTTGCCTATTAAAAAAACGTAAAAAAAGAGATGACCATAGGTATTGTGAGAATTTTCCTTCTTTGCTCTTTCGCATTAATTCGATATCTTCGGGACTAGAAGACAAATCAATTGTTGACAATTATCAGACAATAAATCATCGATAATCGCCGAAAGAGTTTTATCCTCTGACAAATTAATGTTCTCATAGATTGTTAGCTCTTCATGCTCTTCTCCTGCCCACCACTAACATCATCATCATTATCATCATTCCATATCCTATTAACGTTTACAGCTGCTAAACGGGAAACTAACGAAACAAACAAGTGTACGCCTGTTAGACAAGCCAAGCAAGCAAACAGTCCTTTCCCGAAGGTCGACAAAAAAAGCAAGATTGATAATATTGTAGGGAAAAACGGTATATACAATTACACGGTACACTTCATTTCTCTGCTAAGATACAAGTTATCATTGATCGTCTATGAGCAGGACGAAAACGAGCATGCGAAAACCATTACATCGTGATATCCATCAAATTGATTGCGCATATTTTTTCAATATTTATGATCATTTGCTCTAATTAGTGCATTGAAACAATAATAACAGTTGAGAAATGTCAAATTGAAAATCAAATCAAACTATTCTATGCTTGACATACAACTTCTACGGTTATAAGAATAGATCTTTCTATTTTCTTTCGCTTTTTTCATTAAGATAAGATTTAGAACCTTCTCAATTTCAAGGTTTGATCGTCTAGGTTAGAAGTCGTCGTGTTGAAATAAAACACCATCTTGATGAATAATATCGCTGAAGATGTTCTTCGAAATTAACACATCGCTTCCGTCTTCTTATCTTCGATCGTTGTTTATCACACGGACGTTTCTTTGGTGGCATTACATTCGATGGCAGGACTCTATTAGAGATGGATGTATTTGACTTGGATGATAGATGAATATCTCTTTGAGCATGTAATGACAGTTGTTTATGATGTTCTCTTAACTGTCTACTATTCAACCATGGATTAATCCAATGACGTTGTAGAGGCGGATTAGGAGATTTTCGAGCAACTGTTGGTACTCGAGAGAATTTTACTTGTTTTGATCTTGATGAGATCGAAATAGATAAATTGTTCTCTATTGACGACTTGTGGATTAAACAGATGTTTATGTAAGAGATTATTTAGATAATAACCTACAGATTTATAGATAATTTGATTTTTTTGATCGTTGCTGAATTGCCAAGATGGTAGCAGATTCTTTTCAATTAGAGAACGTATTTGAAATCCATATTTGATTGGAAGATGATTAGCGTAGAACAATGTGTTCTGAAAGAGCGAAAAATATATGTTATTTATGAGGTTAATAACTTGCTTCTGCAAAAACATAACGATGATCATGATCATCATCATCATATGTATGGGATTGTTGTGGTTCTGAATATGCCTGTTGATTGGTCTCATATGCTTTGTTTGTGAGAGCGCTTTTTAAGGAAGGATTGTCTGTCTAGGAAACTGTATAGTCAACTTCAAAACTCGGCGAATTTCAAAGTATTTACTAATTGTTTGGGCTTTTTTCGTGATCGTTTATTCTCTAACGCAGCAAAGTTCCGACAAGGTACTGATTTCGTTGATGGAATATTTTGTAATTTTGTATCGTAGTCAACGTTTGTTTGTATAGAATCATTTTCAATTGATTTATCGAGATTTGAACGTCGTTGAATGACATGCAATAGCGATACTAGAGGATCGTTTTCGTCCAGTGGCATACAGACGTCAATAAGTATTGTTTTTCTCCTCAATTTACAATTACTATTTGAAAAAGAAATTTCGCAATCGATCTATTCAAATTAGAAACCATGGTTATACCTTATTTGAAATTTAATGAAAATAAATATACATTTTTGATCGATGGCATTTATTCAACGAAAATATAGGTTTCCCAGGGTTAACTATCATTCAGCATATTTTACTCTGTATTCATTATCTTTATTTACATCATTTGATGGCTTTTTAACGTCAATAAGTAAACTGCTTTCAATCAGCAGGTGAAATACTTAAGTTGATTTTGTTTTATTTTTCTAAGTGTAATACTATATCCTTTACTTAAAGACGGGCTATGCATCGACTAGATATCACAGGGGGAAAAAAACAAGTTGGTGCTCGTCCGATGGTTGGCATTGCTTCAAATCTAACTTAATACGGGTTAACTTTATGAAGAAGGATACTCAGGATCTAAGAACCCAATTGTACTGTTAAGTATCTAGATGAAATTATGCCACTTCTACTTAGGTCAAAATAAAAAAACGGAGTGATTATGTGATTACCTATTCATTTATTTCAGTGTTAATATACATATTTCTGATGAAACAAAGAAAACACATTTTCACACATCACATCTGCTCTTTTCTGTTTTTCTCTCGTACTACAATAAACACATCTACGACGAGTAGGAACAACTTCCGGCATGTGAACCAACAATTGTGGTTTTTCAGAATGTTCGATGTCACTAATACTCTTCTCCATGTGTATCCTCTTCTGATTACTGATTATTAAGAGTCTACCTGGCTTTTTTTTCTACTACAATAATTACCGATCAGTGCATTACTAATAGAGGATATATATTCTACTGCACTAATGTTACCACCAGAAAGATCTTTATAACAAATATATGAATTTATGAACACAACGTTGTTTGTCATAAATGTTGGTTTTATCAGTAATTGTTTGAATCAAATCTTGGGAGACGAAGCTAAGAAATATTTCGATTGGTCGAATTATACCATTTCCTAGTGCGTGTCCGTCGAAATAATTGAGAGAAGTTGAAAAACTAGAGGTGTTGGTTCTCTATCTTCATTCATCCAGTGAAGTACAGTTTTGATTATTGAATCATCATATTCAGAATCACTACTTTCATTGTCGTCTGATGAGCTTACATCATAATCTGAATTCATTATGGTTTAGAAAATAGTTACGTTATTGAGATCACCAAAACTCAATACAGGGATTTTGCCGAATTTAGATTTTTGAAGAATACTTTCCAAAATCGAATACAAACGTCGTCATACATTCTTAATGTTATTTATTCAAACGAATACGTGCATTCTTGCACAAATATGTCTCTACTAGGGGTATTTGTCCAAAATAATTCTGCTAAACCTTTAAATATGCAAAACTACTTGAAAATCAGAACTTTCCGCTAGATGGTACATATATGTACCACTGAAACTCAAAGGGTTAAAGGAAAGGATGGATTTTTTTGGAAAACCAACGTCATTTTTCAAGAGTCGTCAGTTGATACAATGAATATCATAAAATTCACTTTTCTGATCGATTTTACTTCAGTGCCAGTTCAGACGAATGATTTATTGGTATGCACTCGATTGGACATATAATCACACCAAGTAGTAATCAGTAGCATTTAGTTTATTATTAACACATATATCGATAGTGTACAAGCGTTGTAGTTGAACAAAGGCTTTCTCTCGGGCTAATATATAAACAAGAAGCATTAATAATAAGAATATAGAAGAACATTTAGCTGACGATTGTCTACACATAGATTTATTTATCTGTTCCATAACCGTTTTGCTTCTGATAAGGAAGAAATGGCAAACGATAGAAGACAGTGTTAGCTACTTTTTCGAATAATGATCAAATATGAGTAGTATGTTACGTTCTCATCTTTCTTACATACTAGTGTGAAACTCAAGTAGAAGAATCGACAAGATTTTTGCAACTCCGTAGTTGAGTAATAAACTGTTTGTTACATAAAGTCTTACAGTGTAATAAAGCAAATAAATGAAACAATCAACATAGAAATGACTAAAAACCCAACGCACCATCGTTCGACGTCTGTCTAATCTGTGACTAGTTTTGAATATTTGTATCATTATCAATGTACTTATCTACTCTCAGATGATACAAACATGAAATTTATTTTATATTGTGCAAGATTATGGAAGAATCCGTATTTCACAATAGTACATTGTCACGTTCTGCAGTGAATGACGTGTTTATTATAGAAATAAACAAAAATGAGTAACAACATACCAAAAAAGACTCCAACTATATACATAGAATAAGGTGAAAATTCCTTGAGAATACGTCATAAGGAATATCAGTACATGGAAAATTCTTTTAAGGATGTTTCCAAGGAAGAAAGAAGAGAAGATATAGATGGCTTCGATAGAAGGGAAATATCCTATTGTCGTCGCTATATCACATCTATATGTATATATGTGTGTGTAACAGGTTGTGATTTGTATTTTGTTTCATATATAAATAAGTTTTATTAATTCTATTAACATTGATATATCTACTCAGCTTTTGCCAACAAAACATTAATTCATTTAACGTAAATTACTTATTAATTTTTGAATTCGCCATTGTATAAAGAAGCAACGCTTGTTGCAATGTCATTATTGGATTTCATTCCTGGTGTATCTCAAGTTAAAAGTTTAGTTCATCTTGCCGCTGGTGATGAAGAGGGTGCTAAGAGAACTCAAGACAGATTTTTTACCAAAACCCCTATTGTTGCTCATTGCACGGCCGGTGTTGCAAAAGTATGCGGTGACCATGCCACGGCTAAACAATGCTGGGAAGGAGGAAATAGTAGCTTGAACTCCTTGCCTGTGGTTGGACACACCAAAGGTTTACTACATTATGCCGTCGGCGATGTGAAAAATGGGAACAAAGCCATGGAAATGGCTACAAGTACTTCGCTTAATATGATGGATTCGGTTCCAGTCGTTGGTCATGCTAAGGCCGTGGTTCATTACGCTTTGGATGATAAAGAAGGCGGTGATCGTGCCATGGTATCAGCGACCAGGACAACGGCAGTTACGGCAGCCGGTGCTCTTGGATTTGTAATCGCTGGTCCTCCTGGAGCAGCGCTGTTAGGTATCGATGCGGGTGTGGGATATGATTGTGCAACCATGGCTGTAACCGATGGAAAACAAGTGAACGGAATCTGTCAGATTATTGAGAAGCCCACTGACGTAGACTCATACTTCAACGCAGGTATGAGTGTGGTCGGCGATGGTTTGACCGGCTATGCAGGCGGTAAGGTGGCTGAAAGATACATGAAGGCTCCAGAAATTTCAACAGCAGAAAATTTAAGAGCTATTCGACAGAAAAAAGGCTTTGCAGAGAATAGCAATGTTGCTACAGGAAAAAATGGCAAGGAGATTTTCTGTGAAGCAAAGGATATGCAAACAGGTAAAACTTATTCTGGTGTTAATGAAAGTGTACGAGAAATATACGGTGATCCTGCTCCACGCCCTAACGAATTTCTTCGACAGCATCCAAATATTGAGACTCCGCTGAAACGTCATCCAGCTAGTTGTGCCGAAGCACAAGCACTTCATAAAGTAGTGGAAAGTCAATCTGGTCCCAATTTATCCACTGCACAGGTTCGACTTACTACAGTGGAAGTTAGACCCAATGGTGATATTTACTCATTACCACGTTGTGAAAACTGCACTGCTTACAAGGATGTTGTCGGATCATGCACGACTGACGTTAAGGTAAGATATGCGCATTCATATACATAGTCTTTTTGCTTATAAAATTCGTTCTTATAATATTCATCTTATCCTTATTATAGCCATTTCGAGTTCCAAGAAGCAATGAATATCTTACGAAAGGTGGAGCTGCCTATGGCACTGCAGCTACTATGGCAGCCAAGCATGCAAGGCGAAGACATATTGATTAGTCGCACAATATTCAATCATCGCATCCGATCGAAATCGATTTTTGGACTTACTTTTTTCTGTATTATATTATTGAAAATCGTTTATAAATATTGAAAAAACTTACTCTGTATATATTCAATAGACACTATTGATCGCAGACAAAGTACTGTCTTGACTTAGTTTGCTAATAAAACTTTTCACTTGATCAATATCCATACGTTTCACATGATGCAATGCATTCAGTTGCACGTGATACTGGGTTAAGCCATCTATATTCAATTCATTTTGTAAGATTTGATCTACGAATTGACGCCAATGAGAACATGATATATCTGATATGTGATGTTCAGCTGCAAGTTTTTGAACGTAGAATTCAAATTCAATTGCATGAGTGATATCGTTTAGGATTAAACGGTAGAATTGAATCGATTGATAAGCATTTCTATCTGACAAATATCGTTTACCTTGATATTTAAGTATATCGTCAGTGATTGATTTCATTCGTGGACAAGTCCATCGATGAAAACGAGCGATTTGATTGAGTCGATTTTGTATTTCTATATATGTACCACTATCAAGTTTATCTTCTTGTTCAAGTTTTAATAAATGTTTAACTATATGTTCTACATCTGGATGATTCAATTCTAAAATGAAAGGCCACGTCTGAAATCTGTTCTGTGCTTCATCTATCGACGACGATTGTTTATCAGAAAGAAAGTGTTCAGTACAATAATCAACGAATGCTTTATCCTACGAACATGGATTTTGTTCATTATTAATGGACTATACATCAATGATGGTTTTACTTGTAAACAGCCTAATTCAGCCATATGCCTGAGAAGATCTTCGAAATAGTCTTGCTTTTCAGGGTACCATGTCTGGATATTCTCAAGTATTGTATCTAACTGTTGCTCTAACAAATAATTTCTTGTATGTAAACGTGATATTCGCAGAAAGTGTTTATGTATCTGTATAATAGTCGTCAACGATTGTTTTTTATTAATTATAGTTCCTGTTTTCAAAATTTCTTTCACTTGATTATAAAGTTTGTAATTCATTGTTGGGCCGTACAACTCCTCGACTAATGATCGATCGACACTAATCTGTGTACAAAACACAATTATCTCATTGAAACGTCGTCGGACTTCATCGGGCATTCGTTTAGTATTGCTACTCGATGAAAGTAAGACTCGTTGTATATCACGTTCTAGAGAATACAATTCAGCGAAAGAACTTGAATGGGATGAAACAAGTGTTTGGAAATTTTCTATCAACTTAGGATAGATTGGTTGTTGGCGATTGTATTCTAGTCGAAGATTTGTAAGAAGAGTTTGGATATCAAAACTTGTTATTGATTCTAGTTGGCATAGATTCACTAAACGATCGAGCATGTACCAGACTTGCCCATGAGTTAGATTTTCTAATTACAAATAAAATCGATTACGTGCATTGATTAAGAGCTTAGCAAAACGCTTCGATCGGTTTCATACCTTCAACAATCATCTCATTGAGAAAATCATTCAATTCAGCGAGATCGAGATGATCATAGGTATAAACATAGCTGACAGTTTTCATTTGGTCTAATTTGGTCTTGATTAATCCTACTGTCATGCTATCATGATCTTTAGCTTTGTGCAAATCAGTCAAGATATAGTCAATTCTTGGCGTGTATAATATCCCTAGTTGAGCAAAGTGACGCAGGTGTTGAATAAAGTCACATAGATATTGATTAGGAAGATGACCTGTACTTGATTGTTCATGAAGGAAGACTAGTAATGATTGAAGACTGTTGTTATCATTCATATCAATGTATTCGCGAGGAGATCGCTCGAGAACTGTATGGACAAAAGTATTCAATTGTCCGTGAAGAGCAGCATTCATTGAAGCAGAGATTAATTTATCAAAATTCTTCTTGGTTTTCGATTCTAACGTCGCTTTTTGTGATAAGGAATTCAATTGATTCGTTAGAAATGTTTTTTTCACAGAGTTCATTCGGATATTATGATTCATTTGGTCCATTAGACGTTGGAGATAAACGCCAATAAATCGACCGGTTTGTATCTGATATACAAACTGTAGTAAATATTGTTTAAATTGTGGTAGTTTGTGCAGCATGAACAAAATTCCTGTGTGAACAAATTTTTGAAGATTATCGATTAGAATTAAGGTGGTCGTTATTCCCAAGCGGTCTTTATTCATTTGAAGGTGGTGAATAATTTCGTTGATACCTAATGTGTTCAGTGGAATTTTTTTCGGAACATATCGTTGCAGATCATAGCAAATGAAATTTGAAAAAGCATCTGGATTCGGTTCATTTTCAAACAGATCAAGTTGACAAAGTCTTACTAATATTTTCGATGGTTGGTTCAATACACCTAATTGTGCTCTACGATCAGATGTGTAATAGGAAGACTAGTTAACTATGATTTAACTTACAAGTGATTGATTCGCTGATTGAATAATCTCACAGTTTGTTTGTCTAGTTTATTGAATTTCTCAAGGTGATCAATGCGGAAAAGTGTTTTCATTAGATTCGATAAAGGTGCACTCTTAGAAATAGATGCTGCTTTTTGTAAGTTTTGGATCCATTTCGGAATATGTTGACTGTGCAGTTCATTATGCACTAGCATATGATTGAGCTTCATGAGAACAGCACAAACTTCAATTGTATCGAGCTGCTGTTCTAGTGCTAATTGGTGGACACAATTCTTTAGATCTAAGGTTAAGATAGGGTCCAGATTGAGAGAAATAAGTCGCTGTTTGAAAAGGATAAGTTCGTTTTCATCGAATTGAAATGAACTGTTGTCTAGATGAGAAATATTTGTCACTTGTTCATTGTTTGCAATCAATTGCTTTTTATCAGCGAAGATTTGAAGAGTAAATGGTAGAGAACGAATATTTTCCGATGTTCGACTGAGTCGTTCGGGATCAGTGACAAAATATTTCCGAATGTCAACTTTGAGATCAACAGGCATGTAAATAGTCGACAATGATGTATGAAGAGAGTCTGAGGAAATCATGGAAAATGGTGTTTGCTCTAGAATGTTTCTAAAGATGATATTCTCGATTGACTAGACGATGATTCTTTTCGCATACGACTATTTCTCGGTGAATTAGCCTTCGGTGGTTGATGAGTCACTTTTGGTTTTTCGTATTCTTTCATATAATCAATGATGTTCAAGAATAGTTTAGCAAATGGTTGTATTCTATCGATCAGAAAAGGCATCGATTTCGGTAGGAGATCTTTTTCTGGAAGAAGTTCGCCTGGAATTAGTTGCAAATCCATTAACGGTTGATATTTTTCTGTACCGTATTGTAGAAAAGCGAGGTAAATCCCCGGATTAATCGATGCAATTGCAATCGATGTATCAGAGAGAATTATTTCTTCATCTGTATTGACTTTACGTAAAACAATGGGCAATCTATTTCGAAATAACCCAAGATGAAAACGAAGTAATGAAAGTATTTTCAACGCATGACAGTGTCGATTGATTGTTAACATCGAATGAAATGAGAGAAAAACGCGAAAAAACGGAACTTTATCAAACGCACAACGAGAATGAAATAGCATTGCTTTGAAACTAAACTAATGCGCCATTTCGAAATGCCTTTGTATCTGTTTTCTAAAGAACATCAATTTGATCAAATCATATATGAACGTCGTTTAAATGTTCTCGTATTTACTGTCTGTTGGTCGTTGGGTTCGAAAATGATTCTACCAACAATATACGATCTTTCTCGAGAACAACATCTTGTTCATGTTAATGTTTATCGTGTTGATTTAGATGAGCACACTAATCAATCGACACAATATTTAAATATCGTTCGTAAAATTGATTGTGTTTTCTGAACGTACATCACTGTTCTCTCGATAAATAGACAACAATACCGACCGTTCAATGGTATTTTCATGGAAATAAAGTTGATGAATCGATCGGCGTAGATACTGAGCAATTGATCAATAAAACATCCCATTATGCTAAAGTAATACTTGATATTGCTTTCGTATTTGAACAATGTGAATCGATGGTCTAGATTTATAAACAAAAAACAACTTTCGAAGAATCGAATAGCACAACTTTCTATGATGATAAAATTATTTTCGAATAGGCAAACAAACTTCATGATCAATTACGAACGAGTTTGACTGACAGAACAACATAAACTGCATATCAGATTTCTATTTCGTCTAGAACGAAAATCAACATTCGATCATTTGCATTCTCTCATTCATTCAACTATGTATTCAAATCGAAAACTAGTTATTGATTTCTTGGTTTCCGTCTTCGCTACATTCATCTTATGTACAACCATTTTGTCGATTTCAACAGCGAACTGGAATATCGACGCAAATCAGCATCGTGTCGGCCTATTTCAAAGATGTGTACATAAGTCATCCTGTAGTATCAAAGAATTGCACCGAACAGTAACATTATTAGCATTGTTTACAGTTGTTCTTCTTGTCACAAGTACACTTGCGTCATTTCTATTGATGGGTTCAACAACGGATCAACAAAATCGATGTTATATACTTGTACCACTAGCTTTATTCGGTGCAGGTACTGCAATGACACTATTATTTATGAAAGTTCATGAACAAATCTATGTTAATAGTTACTCTGCATTCATTTTTCTCATTGATACTGTGCTTGCTCATGTGCTAGGCGGTGTTTCAATATTGCATGGTAGCATGTTTTATTTCTAATCGATTCGATAGCAGAGGAAATGAGAGTGTCTACATGTAAACAATAGTTTTACTTTTGTCAATGAACGACGAATAAATTAGAGTAAAAGATAGAAGAAAAGATTTATCATGATGATCATTGCCGAGGTCGTAACAGTCGTCGATGTTTTGTTCAGTAAAGTAGTATTCAAATTGTCTTTAATGTAGCTAGTGGTTCCATTTTTTATTCGGACACTGCAAGATGTGTTGGTAAAGCCAGGTATGAGTCCACATTTCTTCGGATACATTCGATAACATTGCTCGAATGAACACGTGGTTTCGTTGCAATGATCAACCGAGAAAACCAATAGATGCGAACGGCAGTCTTCCCCTGGACAACATTCACATTGGCATTGTGGTAACTTGGACGAACCGAATGCTGAATAAGTTATTATTAGTATAAAGAAAAGATGTTTTACATCGAATAGTGACATGTTGAGTGAAGAAGAGACGAAGAAAGATTCTTATTTATAGGCGTGGTTCAAATTGATTATACAGAATAGCTTTACCTAATCCTTTAATATCTGTTTTCACATATATTTTCAGCATTGTAAGTGAGTAATGCGATAGTTTATTGTTATTCGATATATACATTAAGATGTACAATTTCAAGTCAGACAAAATCGAGAGATAAATAAACTGGTAATCCACAGTGATTTTGCTCCCGACCGTAAACAATTGAACGTATATTCAAATCTTCTGTTACTTATTTTATTCGAAAAACGTACAAAGCAACTTTTGATGACTATGGCCTTCCAATCTTAACACTATATACTTCTATATACAGTATTATAGGAATATGAAAATACCGTAAATTTGTTTCGCAAGTAGAAAAAAAGGAGAAAAGGAGCGTTCCATTACATCCGAGTAACATTTTGCACATCAACTTGATATCGAGCACGGGCTATTTCTCTGTCATCTTCACCGATATGTACTTTCATTAATTTACTATAACCGTGATACACCCACGCCCCAAGTAATGCCCCAAATACTGGACCTACACATGGAATCCAGAAATAGTAATTACCGACCGAAAACACTTCTCGACCGTAGCCCACGCACAATGTAAACAAACGTGGACCGAGATCACGCGCTGGATTGATTGGAAAACCGCAATTGTAACCTTTAGAAATAGAAAAAAAGAAGATGAAATTATCCATTCTCTCCTTCTTCTTTACCGAAAGCAACACCAATAGCAACAATTATAAATCCGACTGCCAGTGGAATTTGTGCATTAGCTACAAGTTTATTTCGTTTGTTCGATAATGCACAAATAGCAACGAGTAGAAGTGCTGTTGATAGAACTTGATCAAAGAAAAGCGATACTTGACTAACATGCTGTGCAGGTAATGTGCCAAATATGCCCGCAGTTGCCTGCTCACCTTGCACCTATATTCGCATTAACATGTTATTCCTCAGTCAAAATAGAACTGAAATCTTCCATTATTACCTGTCTAACTCCACCATCAAACCGATTGATTGCGTCATAATATGTTCCAAATACTAACCCTGCCGCAATAAATGCACCGAGGAATTCTGAGATAGACAATAATCCTTTGAATCACTCCGTTTATCATGACAAGACAAAACATACGTGATATGATATAGGTGAAACATTGTAACGGTGTAATCGAGCGTAAACTTAACATTGCAATAGATACAGCTGGATTGATATGGGCACCTATGTATTTCAGTGATCGTTTTCTTGATTGAAGTAACGGAAAATATGTAAAGGACATACCTGATACGGGACCAGCAACATACACAGCGATCAAAGCTCCGAAACCGAAAGCAAAATTGACTGACAGAAAACTTGCGAGAACACCACGTGAGAGTGTGTACTGAGCAATGCCTGAACATCCGAACAGGACAAGAATAGCAGTACCAAATAATTCTGCAATACATTCAGCACACAGCCGAACCCATGGACTTTGAGAAGGAACAGCATCCAAACGAATTCCTTCAAAGATGGGTCGTTCAACTAGAATATTGGAAAGACGCAACAATAAGTGATGTGCCCTCAGTTAGATTCATATTTTCGAATTGAATAGTAAACTAGCTGAACTTCCGATATTTATTCATCGAGGCAAGTAGTTTAGACGTCTCGATTTATCTCTTACAGACGCATTAGATCTCCTTGTTTTTATGAATGTACTTAGAATGCACAAGACGAACGTGTTATTTAAGGGCAAACACCATCAGAAAAATCTAAATAAAGCATGACACGGCCTCATCAGTAGAATAAATGTTGTTTACTAACTCGATTACTGTTTTTCATACAAAGCTATTTATTTGTCATAAATGCTCGTGTTTTCGAGAAAAAATATACGATAAATATCATTTCCCATTAAACGTCCTTGATTAATTCGTGAGTCAGTTATACTCTTTTGACATAAAGACAGGCCTACGTTCATATGTCATCCTTCCGACAAAACATAAAAATATTTTCGTGTAATGTTTTTTACCTGATTCTACGGTAGCATTGGGCTGCGGAAGTTCGATACTGGATTCTCCACTTCTATTTGAATATACAGATGATTTACGTCGTTCACCCAGACTGATTGACTCATGACGAGATATTTTTGACTGTCCGTTGAATTCGATGTCTGAACTTTCATCGACTGGTTCATTCGGCGTTAGAAACCCAGGGCCATCAGCAATCTCACTGATGCTGCGTCTGTCCGGTATAGCGTTTAGCATTCGATTGCTTGAATATCTATATATATTCAGTAAATATCCAAACAAAGGAGAACAATGGATAATTTTATCAAGATATAATGTATAAATACAAGACGAAAAACATAACGTGTGAATATATACAAAGAAAACAAGATGATGATGACGACGATGTGCTTGCTCGAGCATGAGACAAAAACTTAAAAAAATATCAATACAATACCTATTCACTTTCACATTGCACTGCTCAAATGGAGACGCACTCTTTGTCTATGATCAGTATAAATAAGTAAATAGGCAAAAATATCGGTATTACAGTTAAAATGAGCCAACGAAAAGCGAAAGAATGATATAATCCATGTATTTCTTTGTTAGAAAAGAATATGAATGTCAAACTTGTGTTTTTCTTTCAAAGACAGGGGGTGTTCAAAGGTTCATATTTAAGTCAGCAAATGAGCAGAGATAAGAAATAATCTTTCAGCTGACCTCCATATATTTTTGTTATATCGTTTTTCTTTCAAGACACAATCAGCATGCTTGTTTAAACATCGTAATAGAACATTGTACTGTAGCAAAGAAAAACAAAGAATAATGGTCAAGGACGATGTTATTGAAAAAACAATTGTACTAGCTCGTTTTGTTTTCTTCATACGAAATTATTTATTGAAATTGCGACTGAAAAAGCACACGTATCGGTTATGTTAGCGTTCGCTATTCACTCATCGAAATACTGCTGAATGTCACATCTAAACAATAGTTTTCCTCTCGTATTTCTTCGACGCGTCATGTTTCATTCGAATGAATTGTGCGTAGAGATACACAACGAGATGACTCATGTCCATATCGGTGGAAATTCCATGTAGAAACTTTAATAATAAATAACCATCTCTAGAAAAAAAGAAGAAGAACAAGGCTTTAAAAAGAGCAGTTTTATCGATTCTTGTCGCACAATTTCAAATATCCATGAACGAACTCACGGCGATGAATTTCACAGTCGTTTGTCAACATGATTTCGTTCTCTATGTCGTCTTTATCTAAAACGAAAATGGCCACAATCATTTTGTTTTGTGCTATTAGACTTACATAAACATGATTTATAGATATGAACAAGCCGAAAGATATATTCGTAACGATAATCACTCGAATAAACTCGTTGGTATAACCAGACAAATATAAAATCAATTAAGTTTAACATTAATAGCACACTAAACCAGATTAATAATAAAACAAAGATTCGTTTTGTAAATAGATTAAACGGTAAAATACATTGGATCGTATACCAATTGTTAATATCACCTATTTGTAAAGCAAAAGATCTATGAAGTCTTTCTTCAAGTTCTACATCATACCTAACATTCGAACCATGAAATCTAGAAACAAAAATTCGCATTTACCGTTCATATTTCCTTTTCTCTTCTAATTTACTCACCACACATCGTTTCGATTGGAAAGTGGGCCTAGTATTCGTATAAATCAAATATAATAACCAATGATGGACATGAAAGTCACTTACCGATGTCCACATATCGTGTTTAACTGATAAAATTTCTAATAGATATTTGGGATCGAACTGAAAGTAAAATCCTGTGATTAGTTTATTAACAAAAAAGAGTTGACCGATTAAAATGAAGATATATAGGATTTTCATTAGTAAATATACACACATCACGTAATTTCCACCCAAACAGTCGTAGGAATATTTCCTCTTCAGAATGTAATTAATAGTTTGTTTTAACTCGTGTTGTTTATCGATTTTCATCAAGCGTTTTATATTGATGCCTGTTCGGCTTGAAAATCCGTGCCAAATTAATAGATACGGTAGAATAAAACTCACTGTCATGCCAATAAGAGCGACTGGTAACCATGGATAGATAGTAAACGGGGAAGTTCGTGGAATCGTTGGATGTTCTAAAGTAGTCGCATTCTGTGGTACATAATAATTCGTATGGCCTAGCCAGCAAGTGTCATGCGCAAACTTCGAATTGGACTCGGGAACATCTTTTGGCATCCAACAGAGAATTGGATCGCCGACAACGTATTGTTGAGTTGTGATTAGTGTTACGAATGCCGATAGAATTGCAACTGTGTATAAACGATTGAGACGATCAATGCCCGTATCATCACGATATTCAAGGTATGTATAGATTTCTGATATGAGAGTTGTAATCCATTCCATGGCACCTGCCGTCGATGGTCTTGTTAATGTTAATCGGAATGAAAAAAAGAATACTTGGGGTAAATCTGCTTATCTTCTTGTCCCTCTGTACGTTTTTAGTATATCATGTATGAGAATCACGTCGATTCTTTTCCTTTTTTTTCGAGGTAATCATATATTCATTAAGAATGTAAGCTTTATCTTATCGACCGCTTTAGTATTTCGGTTCGTTTCTTGTAAACTAAGAGTTGATTTATAACGTGCGATGAAAACTAATTGTTTGTAAGTAAAAAATAGGCAATCAAGGGTGAAGTAGGTGGAATTATTACGTTCATTTTTTTTCTTCGTAAGGTCAGTGCAGAATCAAGGAACCGGCTCATTAAGAATATCACAAATGCGTTGTTTGCACTCCCTTGATACCAAGGGATATTAACATACGTTTCAGGCTTGGTAACAACAATATATCGAATGAACTCGATTGTTAAGCAGATGTTCGACTCAGAAGTTCCTTTCATGATGCGGATCTACTGTCAACTTAATTAAACTTGATTAGAGATATTCAACTGGGAAAAAGAAATGTAGCTGGGCTATCCTTGATTCTCATAAGCTACATGTCGACTGAGGAAGTAAACAATCTCAAGCACTTTGACTGTCATCATGAACAGCACCTCGAATCTGTTTTCATCTTTCAGCAAAACGTTCGTGATCTTTATAGATTTGCATGATAATCCTTTTTCAAACGATAAAATCTTTTTTTTAATAGTCAGTTCATGATTATCTCAATGATAGGATTTAAGAAGAATGACGATTTATTTACGCGTATGTGTGTGTATAGATTTGTATTTGGACAAAAAAGGATTGAAATCGAAAATACTGTGTATATCTATTGTTGCACATGAGTCAGTTCGTTCAATGTTTATAAGAGATATCTTTCATTCTCGATTCCAAAATTCTACCCAGGACCAACGGAGACCGGTAACCGTTCGATAAAGCGTAAACATTGCTGTTGAAGACGCATTTGGTCCCATTGTTTCGATAACGACTCTCTATCTTGATCAGCCATATTCAATACATCAGCCATGCGAAGCATAAACAACAAAAATTGATATTTTTCTGACCACGTTGTATAATCATCGATGAAACAATGTGTTGCCAAACGTTTGTATTCAGTTGATACTGGTATCGCAGGTCTCAGTTGTTTCGCTGGGAAAGGTGTTGTAGAAACCGACGTGAACATATAAAACATCCCAAGATAAACATACAATGACAGACTATTCTTCATGTCGGTTGGAATCGTGTTTGTTGTACGCCTAAGATGTTGATGCTATATATGCCGTGATGTTCACAAGATCGTTGTTTTAAGTGAATATTTATATTGTCTAAAAGAAAGAGTAGGATGAAGAGAAAAACTAGAGTTTGCGACCAATTAATATCAGACTAACCACACACTCAGGATGTATCTGACATAAATTTCCTTGGTTGGAAATGAAACACCTGCGTTTGGATAAGAGATGAACGTCAATGTGCGAGGGTGAAAGGCAACACTTAGTTTGGACACATTGCACTATTTTTAACCGTATTTCTATATGAATTTTTAGTTAAAACAGCGACTGTCGTAATCTAAGCAAAGCTATCGTTCGTTATTCACTCGAGAAATAAGACTGTGTTCTATCCAAGATTGATGATTATGATCTAATATGGAAATCAACTTTATTCATATCAGAATTGATTTGCTAGAGAACGGATCACTTGCGAAGAGAAAAGCTTAGAGGAATATCAATGTATAATCGAATGACAAAGTTAGTTTCTTGAGTAAGTCACTAGATCAATTTAAGCCAAATGATGTTTATTAATTATTTCCTAGTATTATTGAACAAACGTCGATTTCGACAAGTTCGGCAACACTTCGTGGATGCTGCTAAGAAACGTATGAACAAATTTTGTTTATTGATTTTTGCTTTATCAATTACGGTTTGAAATGTTTCTTTGATCGAATCTAATTCTGAAGTATCTAATGATTAATTCACAAATCTCAACATTATTCGATGAATGTTACTTGGAGAATTATGGTGTACGGTAGACAATCTCTCGGTCAGCCTAGACAGTCAAGAATGCGGAGGAAGCTTTGTTGTTATACTATTTTTACTTGTTTATCTTGTCATTACTTGAATCTCGACTAGGATTTCTTTTCAAATCGGTAGCACTGATAAGTTGGTCATTGTCAAGATGATGTTTATCTAAATGTGACATCGAAAGACTCCATGACGATTGATCTTGAAAGTTTAGAATATGATTGTCCAAATAGACGGTAGGTCTTACATTTACCTTCACTGCTTTCGCTGTTTAGTCTTGATAAAGATTGTTTCACGCCTTTGTTTGATCGTAAACTTCGTGCAGAAGATAATTCTAAGGAATAGGTTGAATTTTTGGATCTTTTTCTTCCCATAGCTTTTCGTAAATGGGAAGGATTTTGTAGAAAAGATGCATCTCCTTGTTGATCATCTATATGAATCATTAATACTCTAACTAAAGTAGAATTTTTAACTGAGCGAATCACCTAAAGTAGAGTATTCTTCTAAATCATGACCGAAGTTTTCATTGAAAGAAAAATTAGGCACATGTTGTTTTATAATCTTAGTCAATTGCTCAAGTACTCGATTCGTCTCGTTTGTCGAAGGTGTTTGGTAAAGATCAACTTTATGATGAAGACGTTGGACGATATTTAAACCGCAGAATGGTGGTTCGATGATACTCTCAGGAAACAACGCATTAGATGACTTTGAAATTATGGCTGAAGAACAATCGAATGGTTCGATGCAGACTCCTTGATGAGATCGTGCGTAACATGGTACTTTAAACAGATCTGAACGGATTTCCATGAATGATATGCATTCTACTGTTGATGATGATCAATATCATCACCAAACATATTGACGAAAAACGTACAGTTTTCAATGATATGATGTTACGTGAACAAAAAACATCCTGACGAAGCTCTTCAAGCAGCAAAATAATAGTGAAAAAGTGAGAGAACAAAACAATTTTGAGCGGATAAGTTTATTTAGCGCTAAATACTTGACGAGAGATGACTTCCATGGAGAAAGAGACGCAGATGCAAGTGTAAGCGTAGGTGTGAATAGGTGCTCAATGGAACCACTGAAGTCAGAAACGATCTTTTCTAGCATGGAAGATTTTGTTCTCAGTTATCTTTCTTACACTTTTAAAGGATCATGATATTAATCAACAAATGGAAAATTATGGTGAAGGATATTTTGAGAAACATTCTGTTTTAGCTGAATGAGACGAAATGAAAGAGGCTGCTTTTTATCAGATTATTTCAATTTGCATTTATTTTCATTCATCTACATAAGAGCATAACTCAAAACACAACGCAACTATACATAGTGTTAAAGATCTATAAGAGTAACAAGGAAACAAAGAATACACTCAACACCAATACTATTAAATAATAATAAAAAAAACTTATTTCATTCCACGACGTTGTTTTTGATGTCCACCGCCTCCACTTTGGTGCCAGTTACCTCCACCTGTAATGAAAAATAACTATCAGATGCAAGCTAAATGCGAACACTCACCACCAGATCGTTGATTTCCACCGCCGTGATGAAAATTGCCACCCTACGTACATGTAACACGCTCATTCTATTTAAGAGACGAATTGCAAAGTGAATACATACGCCAAGCTGTCCACGACGATTTCCACCGGCATTGCTGCCACTGCCGCTGCGTGTATTCGTTCCGTTCCATTGTTGTTGACTTGTTGCAGGCTGCTGTTGACTTGGAACAAAGGGTAGCGCATCATTATTCATAGATGAGATAGGAATGAATACTGGTGATACTGGTTGATTATTTGTTCCATTTGAACTTGGCACAAATGGTGCTGCATTAGGTAGCATTAGCTTAGCTAATGGGTTTGTTGCTGGTAGCGCTGATAAAGGTATTTCAACTGCAGCTGTTGATTCTGTTCTTGTTGAATCAGATACATTGTTTGGTGATACTGAAGATTTTGATTGTTCATCAATCGATACAGTTGGTGTTACAGGAGATATCTGAGCTAACAGTAAATAAATATCGAGAGATAAAGATTGACTTACTGTTTTTGTATCGTTCGATTCTTCAGTTGGCTTAAAATCAACATCTACGGTGATCGGAATAATAATTTGCGATGATGTGATAATTGTTGGCTCAACAACTACTGCTGGTTCTGATTCTTCTCGTTTTTCTAATGTAGAAATCAATGGAGATTGTTGTTCATCAGAAATTATATCTTTGCGTTCATCCATATCCGTTTGAGGTATTACATTCATGGGCACAAATGGTAATGTTTGATTTATCACTCCTATGTAAAAGTATGACGTGTCAATACAATCAAAATTCGTGTTTCGCCATCTGTTAACCATACCTTCGGCCTGTGACGTATCAAATGATATTTCCACAATTGTTTCATTTTGATTAGCGAGATCAGTGAATGGTAATGGTGGCAATGATTCTTGATTTGTTGGTGTCATTGCTAATGGTGTACTATCTGTTGTACTAGTTAACCGACTACTGCGACCTGACATATATTGAATTGTTTGCGATTGATCATTGTCAGTATCGTAATCTGTGTGAGACAATTTATCGTTAACGGACTCGAAAGTGAGATATTGTTGATTGTTAGTTGTTGGTGTCGACGATTGAGATATTGGTGCTGTTTCATATGAAGCTTCACTATTGGAATTTTGACGAGTACGAGATGGAATCAAAAGTAACGCTGATACTGATTCTAATTTATTCATAGGCGATGGAGAACGCTGTACTAACGGGGGCGGCGGGTATGGTGGAGTTGTCGGACGATTGATCGATGGCGAATGTTCAATTTTATTCGGCATATGAATTAGTTGACGAAGGCCCAACTGTTGATCAGAACCTTCAAGTAATTGTCGATATTTGTTCACTTCAGCTTCGATAGTTGGCTGAAGCACCAATGTACTTGTACTCAAAAGAGTTTGCTAAACAAACGAAACTCATTAACATCGCCTCCCAGATCTGTCTATTCCGCTCACATATTCTTTAACTGATCCACGTAAATCATTGATTTGCCGCTCATATTTTTCTTGCATACTCTTCTGCCGATTGAGTTCCCGTTCGAAATTCAATTCCAATTGTTTGTAATGTTCATGTATCAACGTTAATTTCTGTTGTAGTAAAGTTCGATGGTCATTCAGTGAATTTAACTCATTCGACAGATGACGCCGTTCGATATCCTCTCGGTTGGTATCGAGTAAATTCTGATCAACTTGTCTTTTGATATGTTGATTATATTCCAGCAAATCTAGACCAACAAAAAAAGCAGATTCGAATCATTTCTAAAACAAAACCTCGTCAATTATAGTCACATTTCCGATGTAGTTCTTCACGCATGTCGTTGTCTCGTGTTTTATATTCTTCACGTATTTCGTTCAACATCTGTGTCAACGGATTTTTTCCAACACCATCAAAGCGAAAATTTGTCGCCAGATCGTACACCATGTTGTCATTATGAATTTCAATTGCCTAGAAAACAATCGAGTTCGACAGTCAAGTGAAAAGTATTTGTGTCTGAATCAAACTTGAGCGTCAGCTTCGTGTGATTGGATGGCGATCTGTTTTTGTATTTTCAAATCATCTACTTCTAATTGTACACGTTGATTGATATCGCGCTGATGTGATATCTCGTCCAAGATCGACGATTTAAGTAATTGGTAGTAAGAGATCTGTCTTCGATAATGATTTGAATCGTCGTTAATATTTTCGTAATCAAAACGAAGTTTTTCCGTTTTACTCTAGAAGGCAAGTTCGTTGAGAAGAATGAAATTGTCCTGAATGTGGATTAGAGCGTACTTGTAAAGCAATAAATTGTTGCTGTAAGTCGATGATTTGTTGCCGATTTAAATCGTGTTCATGTTGAAGAAATTTTTCTTTTGTTTTCACATCATCGACTTGTTTTTCCACGTCTTTTATGTTTTCATTATCTAATTGAATATCTTTTCTCTCTCGAGCAAATTTTTCCTGTTGATATTCATCGAATTCTTGTTTAAGTAAATCTAATTTCGTTTTCGTCCGTTCCTGTGCAGCTTTGATCTGTTCGCAATGACTAGTCAAGCAATTATTGTACGTTTCAAACAGGCGAACACGTTCAATGTAGCTTAAAAACTGATCGTTCAACTTTCGTAATTGCAATTTTTCATTCGATACTGTTTGTTGATTAAGATTTCGATGACGCGTCGCTAGCATGTAAGAACCTGTTGCCGACGATGTACTTGGTGATACGTGACGTGTGGAAATTGGTGAATGATATGGCGATGTTTTTGCTAAAGTCAGGTAACCGTTCCTTTCTTCAATCAATTAGAAATTCTTACTTACGTGAAATAGTTATGACTGATTCAGTCATTTTTCCGATAGAAATGAAACGATTTGTTTAACTGAACAAGAAACAATCTAGACGGTTCGCTCGCATTCTTTTGTTTATATTCGTCGTCTCTCGAGCGATCGATAACACGTGGAATAGATACATATCTAGTCAGTGTTCTAATTATATGCGTACAAGATAATGCTATACTGCCATTTTTTCACTTCTGTTTATTCAACCAAAACAATAATCACACTAGGAACGAAATGCTTTGTTATGAATGAAGAAAGGAGCATAGGAGAACAAAAAGTGACTAGAAGGGAAAAATCAGGTTTGGATCGTTTGTTTCGGAATGAATTAATCATAAATCGAGCGCGTTATTCGCTCTTTTTCGTATTCGAAACATTCTTCTTCTGTCCCCAAAGAATGAATCGTTTGAACCAAAATTGATAAATCGTCCACAGGACAATTCCAACAGCAATGGTGATCCAAAGAAGACCAATGTAGAATGGCAATGGTTTGGTAACCGTTTCCCAATCGAATTTTAATACGATTAACACTTCTGTAATAACAATAGCAGTGATAACCCATGATTGTCGACCGAATTTTTTACATTGAGGATTATCTAAATACTCAAACATTTCACGCATCGATACACCACCGGCAAGCAGAAAGAATAGTAAACGAGAAAGACACAGGAAATGTGGTGGAGGAATCCACAGGATGAATTTCAAGTAGAATGTGCCCAATTCAATTAGAAATAGAAAACATGTTATGAATAACATGGCGAGCCATCGTTTCAACGAAGCGGTTGGACGCCAATCGAATTCCAGCCAATCGTGTGGTGTAAATTGACCCAATGCACGCATGATTTTACCTCTAGATAAGAAATACTGTTCAGAACGGTTTCTTTTCTCCAAATAGATATTGCTTTACCTAACAGTTGGAATAGTCCAAAGTCCACGCCAATTGTAAGGTTTCATTTTCAAGTATTCACATGTTTTCATTCCCAAATAAATGCCTCCGCCATTACAAATAAGTGCATCAAGAATCCACTAGAAATGAACAGATTTATTAACGGACTCTCATCGAAATCGTAGTCACTTACATGATCCCACCAACATTCACTAAAGTTTGGTAATTGATGTTCTAATGAATATTCAAGAATTTCAAAACCAATCGATGTGACCATACATAACCAATAGTCACGAATAATTAATGTCTAGAAAAGTTCTTTTTAACATTTCTTTGGAACGATTTATTAGTCTGTAACTTACTTTCAACCACCAGCCAAAGAAATGTGAGAGAACAAAGAAATCCATTTTATCCTAATAGAAAATGTTCATGAGTTCTGACATGAAATCATGTGATTCTACCTTAAAATAATGGAATGGATCTTCAGGATGTTCCCAATCATAGATACGACAAGATCCACCATAGTCTTTATCCGGTAATGGGACACCCAATGCCGGATCAATATGTTTGATCAGCTGTCTAGCTTCATCGGCAGTCTAAGCAGAAAAAAAACAACTTATGAAATTCGATAAGTTCGCATTAACTTACTTGAAATAAGATGTAAATGAGCACAATTTCATATAGCACACTGAAACAAAGGACAAGACGCCAGAGAGCTAGAAAAAACAAAAGACGGTTTGCAGCAAATGTTTGGAATAGACCCGATGACTATTTATCTTACCAGGATGTGGCCGAACAAACACACCATCGGGTGTTTGTGTCATACCGAATACAAGGAAAAAGCCAGCACATGCTAGTAGACCACTAAAAATAGAGTTTTTCTTTATTGTACTTGTCAACGATAAGCAGTATATTGAAACTTTCATTAGTGAGATTTCCCGACCAATCTATTAACACTACTCGAAATCACTATTCAATTAAAATCCTACCTTGAGCCGTCGTGAGATCGAGTCTATTCAATACAACCTTTTAGCTTATGAATCGATATAGAATTAGCGAGTGCAGGGAAGTTTTCAAGAAGAAATTTGCCTACCGTTTAGTATTATACGATGAGTCTTCGGATGGTTGTTCCAAAATAGCAACATAGAATAGATATGACATAGCTATGACGAGACATGTTATAGTATGTGCCCGCCAGAAGAAAGACATTGTTCCATCATCGAGTGGTTTCGAACGCCTCTTATCGCTTTCCCAATCGAATACGCTTGGTTGTGCTGATGTGGGTGTTACGGGTGGTTCTCTATCTTCTGTATTTCTGCCAGATGATGATGATGAAATACCGCGTGTAAAATGCCGCAGATCATCACGTTTTACAGTTGTCATAATGAGTGTATTACAAAATGATCGTAACTATCTAAAAATATCAATATTGTTTTATTCAATCCGAAGAATGGACTCGCTAAAGTATTGTATTGACTAAAAATATCAAAAGAAAGCTTGTCATTCAGTGTTAGAGAGGAAAAACAAAGCACCGGGTTAAAATATGCATAAATAAATCATTCAAAGAATTGAGCATCCGTTTCGATAGACGGATTGTATCGGTTGTTGAAAATATTTCTGAAAAGATGTCCGTGTATCAATCTTTCCCGCTTGAAGATTAGCTTTCTCTAATCGTTGAAGCAAACGTAGAAGAAGCAGATCATCATTGACAGAAAGACCAACAGCAACAACATTGATTTGATTGTGATCAGGATTATAGTAATCAAGTGTTAAATTAGCACGCGGTATACCACATACAGTTGTACCAGTGAGCAGATCGTTATCTCCAATGGTTAATAAACAGTCGAGAGCATACGTTGATTTCAAATAACTTGTAAATGATTGATATGCTTGTTGTAATGTTTGTTTGTATGTATTGTAGGTATCTTGTGTGATTGGTGATTCAATAGCACGAATGAATAATGATTGACCGTATGGAATATATTCTGAGTGTGAGCAATTCCATTGGATTATCGATTGAAGAGTTTGATGACAGTAATCAGATGAATGTGAAGATAGATATAAAGGAATATCACGAGCAAGTCCATAACAAAGAAAGTCTAAAAATGATGTATTACATTTAGAAGCTGGATTTAATACAGCCGCGATGGGTTCTGCAAGAGCCATATCACTGTTTAAATTGACTAACGTTGTCAAAGGCAGCAGAGCGGAGAGAGTCTGAACCAAGACATTACCGTCTTGTGATTGCCCTATATATAAACATAATGTAATTGGTACATTCTTCTGCATTGGACATGTATGCAAGTAACTTACCAAGATAACCCACTCGAAGTGATCGACTGTCACTACTTGATGTATTTGGAATACCAACGGCAATCCTATGCAATAACTCTACATCTTTAACAGTCCGTGCCATAGGACCACAACAATCTTGATCATAATTAACTGGAATAATATCCTCACCCGGCCATGTACCAAGTGTCGGTTTAAGCGTACAAACGTTACGAACATTAATTGCCGGTGATAACAATGATCCTTGCGTTTCTGTTCCCAATGAAAATGTAAACAAATTTAGCTTAATTCCAGCTGCTGATCCACTAGATGAGCCACTAACATCTTCATGCATATCATGTGGATGAATACATTGTCCTCCAACAGCGGAAAAACCTGACGGTGCATCTTGTGTAAAAGCATAAGCCCATTCTGATAGATTCGCTCGACCAAGAATAACGCATCCTAGCAATGTTAAAGTGCTCATCTAATTTATTGCTATATATAGAGTTCTTTTTACCTTGTTCTCGAAGTTTTTTTACAATGGGTGCGTCATGTTTCATTTTCTTTTCATGTAGAACGTGAGCACCTGCATCATTATACATATCACGTATGCTAATGTTACCTTTTATACCAGCTACACACCCGAAGAGTGCCTTCTTCTCAATGACATTGTCATTGAGTTCTGCGTCCAATAGTTTTGCTTCGGTTAATAAATGTGGATTGAGTTCGATAATCACTTTATAGTAATTATTTGTCATCTGTACACGTTTTAAATAGAATAATGCCAGATCCACACATGTAATATGTTTATTTTTTATTAGATTTTTTACTCGATCAATCGAATGATCGAGTTTGAGCAAGGATTCGATTCGCTCGTATGTTTTCGATGGATACGTTGCTAATGAATCAAGAAATGGTGAATAATCCAACGGAATTTCATGTTCGAAATGATTTTCTGTTGCTGTTAAACGGAATAAGCCGTGACATTTGCGATAACATGCTGTTTCTAAGCCCTCACTTTCATTTTCTATAAATGGACTCTCTTGTTGTTCTTCCTCTTTAATTGCATCTTCTGTCATATCTAAAATATAAAGAATCCATCAGGTAAAAGACGCTGAAACTGGAACAAATGAGGAAAGAGGTTGTTGACTCAGCTGTGTATAACAACTCTGTTTTGGATTGAGGAAATAAGTCGTAGTAGATAAAAATCTCCTCAAATAATCTGATCGAACCGACCATTTCCGATGGTACACAATTTATTTGCCGTATAGCTCTCTGCGATTGTGAAAGCAATAGATCGATGAGAAATAGTCTTTCGCACCGCTGATGAATAAATATGGGGGAAAAGACGAAAACCAGAAGACAAAAAAAAGAAAATAATAAACTTGAATCATTCATTCTTGTTTATCCAACAGAAGTTTTTTTTCTTATGTTTTTTGTTTCACTGTAAATCGAAATGAAGAGAAATGGTGTACAAAAAAATAGGAGAAATATCCATGTGACAATCGAGAGCAAGTATACAGAATACAGAATAAATAAGAAACAACAAGAGAAAAAAAACACCAGACATGTACATAGGAAAGTTCCGGAGAACTTCGTTAGTTTGTGGTTTTTTTTAGAATAAAGAAAGTCTTCAGCATGTAAAACCATGCGAGACTAGGAAAGAAAGAAAGAACAAAACGACGCGATAAATGTTCGATTTATCTCGATTAAAAGTCAACCAATGCATTTTCGATCTCTTGTTTGTTACTTGTTTAAGAATTATTTGTTAAGAGCTTTGACGAGAAGAGTTGTGCGTTTAAGATATTTATCTCTTTCCATTATTAGTAATAAATCACGAAGATTTGCTCGACAAATACGCTTGGTTGTTTTCTAAAAGAAGATGCACTCGACAGTTTCAATCGACTTGAACATTTATGAATACATACTGATTTACTATTTACATTTGTTGACGTCGTAACATTTGACGAGGGCGATGGTTGAATAGGAGATATTTGTTCAGGTCCATTCGTAGACATGACATTCGGATGGTGATGATTTGTACTTTCTTCGAGTTTACGCTTTTTCGGTTTACCGATAGCAGCTAGAGCGGTTTCGTTGGCTTCCTTTTGCCGTTGTTCTTCGACTTGAGCTTGTTGCATCTGATAGAAATCAATCGGATAATATGAAGATGAAAACTTTCAAATTACTTCTTTCGCTTTTTGTTTTAGTTTAGCTGCTTCAGGATCGTTGGTTTTGGAACGACTCTGACGAACAAAAATAGGATTTCCTTGCAGAAAAATACGTTTCGTTTTACTTTGGCAGCACGAAAGATCTTTTCTTGTTCGATCTTGTCCTTTTTCTGCTTTTCTATTTTATCTATGTCTTCGAGAAATCGCATCTGTCCTTTGACATCACTTGTTTGTTGATACGCAGAATCATTCTAAACGAAAGAATAATTCTCCCTTCAAATCAATGATGGAATCGAGTATTTTTACCTTCATAGACATATCAATTCGATGTTGTGCGACTAGCTTCATTTGCTCCAACAAATATTTCAATCTTTCTTGAGCAGCATTGGATATTAGAAGAAAAGCAGCATCATTTGCCATTGTCATTCCTGTAAATCGTTTATCTTTGTCGACTAACACGAAGAAAACTCAGCGCATCTCTTTGTGCAATTCAAACTTTCGATTTACCTAAATCTTTTAAACGTCGATGTAAAATAAGAGACGGTATTAGTCGGTCATCGTGCTGTAAATGGCGCGTGCTCATCATTGCTTGATTACTACCATCATCTAATGGTTCGTCTTCAGTTCTAAATAAATAGATCGTATTGATTCTTTTCGGGAAAAGATTTTACGTACTTAATTATTGGTTTTTGTTGAATAGCAGATATAAGGGAAGGCGGTGGAGTTTGTATTGTTTCTGTTTTAATCGGCTGATGGTTCACAGCAATGATTTGCGGTTGTTGCAATGTAGCTGTAGTTGTTGAGAGAATGGATCGTTGTAATAAGGAATCAGATGGTTGAATGATCATCTGTGTCACTGGCTGAACTTGTTGTGATTGCTGTTGTCCGCTAAGAAGATTTGTATTTCCGGATGGAGACAACGATGTAACCAATGGACGAAAACCAGTGATGCTCTAAAAGAAGATTTTGTTCCAACATAGTTTGGAGAGAATGAATAAACATGCAATTTGTGCTCGTGCTTGCTGCTGCTGCTGTTGTTGTTGGCTAAGCAAAGACGCTGTAGAACCAATCAGGGTTTGTTGAGGAGTTTGTTGCAAAATATTGATCTTTTGTTGGGGTTGGACAGTGGTATACAACGGCTGTTGAATAAATTGTGTTGATTGTTGTTGTTGTTGCTGTTGGTGTTGACTAATAATATTTGCATTTGACACCTGTGTCATACCTATCGTATTGTTGGCATTATTATTGCTATTACTAGATGGTAATTGAAGCTTTTCCAATAGTTCAATTGTTATTGGAACTCCAAATGTATTTTTTACAATTTGACGCATGTGAGGCAGCGCTAACTAAAATACAAAATAATGGTATTCGTTTACATATTCAAGAGTGGGACTTCAAGAAAGAATGATTGCATGATGTTTGTACAGTCTTTCAAAATCGAGTTCATTCCTATGAGTATATTTTGAAAATAGATCGGATGATACATGGCGTTGTGATTACTCATCGTTAAGAGAAACTGAGTTCTGACTCATATGTCTCAGTTTATTATAAAGCGCTTTTCGTGCAAAACAATGCGATGAATGACGATCGTCGATAGATGTCTGACGAAAGCAAGGTTTTGAAAGAACAGCAGCGAAGTGTCTCATTGAAGAGTCGTTCCGTTTATACGGAATACTGAAAGAAACCTGCAAATGGTGTTATACAAACATCATGCAATCAGTTACAAAAAAAAGAATAAGATAAAATTTCATAAGCCCCGAATGGGTTGAGCATCCAGCCGTTTTTTGAATTAATAAACCATAACAAAAAATCTGTACAATGATTGTTTTTATATGATTACCTTCGTATAAGTCAAATTTTCCTGAAAAGATCATATTGATTATCACTTATACACTCAAAGGATCTGATTTATCCGAAAGAATTTCTTATCAGTGAGAAACAAAGCAAAAAATTACCTTGAAAAATGGGACGAGTGATACATGTGGTTGAGACTTATAGAGTGTATGCAATTGTTGAGTAAAAGATTCCGGATCAATAGTTCCATCCTAGATCACATAGAAATTTTTTATCGATTGTGTATTCAAAATTGGTCTTTCTAGTACCAAAAGTTGTTGAATACAAGATCGAACCATCGGTAGTTTCTCTGGAGCTTGCTTTTCAGCTAAGCGAAGTAGAGTAGTTAGGAATGTTCGACATTTCGAAACAAAATCATTTATCTGAGATTCTGTATAGGTATGGGATGTTGCTCCCGTCTGTGGTGTTCCTACTGTTTGACGAACAACCGATTGTGTTATAACTTTCGCGGGAATTACATTAGACTGTGATTGATTTCCACCTGGCGTACCTGGCTCTGAAACAATAAATTGTTTCTTAGACAATATGAGAATAATCCACATTAAATCATACCAGTTTTAACGGTAGTATACTGGAGAACAGACGGTTGTTGTGGTTGTTTTTGTATCGTAAATTGAGGTTGCGAGGATTGTGATAGATTATTTGTCCATACTGTTTGTGTGGTAAATTGACCTTGCTGCTGTTGAGTTTGCATAGGTTGTGACTGATTAACACGAACGAAATTGGTCGGTGTAGTCATTATTCCACTTGTCATTGGTTGTGAAAGAATGGTTCCATTTTGCGAAGGAGTTGGACGAATATTCTGTGTTATGTTACCCATGTTATTGATAGCAACATTGTTACTGAGTGGTTGAGTAAGAAACAATGTTGTCTTTGAAAAGAAAGTTCATTTCTTGTCAATAGACTGAATCTACTTACAGAAGTTGGTATAACTTGAAATTTGTTTGTATTGGCAAACTGCGATGGAGATGATGTCATTGTAATGAATTTCCAATCAAATCAATACAAAATGGGAACTTCTATCTGAAACAAACGAGCATATAGTGTAGACTTTGTAGAAAACACAGTTAGGGCAAATAAATATGCTTGATTAAATGAATAACTGGTGTGTAGAAGGTAGCCATTAATGATGACAATGAAGAATTCTTCCACACCAATCGAATCATTCGCTTAAATAGATGTCGCTATACATCATTCGCAATGTTCATACATTAAATACTACTTGGCAATACACGCGTTTTTCGAACATAGAATCTCAATCCGACGACGTCTAAAGTTGATCTTTATCAGTTTTAAATGGATAATTCAATTTCCAATACTTCACCAACGACAAGTTCCAGTCAAACCTGTACAGTACTAGCAAATTATGAGGAAAGTCTGTTGCAAACCTGCAAACAACGGATCGTCACTCGTTCATCACGAAAAACGACTACGTGGCGACTAAAACACCAAAGCAATCAAGCGAATAAAAAAGTACTGCTCAATCTTCCTTCATTCGATTCTTGTTTATCAATATTTGTTTTTCTAGTTAACACGGAAAACGAAGAAACTCATCTATGAGACTTTTAGTAGAAAACTATTCTTTTCTTTTATTTCCATTCAATCAAACATGTCATCTTTGCTCAAGATGGTCGAACAAATCTCGCTCGCGCTGCGGCAACAAATGCGCAAAACCATATTATTGCTGATACACAAGTCGCGACATTAGCTATTCCAGACACGATGGTTGACACAGATGCGTAACACAATGATAGTTCATTGAAAAGAGACATCGACCGGTTGATGAAAAAACTCGAAGAACCGTCAAAATTGTTCAGGTCGTCCACACAAATAGAAGAGAGAGAATGAAGAAGAAGAAGAAGAAAAGTACGAGAACAACTTATTCCCTTTTCTGAAAGAAAGGGCTATAGCGTTCTAAAATCAGTGGCTCAAAACCTAAAAGTTTGTGAGTTTGTCCAATCCAATCAGGTTGCAGCTTTTTATAAACCAATGAAACCATAGAGATAACCATACGGAAATGATTCACCTGAGGTAATCAAGGTCGAGGATCACGAATCCGACGTTAGTGTTGCTTAATTCATTATTAATTTTTCATTAAGTAGCCCCGACTTAGCAGTGGCGTATCCAAGGGGGGGGGGGGGGGGCCACGGGGCGCTTGCCCCTTGCACTTTTG